ACAAGAAGGATAAGAAGCGCAAGAGTCTGCTCGGCAGCACCGCTGACGATACTCTCGAGAATACCAACAGTCCAAGCAATGTCGACACCGATGCCCATGCCCATGCTCCAAAAGTAGAGGCTGCCGAACCTACCGAGCCTATTGAAGCCGAAATGATCGAACCTACCGAGGCTGGAACAGTTGAAACTCCGGTTGCTGACCCTGAAGACGAATTTGGTTTTGTGTCCAAAAAGAAAAAGGGCAAGAAGGATAAGAAGTGCAAGGGTCTCCCAACCGTGTCCGACGATGCCCTTGACAATACCGACAGCCCAAATAATGCCGATGCCGATACTTCAAACAAAGAGCTTGCTGAACCTGGAACCAACGAACCTATTGAAGCTGAAACAGCCGAGCCTGAACCTGCTGAGGCTGGAATAGTTGAAACTTCTGTTGCAGATCCGGTTGCAGATCCAGAAGAGGAATTTGCGTTTGTGTCCAAAAAGTCTAAGAAAGACAAGAAGGACAAAAAGCGCAAGAGTCTGCTCAGCAGCACTACTGACGATGCCCTCGACAACACCGATAGTCCAAGCAATGCCGATGCCAGTGCTTCAAACCCTGAGGCTGCCGAACCTGCTATTGAAGCTGAAACAGTTGAACCTGCTGAGGCTGGCATAATTGAAACTCCTGTTGTTGATCCGGTTGCTGATCCTGAAGATGAATTTGCGTTTGTGTCCAAAAAATCAAAGAAAGAAAAGAAGGACAAGAAGCGTAAGGGTCTCCTCACTGCTTCCGACGCTGCCCTCGAAGACACTAGTCCAAACGATGCCGATGCTTCAAATCAGGCTGCCGAAGCTGGAACAGGCGAACCTGTGGAAGCTAGCACAAACGAACCTACTGTTGCAGAGCCCGAAGACGAGTTTGCATTTGTGTCCAAAAAGTCAAAGAAGGATAAGAAGGACAAGAAGCGCAAAGGTCTCCCCACTGTTCCTGACGATGCCCCGGAAAACACCAATACTCCGCCCGATGCCGATACTGGTGCTTCAAACCCAGAGGCTGCCGAAGCTGGAACGAACGAACCTATCGAAGCTAGCACAAATGAACCCACTGTTGCAGATCCCGAAGACGAGTTCGCGTTTGTCACCAAAAAGTCTAAGAAAGATAAGAAGAAGAAATCGAAAGCCGAAGCTGGAACCAACGAACCTACCGGGACAAATGAATCTGCCGAAGCCGAAGCTACTGAACCTGCCGAAGCCGAAGCTATTGAACCTGCCGAAGCTGGAAACAACGAACCTACCGGGACTGGCACAAATGAATCTGTCGGAGCTGAAGCTATTGAACCTGTTGAAGCTGTAACAAATGAACAACCTGTTGCAGATCCTGAAGATGAGTTTGCGTTTACTACTAAGAAGTCCAAAAAAGACAAGAAGAAAAGGAAAAGTACAACTTCCGGAGCTGGAACAAATGAGACCATCGAAGCTGGGACAAACGAACCTGTCGAAGTTGGAACAGATCAGCCTATCGAAACTAGATCAATTGAACCACTCGCAGTTACAACAAGTGAACCTGCTGTTGCGGATCCTGAAGACGAGTTTGCGTTTACTACCAAAAAGTCCAAGAAAGACAAGAAGAAACGGAAAGATGCATCAACCATTAACTCGGAGGAGCAATCTGAGGCACCAGCCCCATTAGATTCCGCTTCTGGGTCCATGGATCCCTCCGAACCTCAGTTGCCATCCGAAGGCCCGATAGAGAGTACCGAAGCCGATGATGCTCTTTCAAAGCACAACTTGCAAGACTCATCGCTCGACAATGCAACCGCAAAAGAGGTAGTAGACGAACCAGAAGACGAATGGGGTAGCTTCTCAACGAAAAAGTCTAAAAAGGACAAGAAGAAGCGCAAGTTCGGCCTTTCAACACCTGTCGAACCGAACATAGCTGCTACCGAAGCAGAAAAGCCTTCTGAGGTAGAAGAACTCAATGAACCCCAGGCAGAATCGTTGTCTTCGGATCGTAATTTATCCATTGTGGAGACTGGCCAAGACTCGTTTCAGGAATTAGAGAAAGTAGATGAAGCCAGTGGTGATGCATTTGGGTTTGGTACTAAAAAGTCCAAGAAAGACAAGAAAAAGCGGAAATCCGGTCTTTCAACACCTGCCGAGCCGACCACCGCTCTAACTGAACCAGAAAAGCCTTCTGAGACAGAAGAGTTGACTGCTCAAGATAATTCTCAGGAACCAGAAATAGCAGATGAAGCTACTGTCGATGCATTTGGATTCGGTACTAAAAAGTCCAAGAAAGACAAGAAGAAACGCAAGTCCACCTTGTCGACGCCGACTGGAGAGACCGTGGCAGTGGACCAGCCAGACGATGCCACTCCAAAGGATGGGGATCTCGTGGAGTCGAATTCAGCCTCAATGCCGACACAACCTGATTCACATGGTACTCTCGCGGACGAGAGCTTCTCCCAAGGGCCGCCAGATGAGAAGACTGAGGATAATGACTTTGGGTTTGTTGCCAAGAAGACGAAAAAGGGAAAGAAGGCTAAGAAAGGGGAACAAGTAACAAGATCTGGAAGCGACCCTGCCACCCCTGACGATATCTCGACTTCGGGCACTCCCCCAGGTACTGGGCTTGAAGATCAGGCGCCATTGGAACCGGAGGAAATACCGTCCACCGAGAGCCCTATACCTGAGCCAAATTCGGATCTGAACATCTTACCTCAGAATAGCGAAACCACTACTGGCCAGACCGAGAACAACGCTGAGGAGTCTAACGTAGTTTCGAGCGGGCTTGGTCGGAAGACATCTAAGAAGGACAAAAGAAAGCGGCAAGCTACCATTGATGCTTCCACAATCGATGAACCTGTATCCACGAATACGCCCGCGATGTCCTGGGCGGAGGAAGTTGAAGAAGCCGAGGTTGAAAGAAAAGTCCCCGTCATTGAAGATATTGCAAAAGACGAGTCTTTGTCTCAGATTGCTAGCACAACCGAATCAGCTCCTGTTGATGACTTTTCCAGACCTACCAAAAAGGGCAAGAAGGGAAAGAAGAAAAACTCCGAATCTTCGTCACGTCAACCAGTAGGAATCAGCTCATCGAAGGGAGAACCATCAGGGGAGCAGGAAAGTGCGACGGTCTTAGCAGCTACAGCCACAGCGCTTGCGGCTGAAGCCATTGTTTCTGGCAAATCCGAGGGAAGAGAGACTGAAATTACCAGCGACCCATCAAAAAACCCTGTATCTGCAACTCGAGAGATAGAAAGTGTTCCTCCTAAGCGGAAAATGTCAAAAAAGGAGAAACGCAAGATGAGTATTGATCGCAGATCGGCTTCAAAAAATGACGATATATTTGACGATCCAGCTCTTTGGGAGGGCGCTGAGCCGAGAGCTTTCGAGGAGGGCGCTGAGCCGAGAGCTTTCGAGGAGGGTGAAGCTGAAGGTGGGGAGGATGGGGATGGGTTTTGGTCAACACCTGATGATAATGATAATGCCACTGCTACAAATGGCCGACTCCCGGCCGACGAAGAGCCTGGTACTAGGTTGGAAACTCACCTAGAGCTCCCAGAAAATATGGACTCGTCGCTTCAAGAGTCCGAACAACCAGGTGAAAAGGAAAGCCAGCTGCCAGTATCGGATGTTCCAGAACAAGTGGAAGAGTCGACAGAGATCGTGCCTTCGGTGAAGAGTGAACCGTCAATACCGGAATCAACTAGAGATATTGGCAAAGCAGCGGATACAAATGAAGGTGCTCCTTCTGAGGAATTGTCCTCGACGAATTTGGATCGAGAATTTCGTCCACAGGATGAGAGTGCGTCATTACAAGACAGACCGATCGAGCATGAACCCATCACTCCTTTGATTACCACCACATATGGTCATCCTGGTTCTTCAAGCTTACCAGTCGTCCAAGAAGAGAGCCCGACACAAATTGAACCGGAACCCGTTGCCACTCATTCTACGCACTTTCAAAGGGTGGATGATTTAAATAGAGATAGTGCTCTCGTCACGGAATCCCCAATCCCGTCCCCAAGACTTCGACAGCGCGGCTTTGCCGACGATCATGAGCACATTCGAGACAGCGGCGTTCATATACGGGATTTCTCGCCAGCGGAGAAAGCAAGGGACCCCGTCTCCTCTACAGACGACGCGATTGCAAGCATGTCCTGGCCTGCGGTCGATGAAAACGCAGAGACGGTGGACCTGCATAGATCGCAGCGGCCGAAGGTCGAAGCGCGTGAGGCGGGAAAATTAAGCAAGCTTGACGACGAGAGGGCTCTAACCAATGAACCACTTTCCTCACAAATGCAAAATGATAGGGGGAAGACCACCGAACTTCACCGAACACAAACAATTCGCCGATCGCCCAGACTGAAAGAAGACAGCATTGTGAAGCAGCGCGTCCAACGCCTCGAGTCTCCAGATCTCTACCGATCACATAAACCCAAGGAAGGGAAGTATGGAGATCTCAGTGCCTCGCAAAGACCAAGGGCAGAAAAACCTTGGAGCATCCAGGACAATCCAATAGCAGCGGCTGCAGGCATAACTGGAGCCGCGGGGGGTTTTGCTGCGGCGCGCCAGTCAAGTAGAGAACTGCGAGAACAGCGCCCTGACAGTGCTCAAAGCCAAAGGGCGTCTCCGAATACCAATCGTCTGCGAACGCCAGACCCGATATTGAAGTATCGTCCCGGGAGCGCTGGCAGCAATCGTTCGTCAGGCACGCCTCCGCTCCGCCGTAGCGCCCAGAAAAGTGGGGACCTGAGGTCGCTCAGCCAACGTGACCTCGCTAAAGAAGCTGAGCTCGCCGACATCACCGCTTCAGCTTCATCATCAACTGCGAACCCCACGGCCAACGAGGGCCGTGTCCGGGCCAAGGACATGGCTGATGTCTACGTGAGTCGAACCGAAATACATGCGTCAATTGATACATCTTGCTCATCAGATCTACAGGATGGCTTCGGCGAAGGCCGCATCGGCTCACCACGCTCTCCCACTCGACCCCACAGTATGCGCCGACGACAAAGCATGCAGGTCCTCGATCTCGAATCCAAATTGGAGCAATTAGCTGCCGAAAATCGAATGCTCGCGGAAGCAAAGGCTCAAGCCGAACAGGCCTTGCAGACCACACAACACTCCTCTGCGGCGTTGATGGAAAGAGATGCCGAAATCGACAGTCTCAAAAGAACCCTCAACTGGCTCCAGAATGAAGTTACGAGACTCACCGAAGTCAATGAAGGTTTGACAAGCGCGAATATTACACTGGGTAACCAGCACAATGACCGATATGGCATGCTTGAATCGCAACATGCTCAAACGACTCGCGAGCTTCAAGAGGTGCGGGATTCGCACAATACTCTTACGGCTAATATGGAGTCAATGGTGAGAAATGAAGTGCAGAATGCTGTACAGGACAAAGATCGCGAGATTGCGCAACTGCGGGCACAACTTGAAGCAGCAAAAAATCAAATCAGAGAAATGCAGAGACAGATATTAGCATCCAAAGCGAACGACAGCCATTTCCTTACCATTCGAGACGAGGATTACTTTGATAATGCCTGTCAGCAGCTGTGCCAGCACGTACAACAATGGGTTCTCAGATTCTCGAAGTTTTCCGACATGAGGGCTTGCAGACTCACTAGCGAGATCAACAACGACAAGACAATTGATCGGTTAGACAACGCGATCTTGGATGGGTCAGACGTGGATGATTATCTCTCTGATAGAGTCAAGCGCAGGGACGTATTCATGTCAATGACAATGACGATGGTGTGGGAGTTCGTATTTACACGCTATCTATTTGGCATGGATAGGGAGCAACGGCAGAAGCTCAAGTCGTTAGAGAAGTTACTTCTAGAGGTTGGACCAGCCTCAGCAGTCCATCAGTGGCGCGCAACTACGCTCACGTTACTGTCAAAGCGCGAGTCATTCGCGCACCAACGGGAGCAAGATACACTGGCCGTCGTTCATGCGATTATGGAGACATTATCGGAGATCCTCCCTCCCCCAAGTCATCTCGAAGACCAGATCCAGGAACAGCTGGTTAGAGTCATGAGAGCAGCAGTGGATCTCTCAATCGAAATGCGTACTCAGCGGGCAGAATATATGATGCTTCCACCTCTTCAGCCGGAATACGATGCAAATGGCGACCTTGCCAGCAAAGTAACCTTCAATGCAGCGCTCATGAATGAGCGAAGCGGGGACACAGTGTCCAACGAGGAACTTGAGGCAGCGGGTGCAGTGGTGAAGATTGTGCTTTTCCCGCTGGTTGTCAAGAAGGGCGACGACAGTGGAGAAGGAGATGAGGAGATTGTAGTGTGTCCAGCGCAAGTTTTGGTGGCCAAACCAAAGAAGACGGTTCGCGTTTTCAGCCCAGGGAGCAGCATGATGCATCAAAACCAATCACGCGTTAGCATGCAGAGCAGTGTGCCCACGGATCAAGGGGAGAATGTTATTTAGGGATGCTTGATATCCAAGTCATGATGATTAATGCTGCATATGTATATGGGGAGCATTTTGGCGTTCTTTTGGGGTATAATGATTGTGTGGTTTTGTAGGATTTGTCGTACAGTATTATTGTGTAGGTCTTGGTCTTTAAAAAGCAGTTAGTCCTTAATGCAATGGTTTTGGAGCTCCTTAAGTGAGAATCTCTGATAGGAGTCTTATCTATCTTCACATAGCTACGTCACGAACCGTCCTTTCATTCAGTCCATTCGTCCATTCGTTCATGGCTGATTAGGATTGCCTCACCCCGGACTCGTCGCCATAGACGACCAAGTCCTCGCACTTCCGCGGCGGTGTTTGTTGAAGATCTTGAGTCAGGTGTCGGTGATTGGTTAAAAGGCACGACGATAAGTGAGTGGTCTGATAAGCGAAGCCATTTGCATGGCCCTGCACCCCAATTAATGTGGGGAGGTTCAGCTATTTCCGGGTTCTGTTGGCTTGAAGCAGAATCTTCAGATCCCTGGCCTTCGTTCCTGATTTGATAGAATATCGCCTTATCTCGGAACGTGCCTAGCTAGTTAGTGGATCGCGAAGTCTAGAAAGGGCATGGGTTTTCGCCGCTTCTGCTTCGTCAAAGATAAGAGAAGAGAGAGATATTATATACGGTGTAACGGTCCTAGGAGATGCTGCCACCAACACGCCTGTTCCTTATCAGTTACCTGGACCCGCGCTTGTTACTTGTACTTGGCCTTTTCGTTGTTCGCCTCTGCTCGCCGAAGGTATCAGTTACCTTGACTCAGAGAGGGGACCACGGGCACAGCTTGGCAAAGCTGCATTATCTCCACAACCATATCCCAAGAGCCAACCAACACCTTGACGCCAATTTACCCCGTAGCGTAAGGGTCCCTCGGGCCAGCCAGCTAGACGGTTGGTTGCCCGCATAGATCGATTCAATACATCAAATCAATGTCCCGCGGATTTGCTGCTTCTTGCCTAAGTAAACATTTCCAAGACTCCTCATACGCGTACGGGTGAGATATGAGGCTATGAACCTACCGGAGATACACCAACCTTCTGGTTGACATTGCATATTCATATCTCTTCCCCTTTTATAAGAGCGTCCGGAATCCTGACAGCTCGAGTGGGTTCCTCATTCAGCATTTCAACACACTGTGTCTTCGATATAATATTATATATCGAATTGATATTATATATCGAATTGGAATTCCTCATCGAGCTATCGGAAGAAGCCAGGCCATAATCACCAACCATGGCTTTCAAGTTTGCTACTCTCTGGCAGGCCCCAGAGGTAAACCCGGTTAATGGGAAAGCTCGTTCGATTCCCATTCTCAACCCTATCAACAAATATGGACGTGTCTTCACGTTTTCTTGGCTTGGATTCATGATGGCCTTCCTGTCGTGGTGAGTGAAGAGACACCGTCCGCACAAAATTAGACATGGCGCTAATAACTGGTAGGTATGCGTTCCCACCATTGGTACGAGACCAAACGCCTACCCCGTACCCTGCTTGCGACGTCTAACATATTCTAGTTAACTATTACTATCAAGAAAGATCTCAACTTGAGCCAAGCTGAGATCGCCAATTCCAATATCATTGCTCTTACTGCCACGTTAGTAACGACAGTTCCGCTGCCATGCCACCCAACAACGTAACTGACCTGGTCCCTGCAGTCTCCTTGTCCGTATTGTCGCTGGATCATCATGCGATCGTTTCGGACCCCGAGTAACATTCGCCGCATGCTTGTTGATTGGCGCTATCCCGACCGCACTCGCAGGTACAATTCACAATGCTGCCGGCCTATACGCGATTCGATTCTTTATTGGCATCCTTGGTGGAGCTTTCGTTCCTTGCCAGGTTTGGTCCACTGGCTTCTTCGACAAGAACATCGTCGGAACGGGAAACGCTTTGACGGGAGGATGGGGGAACTCCGGCGGTGGAATCACCGTGAGTCCTTCGAGGATCTCGATAGGGAATAGATTTGCTAACATCTTTCCAAGTTCTTCGTTATGCCAGCGTTATACGATAGCCTTGTCCAAAAGCAACACTTAACACCTCACGTTGCATGGAGAGTCGCCTTCGTTATACCCTTTATCATCATCACCTTCGTTGCTATCCTGATGTTGATCCTCTGCCCCGATTGTCCTACTGGAAAATGGTCGGAGCGTCACCTTGCTGTCCAAGAGAACCTTCACACACACGGTATTAATCCCACAAGTCTCGATATTCCCGCTGCTGTCGGTGACCATGAGACTGGAGACGTATCCACCACTAGCGAGGATGAGAAACGCCGAGACGAGAAGCACCCAGAGAAGAGCCCTGAGGAGGAAGCCGATATGGCAAGAGCCAGACACGGCTCATTCACCCGCGAGGCTCCCATGACCGAGCAAGAGATGCTTGCTACGGCCCAGGGAGAAGTCATCGTGAAACCAACCTTGAAAGAAGCAATGGCCGTCACCTTTTCTCCGCAAACATTCGTCATTGCTTTCTGCTATTTCTGTTCCTTCGGCGCCGAACTCTCCATCAACTCCGTCCTCGGTGCTTATTACCTCAAGAACTTTCCCAAGCTCGGCCAAACGGGCTCTGGACGCTGGGCCGCCATGTTTGGTCTCCTGAACGTTGTTTTCCGTCCTCTTGGCGGTATCCTCTCCGATTACGCCTACCGCAAGAGCGGCACTGTCTGGAGCAAGAAGATCTGGCTCCACATCTTAGCCGTCATCTGCGGAGCCTTCCAAATCGCGATTGGCGTCGTGGATAGCAAGAAGGAGTCGACCATGTTCGGTCTGGTGGCCGGTATGGCCTTCTTCCTCGAGGCGGGTAACGGGGCCAACTTCTCGCTCGTGCCTCATATCCACCCGTTCGCCAATGGCATCATCTCCGGTATCACAGGCTCGGTTGGAAACCTGGGTGGCATTATATTCGCCATCATTTTCAGGTATCTGGGAGCGGACTATGGCAAGGCGTTTTGGATAATTGGCGTCATTACCATAGGTGTCAACATTGCTCTGTGTTGGATCAGACCCATACCCAAGGGCCAAATTGGGGGTCGCTAGATCTGCCATTTTATCTGTGAGGACGGTCAATGCACCACTTGATTTTTGTATGTTTGTTGTATAGCGTGTTTGAGATACCAGAATAGACCGATTATGACTTGCTTGCTTCGACCAGCTCCTACCTACCTAGGTAGTACCTTGATACTTGATAACAGCTCTCAAAACAGCCCAGAAGCACACGACGTGAACCCCAGACGCAAGGGTAAAAGGAGTGATGTATATTCACTACTGTACTCAGGATCTGATAATGAACTGGATAATTATATTTCTTTTTCTGGGGTGGGGTAGGAGGGGTAGGTGGGGTGGACCGTGGAGGGTTCAACTGGGCACAGACGCATATATATACATCAGCCTACCTAGGTACATAAGGTAAGGTAAATGTCCGCTGCAGCCTGCGCGCCGTCCCTTAGCTGACAGACGCACGTGATATAGCCGGTTCAATCACGTGATATCAAACCAATCGGAACGCTTCATGTTCGTTGCGGGAACTGGCGACCGCGACCGACGAGATGAAGGAACAACGCCGGGCATTGAACGGGGTAACTACTTTATAACTTTGACAGCACAATATACACTCAATATTGCGATTCTGCGCCACCACACACGTTTCCCTCACGATACGCTCGTATTCAGCATGACGCTACGATTACCAAGGCTGGTAAGACTTAAGCGGCGTAGCGCCCCCCTGGTTTTACTGTAATTTGGGGTCGGTCAACCCGTCCCCCCATGCAACCTCATTTCGTTTTAATCTAAAATTGGGGGGGTGTAGCGCCCCATCTCACGATACAAGAAACATGTCTCCTCCCTTACAGTTTCATTGTTATTCTTGATTCTATTCCAGAGTATTGCTCCCTTTGCTCAGTCGCTCTTTTTTTTTCGCATCTTGATCTTGAGTCTTTGCTACGCTCATTCTTTCAGCCCTTTCCACCATATTGTGTATTCGTACACCTCACACTCTTTCAAACATGCGTTCCTCCTTCTGCGCCGCCGTTCTGGCGCTTGCTTCGTCTGTTGTGGCCCAAACACCTCACTTCGATGTTATGTCTTCCCCAACTCAGGGTCAGGTCATCCCTGCGGGCTCTTCTTTCGACATTATCTGGGACCCCAACTCTGTTCCGGGTACCATCACCATTACTCTGATCCAAGGACCAGCGTCCAACGCACTCGTCAAAGGCCCAGTCATTGCTTGTTCGTGATCCCCCTCCTGCGCGCGAGACTGCGCCAGATGATCGCTGCTAACCACCTCATAGCTGGTGTCGACAATTCTCTTGGAAAGTTCACATGGTCGCCCGTGCCTAGCGGCCAATTTGCAGCGTATGGCTTCAACATCACTTCTGACTCGGACCCCTCAACCTATCAATTGTCGAACGGCTTCCATATCTCTGGAGGCAGCACCCCATCACCCACACCTGCTGCCGGCGGCATAACCACAACAGTGCGTTTGGCGCCTGGACCTGCTTATACCCCTCCCCCGAACACCACCACTTCTTCCGTTGTAACCACCACCCACAACGCGACGCAGACCTCTTCAGCCGTCAAGGCAGTTTTCACTTCGTCCGCCAACGTGACCACTACCACTCCAGTCGCAAACATCACTCTGACAACTCTGACAACTCCCTTGGTAACCGCCACCCCCGTTACCGCCGCCAGCCCCGTGACGACTCCGTCCGAGTCAAGCCCGACTACGCCTGCAAGCATTTCAACCCCTACTCCCAAGTTAACCAGCGGTGCTGCCGCAAACATGGCATCCGGTGGACTGGCAATGATCGGAGGATTGGTTCTCGCATTCGCCCTGTAAGGGAAAGACGTATCTGGATACGCAAGCGACCATCTTTGATATACCTAAGGAAAGAAATCATGGCGGCGTCTGGCGGGTTGCAGTCATCATCTATTTCTCGATACCCTAGTTCTGTTCTCTTAGTTCACAGTCTGGGAACGTTAGTAAATCAGCTTGAGAGCGAGGATGGAAATAATTTCGGAAGAATGTTGAACCGCCTACATGTAATGATCAAACTACGGTTTTCTTTCATTGTCTACCATGTCATGCTACCTTGCAACGGCGACTCCTTATGAAGAGGATCCAAGCTTGCGGGCTGGTCTAATGAAATCTGTGATGCTCTCCTGGCAGAATTGTGCTCTCAGCTAGTCTCTGTTCCCCACAGGAAGCTGTTGATGTAGATATCTGTTTTTGGATACTGGTCGATCGTGTGGTATTGGGGTGAGGCTGTAGACCGTCACGTTCTAGACGTTTGATGCGGGGAATCCTGATCAACGGCAACGACAAGATTGAGTTATCTATAGCAGATATGAAATAACCCAATAGATTAAGTTTAACTGAATCAATGAAAAGTAGATCCGGAGAGTATAGTGACTATAGTCCCTGAGCCTGTGGATCCCAACGAACACGGTCATGTGATGGTGGGACTCGACGCGATTGTAAAAGCGCGCTAGGGAAGGTACCTGCTATCACCGCACATCGCCCGACAGACAGCATATCAACACCAAAACCGCGAGACCAATTCCTGTGCAGATGTGAGGGTCAGAATATCATGCAGATGGGCTCATTCAGAAAGGTTTGCGGTAGCAGAGCCCCATGACTCGACACAATCTTGCCAGTCATATCTCGTGGTTGTTGTCTAACGAAAACACTCCGCCCGTGGGCGTTCCCGCGATAGCCTCAAATCACTCAGCGGTTGCGGCAGAAGTTTCCTATGCAGGGCTTGCGGAGGAGGATACAAATCAGCCGATCTCGAGGACTTCAGTCAACCCCCCAGTCACCCAATCAGTCAATGTCGGCCAAGGTTTCCAACGCCCTGCGCTCCCCTCCACAGATAGCCAAAATCCGCGCGTACGGGACCAGACAAAGAGCGTGGTGGAAGAATCAATGGGCAGGCTCTCGTCTACATCAAGGTCGACGCGACCAGGTCTCGTAATTCAAAATCAACTTGCTACGCCAGCATCTACCACCGGATCCTCGAGTTTGACGCAAGGCTATGCTACATTTTTGAGAGCAAGCAATGGTGAGTCCAAGGCAGTAAAGCTGCTTCATATACCACTGACTGATTTTGTGCAGGCACGCCATCTTCAAGGCCCGTCGAGCGACTGCCATCGAATATCGCAAGACCCGTGCAAACCCCACAGACGCCCAAACAGACACCCCGTCCGACGTCAAAGCTCAGACTCGACAATGTCGAATCGGTGGATCTTACTGGGGATAATGATGTTCATGCAGAACAAGCTTCATCTAGTCCAAGCAGTGCAGAAATGTTTGGGTTATCCCAGGTTATATGGACTGAGGAAGCAGCATGGCGGCCGGAGCCTGTCGAATCTTCTCAGCCTCGTTCAAAGGCTGGAAAGAAGCGTAAGAGCGATGAAATATCTACGGGATCTGTGAAAAATAGTGCCAGCAAAAATCGGCGAACGGAAAAACCGAGGAGAGATCAGCGAGCAGACTCAGAGGATTTCATGGATATAGACGATATGATTACTATCCACCCGCAATCGAACCGACCAAAATCCGGCAAATCTAGTGTGGGGTCAGTCTTACCGACTGTGGAAACGACACTGAAAGACGTTTTTGCGGAGGAATATAGTATAACTGAGACGATCAGCAGAGTGGGAACCCAGACCAAGAAGAGTGTGAGTCGCCTTCCCTCCGTCGACGAAGCTCCCACCGTGTCGAGGATCGCTCGTTCTCCTACGTTATCAAGGATTGGGTCTCAATCAAACTCTGGCCGTGCTACCACACCACGGCCAATATCGATGATTCAGGTCACAGCATCTCCTGCACGGGAATCCGCAAAATCTTCACCTACTAGGGCCGTTGGAACACCAAAGAAACGCCAGAAGGTACCACAAGATCGTATAATTCGGGATTCTGATGATGAGGATGAGGATGATGAACCTATTTCTATGGAAAGACAATCGAAATTTTCACCTCGAACATCTGTCAAGGACAGTCCCAAGGTCATTGATACTTCCAGAAGCAGCCCTAGGCGGAAAGACATTCCACTTTTTGAGCCTAGCAGCCACAAGGTGAGAGATAGCAAGGACACAAGGCCAAGAATTTCAAGTCCTTTGAGACCGATTTCTCGAAATATTGCCATTAGACAAGACAGCGTTCCTTCGCCATTCCAAAGAGATTCGCCCACGAAGGTGTCTCATGCTGCTAAATCGCAGCAGAATTCTAGCCAGCAGACCCCTTCCTCCACGCTCACTGACGACGAGAGAAAGCTGGCGAACCTATTTTTGACCCAAGCTTTGTCTATTGCATCTTACCACCTGCGCGTGAAGAATTTGCTGGATAGAAACGCTATCGAGTCCATGTCCTATATAGACGAAAAACAAGTAGCGCCGCCGGAACTGAAGGCTCAGCGTCAAGCCTTAGTGAAGATGGAGAAAGCCTATGTTGCTCTAGAGAACCTTGGAGAGCGATATAGAGATACGATTGCGGAAAAACGGGTTATTGCTCGCAAAGTGCTGGAACTTCTGGATAATGGAGTCGATACTAGCGTGCAGGAGGAACGAGCGTCTTTACTCACTCAGGAGATCCGGGAAATAGAAAGAGAGACGGTCCGGCTTTTACATGCGTCTGGGGCTATCGAGGATGGATTCGGCACGGGGTCGGATGACGACAAAACCGTTACTCCTGCACCAGCTTCAACGAATCGTGATTTCCTGGGTTCCGCACCTCAAGGATCGAGCGTTGTTGCCAATACTCAGATCATCTACCAGACACAGATCCCATCATTGGAACAAAATCCAGTGAGCATTTCGAGCAAGCGAACTCAAGGACAACCTACACTACAATCCGAACCGGCAGTTTCCCGTGAACGTTTTGGAAACCCAGCATCGCCTTGTCGTACGGGGCGCGCTGCTCCTCCAGAGCCTGTCGTGGAGGAATATAATCCCGCAAGAGAACAGGACGATTGGCCCAGGCCTCAAACTGGTCTGAGACAGCCCAACTTTTACCGTGACCCAACTCCTATGGATTTTGGTTTTGATGGCACCGATGACATTGATGGATGGCTTCAAGACGAGCAAGAAATACTGGAGGCTACTAGGGCGAGGAATGAGGTACAAGAAGATGTTGATGATTACGGAGAATGCGATGATGACGACGATATGCTTGAATTTGCTCAAGAAGTTGAGCAGCGACACTCCCTGCCGGATACACTTCCTCGAAACGCCTTGTCTGAGGCGTCCGGAAACATGCCCAATCCCCCAAAACGTACTCATCCAACCGACGGCAAAAACATGTATTCCCATGTTGAGCAAGAGAACGCGGCTATACGAAAGCTTCCTTGGTATAGAGATGTCAAAAGGGCTCTTAGGGAACGGTTTAAACTTACCGGGTTTCGCCACCATCAGCTTGATGCCATCAACGCCACGCTAGACGGGAAGGATGCCTTTGTTCTGATGCCAACCGGCGGTGGAAAGTCTCTCTGTTATCAGCTACCCGCCGTCATTCAATCAGGAAGGACAAAAGGGCTGACGGTCGTTATATCGCCGTTGCTAAGTCTCATGAGTGATCAGGTCGACCATCTCCGAAAACTCAACATCCGAGCAGCTACCTTAAATAGCGAGATCCCGCCTGATCAGAAAAGAGAAATCATGAGTCACCTGCGCGAGTCTGACCCCGAACAGTTCATAGAGCTACTTTATATCACGCCCGAGATGATCAACAAAAGTGGAGCCATTCAAACTCTGCTCACCAGACTTCACAAAAACAAGAAACTTGCTCGCATTGTCATCGATGAGGCGCATTGCGTAAGTCAATGGGGTCATGACTTTAGGCCTGACTATGTAGCTCTTGGTGGAGTGAGGAAGCTATTCCCAAACGTGCCTTACATGGCATTGACTGCCACAGCGACAGAAAATGTGAAAGTCGACGTCATGCACAATCTCGGCATGGAGCGCGCAACTGTATACGCACAAAGCTTCAATAGGCCAAACTTATATTATGAGGTGCGGTCAAAAAAGGGGAAAGGGAAGGCTAAAGAACTCCTAGACGACATTTCCGAGTTGATCCATACCAAATACCACAATCAGACGGGCATCGTTTACACGCTATCTCGTAAAAACTGCGAGCAGATGGCTGAGAAGTTGCAAGACCAGTATGGCATAAGCGCTCACCACTTTCATGCAAGCATGAAGGCAGATGAAAAAGCAAGAGTTCAACGGCAATGGCAAAATGGGCAAATCAAAGTCGTCGTTGCAACCATCGCATTTGGTATGGGTATTGACAAGCCCGATGTCCGATTTGTTATACACCATACAATCCCCAAGAGCCTGGAAGGGTACTATCAGGAAACGGGGCGTGCTGGTCGTGATGGGAAGATGTCTGGGTGCTACCTCTACTATGGGTACCAAGACACAAAGGTTCTCAGGGATTTTATTTATGAGAGTGAGGGTACTGAACAGCAAAAGGAGAGGCAGCGAAAGATGCTCCAAAACATGATTCAATATTGTGAGAATCGGAGTGACTGCCGACGAGTCCAAGTCCTGCACTACTTCGGGGAATCCTTTTCGAAGGAGGAATGTAACGGCACCTGCGATAACTGCAAATCTGACGCCGTCTTTAAGACCATGGATTTCACCAGCGTGGCTCAAGCTGCATTGGACCTGGTCGAAAGACTCATGGAGAGTCGCGTTACCCTGCTCTACTGCGTAGATATTTTGCGCGGCGCAAATTCAACCAAGATCAAAAACCTTGGTCACGATGACCTTGAGGAGTTCGGAGCTGCGAAGCACTTGCCCCGAGGTGAAGTAGAGCGTCTGTTCTACCGACTTCTCATGGAAAATGCCTTGGCAGAACTTAATGTCGTCAATAGGGCTAACTTTGTCACTCAATACCTGGAAGTGAGACATCAATACCCCTTTCTTAAGAGACATGCTGACTTTCATAGCTTGGACCGAACTGCGATGATTTCAGGACGGGACGTCGTAAACTCAAATTACAAGTGAAGGTGTCAGGCTCACCTGCTACAGCTTCGAGGCAAATTCAATCGAAACCTACCGCTAACCCCTCCACTTCTCGAGCTGGTAGTTCGACATCGCGTGCTGGGGCGGCATTTCAGTCCTCACTATTTACCTCACCAACGGATGTTCCACAAAGACGCGTGCGTACGAATCGAAGAGACCCAGACAAAGAAATGCACGATAATGGCTACGCTCGAGACGGTTTTGTTGTGTCTTCGGATTGTGACGATGACGATGAATATTTCGAGCCCCCTCCAGACAGGAGGAGGCAGCGAAGAACTCCTGGCGACGGGTTGGGCCCGCCTATCACGGCAGATGAGCGAATGGCAGCTCTCCCCGAAATGCATCGTGTTTTCGTCTACCAGTTTGTCGAGGAAGCGAAGAGAGAGGTGGACAAGATTAAAAACGACAAAAACCTAGCGAAGCCCTTCTTCACGGAGGCCAATCTCCGAGAAATGGCAATCAGCTGGACTGTGACTCTCGAAGACATGCGGCGGATACCTGGCATAAATCCCGATGCCGTTGCTAAGTGGGGTAAGAAATTCATTCCACTGATAGAAAGATATTCCAGTCACTACGATGAGGCAATGAGTGGCTACGAAGACCGAGATATCGACAAGAATCATCAGAACGTGATCGACCTCGTCAGTGACGATGAAGACGAATACGGGCTTGGTGAGTCGGATGAGGAGGCCCTACGACAAACAGAGCAGGGATCCAAGTACTTTCAAACCCCCCAGGCCCCAGCCTTCAATGATCACGCAGCGAGGGTAGGTCGTCCGTTGCCAATGCGAGCAGAATCCCGGGCCAACTCCGCAGCGCCGAAAAAGAGTTACAGCAGAGGGAATGCCTTCCCGTTCCGAGGGCGGGGCCGAAGCAAAAAAGGCGGGGCAAGGAGGAGCTACGGGTCCAACTCGGGTCAAAGCAGCTCTGGTGTAGCGAAGAGACGATCCTCCGGCGCTTCCAAGAGATCCGGTACCAGCAAAGCGAGCGCCAGCACCAGCAAGTCCGAATCGATCTTCAAGAGATTTGCGAACCCGAGCACTTCCGGAGGAAGAGGTGGAAACTCAGGGATCGGAATGATGCCGACGTAACAGCAACTTGATTTCTTGTCTCGTGGCAGAAAAAGAAGGCCCCCCCTTTTTTGGCGTAGATCTTATCTACTACTACTCTCTTCTTCTTGATTAAAGAGATAGATAGAGCATAAGCATATCATGTCCGTTCGTCTTGACGTTTTTTGGAGTTTACTACATACTGGGCATAGCGCACGGAGACTGGCGTAGTCGGGGGGGGGGGGCGCTCATGGGCTTTCTTTTTTTCTTTTTTTTCTTGTCTTTAGAGAAAGATATTGATACCACTTCATGAAGTCTTGGTTTGTTTGTCTGTTTGTGTGTTTGTTTTATCCCTTTTTTCATATCTGCTTGGTTGGTGTAAGGTACTCTACAGTTAAGTAAGTAGCTCATGAATAGAAAGAGAGAAACATGTTATGTTAGGAAGAGTTTATTCATCATCATCATCAGGTTTAGTCACGTGAGTATATCTCCTAATACAGTATTCGAATTCAGGGGTTAAGCGAGAAATCGATACTTAGCTACAAGGACAGACTCCCCGAAAATCAAAGATCTCCTCCAAGTTTTGATATCTTAGACTCATCTTCTGCTAGCTGTGGGACATTTTATTTCAATTTTGCTTATTCCTAGGTATGCTACCGTGTGAGCTCTTTGTATGCAAACTGCTCCGAGGCCTTAAAGTCGTGCAAGAAAGAGCCAGCTACTTGTTTTGCCACTCAAAAGTCCCAAACCCGATCTTCCCGCATTTCGAATCTGTTTCTAAAGCGCTTCTCTTGCCTCTCGGAAAAAATAGACCATGTGATTGCTACCCCCTGTGGTGATTCTCATACATGTGTTTATCGTGGTCACAGATTCCGCATATCGCTCGCAATTTCACCTCCCAGTACTGTGGCTAAAGCTCCATTGCGTCGTCGTATTCCCATTCGGTTCTTGGGATAGACAGAGATACGCCGCCACCACGGCTCTGGGTTTTCTTGTCTCCGAGCGGCATTGGCTTCTCGCTCTTTTCCATGTTCTCCATCTTCCAACTACCCTGCTTGCCCTGCGTTGGTACGGCGTGCGAACTATACGGGACCGGCCAGGGCCCTCCAAGACCGCCCGCTTCCTCTCGAAGCCTTAGCTCGAATCTCATCCCTTGAAGACGGTTCTCCATATACTCTCTGGCTTCACATAGTGCTGAGTCTTGCTTCGAAGTCGACGGGCCGATTGTGAAGTTTCCCAGCCAAACAATGAGGTTGCTGAGCTCCCGAATCGGGTCGCGACAGTGGAAAAGGTGATATTCGAGCTCCGAGGCATCGAAAGATCCCCCGTCTAGACCCATATCGGTTGTAGCATCGGGGGTCCACCCTGATGGTGTCTTCCTTGCCTGGTATTTCTCAGTGACCGCATACGTATGCCAGTGTGCTAATTCTCGAACCCTCTCCTTCGACTCGAGGATGCTGACATCTCGCACACTGAGAAGCCTCTGTTTCAAGATAAACATGGACGAGACATCCCCGTCCGAAGCCTTTGGAATTTTCACTGCTACGATCAGCTGTCGATCGGGCTTTTTTGTCCGGGCGTTGAAACAAGCAAGCTCTAGCTGAAGGAAATGGAATCCAAAGAAGTCGGTCTTGAATTGCTCTTCGTTCCACAATCCCTTCGTCACCTTGATCCCGAAAGAGATAGTCGAGCCTGTGTCTCTGAGACCATACTCGAGCATATGGTCCAATGCGCCCACGTCGGCGTTTGTGGATGTTGTATCTGTTGGATGCGTCTTGACAGAGGCTTTGTGGCGATTGAAGTTATGAGGGCTGTTGGATACCTTTTCACATCTCATTGCGACATGAAGTCCATTAAATGACAAGTCGCCCGCTGCCCAGTAACCCGCTCTTAAGATTCGTTCGATATTTTTGACCATGTCGCTATTTCCTTTAGGTACCTCGGTGGCGATGATGATCCTGGTTCCCATGCATGGGGGGAAGGTAGTGGATTGTGCCTGTTGGTCGAATCTTGTACCCACTGGACGAGTGTACAAGATGACATATTCGCCTCCAAGGTCAGGATAGAGCTATTGGAATGTCAGTCTCGGGCCTTATTGGCTCATAAAAGGAGTGGCCCCTCACACTTGTCTTGCCCAAGTTATAGTAGAAAGCATTCCCAATAAAGTTGGGCTCTTTCGCTGCCTGCTCCGTATAAGTTGTGGTATCCCACGAGTATGCGGTGGTGTCGTCTAGATTGTCGGCCATGAAGCCATTCAGGAGATATGACTTTGTGGCCTTGATGAATTTCTTTGGTTTGCTGTCAGCAGACTGCTGCTTCTGGGGCTTTTCAAATTCCTTCCCCTTGAACTCGATGACCTTCTCTTTACCCTTGTCGAGCCTGCTGTTGTTCCAAGTGGTAGCCATCTCCTCAGCTCTGACGGAAGGACTGTAGTCGCTGGTGGAAGTATCGTCGTCGTCCAGGGTAAGATCGATAAACTCATTCTTGACACTCATCTTGACTAAAAGCTGTGCGTCCAGGAGAGGAGGTACCTAGACATTAAGGACTAGTCAGCAACCTCTATCTTTCTAGCCAGACAGCACGAGGAGAAGCTTACGTATTACTGTTGATACCGTAGTTGAAGTGTAAGGGCAGAAGCCACTTGAAGTCTTGAAGTGCTAGTAGGCTGGAGCATGTATGTCGGAAGATCGAAAGGCTGCTGCTCCAGAGATAACTGAGGTAAATATCGACCAAGTATCTGTGTTTTTCAATCGTTAATGACAGAAGCAAGGTAAATAAGCATCCAGATCTGTTCTTTAGACGTGGTAACAAGGCTGTGGTTCCAGATCTTGAGATGTACTTGGCTACTAGGTTGATCGCAGATGGAATAATAAATAGAAGGATGTCTGTACTTTCAGTAGAATCGCGGAGTGGTCATGGAAGAAAGTCAGGATGGGCTGGAGGAGAAGGGAACCGCGGTGATATTGCTCGAAACTTTATCGACCAAAGAAGCCACGCTCTTCCAAATTCGAAGATTCCCCTCGACACCGACTTTTGCCTTCCTGTATTCATGTACATATTTACTTATCACTCAAGTGAGCTCTCTCTTTGAATCCTGTTTGCATTATTGCATGTACCTAGAAACTTACCGACTTGGCCCAAAGGTGTTGGACATTTTGATCTCTCCCTCTTCAGAGCACAACGTCGGGGTTTACGCTTTCTTTTCTTAACAACAAAGAAAGCTTGTTTGCATTGATTCCGAACACGTTCTGTACTCAGAGAAGCTCTCCGAGCGCCTCGTCCGAAAACCGATCCTCGTTCACCTTCTTGCCGTCCCCCAGATCGACCTCCACAGAGCTGCTGCTCTCGAGGCCCGAATCCTCCATGCTCGCACCCGCCGCCTCCACAAACCGCACTCTCTTCGTGTGTGCCTCTCCCTCTACACACATCCCTTCTCCTCCCCTTTCCTTCTCCCGCGCCCGCAGGATCCCCACCGGTTCTGCCCCCCGCCGCGCCCGCTCCTTGCGCATCCAGATCTGGTTCTCCTCCTGTCGCCGTCTCTCTCGCCGTCTCTCCTCCCAGACCTGCACGATTCGCCATACCACGTACAGGACACATGCCAGCACGAGTGCGCGGGCGAAGATGACTCCGGCGTAGCCTTCGACCAAGGGCCTAATATCAGCGGCGCGGGGCACTCCTAGTTCGAGGTGGCAGCATCGGCATCCTTGTACGAGTGGACGGGTGACAGGCATTTCTTGGCAAGTTGGAGATGCTGATGGAGGAGGTAAGATATGTGCTTGGATTGGCATTGTGGCTGCTGTGCCTAGTTTGTTCGTGGGTTTGTGGGGAAAGGACCGCGGATTTCGCAAGAGTGAAAGAATTGTAGATTCTCCTGGCTAAGCAGCAGCAGTAAGAGCCCACACATGGGAAGAAACTGCGAGCTAGAGGTCGTTTAATGGGATAATTGATGTTAAGACCTGCTTGCTGATAGACATCATTCTCGAACGACGGACGGGAAGATGGACTTGCGGTGACGATTAGCTTGGGGCTTTTGGCGAGGAAATAAGCTTAGTATCTAGGAAGGCAGGTGAGTTGGATAGTACCTTGGGATATATGATCTCGGCGTGACGTTATGTCATTGAAGCAAACCATGGTTCGTGATATTTCCTCGCTTGGGACCGCCCCCGCAAAACGGTGTGAAGCCACACAATAGATCACAAAGAGAAATCCACAAAGAAAACAGAGCAAGCCATCACTTACATTCTTTGTGGGAAAGGTTTTATTTCTGATTGTTATTAGTTGTAGTCGCAGACACCAGAAAATCCGCGGCAAACGTTTTGTATGAATCTGCTCTTTGATCAGAATGTCTGTAAATCAACTGAGACTGGGTATAGCGCGATCGAAGCAAAAGTAGACCCTCCAACCCCTATACTATGTACAATTAAGAAGGCTTGGGGGTCCCTAGAACCTCTCTCTTATTAGATATGAGTGTTGGCTTCATAACCATCATGGAATCATCGCGCATCTCTCGACTTAAACCTTCAGTTCTGAAGAAATCTCTGCCCGGACCTTACCACACCACTTCCAGATTGCTTCCTCGAACCCCTTCCAGGCAGCCCTGTCCGTTCCATGGACTACCCCCATAACATCTACATCCAGGATAACCTCCCATCTCAACTCCGCAGCTTTGATCCAATACCTCAAGTTTTCCGCGCATCGATATGGTTTGTCGAAATTGGTATGCCACCTATCAATGGCCCCAAACGGTCTCTTGCTTTTCCTTACCACGGCGTTATGTAACTTGATCAATCTCATGCCGGTTCTCATCTCTTTGAGAAACTCTGTTGGTAAATTCTCATCCTCAAAATCATCTACGGATTTGAATTCTGGGATCGTGTCGGGGTCGGGATCCATAGATTTTATGAAGGCGTATTCCCTCTCGATGTCTCCGCCGTTCCAGGAATCATGCAGCCAGGTCCAGCTGGCCCTTCGTTGTCTCTCTGCCTCTTCCATCTCCTCTTCCAGCTTTAACATTTCATGCACGCTTTCTATCCAGCTTTCCATAATCTCTCGTTCTTCTAATTTCATTCCGGAGGCAAAATTCCTTGTGGCCATTCGTTTCAGGACATCCATGACGGAAAGTAATTCCGATCGGATTTGTCGTTCAGACTTGATAGTTGAAAGACGTGCTGGTTGATCGTGGGATGTATAATAAATTTTCGCTGCACGGATGGCCAAAGTCATGATATCTAGAATATGCATTCCCTGCAATTCATACCATCCGCGTTCAGTAGTGGGTGATGAGGCATTTGGTGAGCCGGGTGTCGTTGGTGCGTCAGATGTTATTATACGAGGTGGTGAGGTGGGCGGAGAGGTGAGCGGGGGGTTTTGGTTTTGCTTGGCATCTTCGAGAACTTTGGATGCTTCTACTAGGGCCTTTTGTAGATCGTCTTTGAGTTCTTCGAGGCTCGGTGGCGGGGGGATAATCTTCTCGCGGTGGATATATGTGCTTACAGTCGGAGGAAGCATGTGTGGTTCGTCGCCTTCTTCACCGCTGAAATAGTCGTCCTCGTCCTCATCCTCTTGTGTAGGGCTCTCCACCATCATCCCATCCAGTCCTTGTGCGACGAGCTCCGGGCTGCTGCCCATCGATGCATACGACGAGTCCACGTCTGAACCAACCCCGTTTGGTGTGAGGAATGATGTATCCAAAGCCGACAGGTCCAGCGGCGGGTGGGTTTCCTTCTTCTTGGCCAATCGTCCTCCTTTCCCGTCCAAGAGTCCTGTCCGCGCGAAGTAGTATTGGAGATGGACTATGCTGCCTAGGCTTAGGACACTTTCTCTCGACTTGGCCGATGCCGCGAAATCCGTCCCTTGGGGTCGAACGTATCCACGCCTCTTCGATTTCTCATGGCCTCCCGTTGAATATCGAGATGAGTAGCTCGCAGACGATGATCGGGACCCCACACTTATAACTGAGCCGGCCAGGGATTCTCGTCCCATTGTACTGGAGCTGCCAGAAAAGAGAGACCCCGTAGAAGCCGTTGAGACACAACGCGAGAGCCCTGGACATGCCCCTATTGCTGGAGTCGGCGAGGCGGATGGAGATGGGGACTCTCGACGGAGAGCAGGTCGTTCGGGGATATCCTGTGCAGTCGCCATGTTCACTGTACGTCGTGTTCTCGAGATCTCAAATTAAAGATCCTGCGTCCGAGGTTGCCGTGATTGCCCGTCCTTTGTGACAACGCAGATCTGAAAGCCACCGAAAGCTTCTCGAGAGGACCATCGACTCTGGTCCACGATAGCTTCGAGATGTGTTATTATTGTATGGGGGGTGTTGTCGAAGTGTAGGACGGGGGTAGTTTTGAGGTAGGTAAGGCAGGTAGATATTCGTGATCCACGGATCTGGAGGGCCGTGCCGGGTGCGTGCCGGGAAAAGCGTGTTGGAAATAGATTAATAAAGCAAGGGTATAGGCACCTAGAAGTTCTAGAAAGCTTCCAGTCTTCGATGCAAGGCAGGCAGGTAAGTTAAGATACCGTCGCGTTCACATCCAGATAAGTAGGGGTTCACGTCTCTCTCTCGATATCAGACAAGAAGGAGTATGAGAAGCATTACAGAGAAAGGGAATGGGGGGTGAAAGGGACGAAACGTGATGGGTTGATTTCGTGTGCATGGCAACCAAGCCAGTGCAGAAATAAAATTAAATAAAAGTAAAAAATCGCGTCGAGATGCAGCTGTTGGATAGTGCCCGACCACTGCACAGGACTAACTCATACTACATCTAAGAACAATGAAGCTTTACACGATACTGACGGACAGTGGCTTCCGGTTGATGCGGCTACAAATTGTTATCAACGTCGTCGATGTAAATGTAAATAGAAATGTAAATAGAGATACTTCATCGTTAATACTAGTTGACCGTTGTACCTGTAATAGTAGGACCCTAGTTACATATGTGATGAGATGTCAGATCGTGCCCCTGAAACCCGGCCACTGGTAGCAGCGTGCTACTCCGTCCCCCACTAAACTCCGCTATTTCAGGGGTCGGTCGGTCTTTGGTGTTGTGGCTATTCCGTAACCTCTCTTGGTTCGGGGGAAGAAAAAACTGCCTTTGCCGAGCTACCGACGGAGTACTCTGTTGTATACTCCGTAATGATGGAGGTTGCTTTTGTTAGTAATGGCGAGAGGATGACAACTTCAGCACTGGATTCCTGATCCTCGGATGGCTGGGCGCAATTCTGGTGATGTCCGTCTAAGACATCCCAGTCGGAGATCCCTTGATTTTGGGGAAATCACTTCACCAAGATCATTCCACTGAAACATATACCAAAGGGTTCTGATGCTAATTGCTCAACGAAGGCTTTAGAAAGTGGCAATGTTTCAACAGCTGAGCCCTGTATCCAAAGTCTATTCAAGGTCTATCCATACCCTCAATCACCTTCCCATCCAACCACCATCGACAACCAGCACATGTCCTGAAACATACGCACTCGACTTACTCGCCAGAAAGACCACACTACCCTTGAAGTCGTCCGGGACGCCCCACCGTCCAGCGGGGATCCGCTCACTGATACTCCTCAGTCTCCCTTCGTCTGCCAGGAGAGCAGTATTCATGTCCGTCTCAATATATCCCGGAGCAATGGCATTCACAGTTATTCCCTTCGATGTCCATTCGTTTGCCAATGCCTTTGTCAGCTGCGCCACAGCGCCCTTGGAAGCAGCATAGGCGGGCACGGTGAATCCACCCTGGAAGGAGAGCAGACTGGCAAAGTTGATGACGCTTCCACGGCGGCCGGTGGAAGGAGAGGGTTCGAGTGTGAGCATATGTGCGCCCACATCGCGGCAGAGTGTGAAGACCGTAGAGAGATTTACTTGGAGAACCTGCGACTGTCAGTTATCTGGTGCCCCAGATATAAATCGAGGCTCTCACCTCGTTCCAGTCATTATCTGGAAACTGGGCGCTGGGATGGCGACGTTGAATTCCAGCGCAATTGATCAGAATATTGATCTTGTGCCCGTCCTTTAAAATTGTAGGGGTCAGAGCAGCGACTTGCTCTTGTGATGCTAGATCTGCGGTGTAGATAAAAGCCTTTCTTCCAACAGCCTCAATAGCTTTTAAAGTGGCTGTTTGGGTATGGTCACGCTGTTCAGGCCAAGGTTAGCACATCCCCCCGCAATGAATTGTAGGGTAGCTGGATGTTGAAGTACACCTGTATCAGTATTATATCTGCTCCCGCTTCTGCCAACGCAATTGCAGCAGCTTGGCCGATGCCTCTGGTTCCGCCGGTTACCAGTGCTGTCTGTCCTTCCAAGGAAAACATCTTTGTTGATTCTGGAGTTGCCATCTTTAAAATTATGTGTTGAATAGTATAAGACACTTCAGAACCCGCCCTCCTATGTTTATATGGTTTTGCGGCCCGATGAAGTCTGGAGAAAGCGTCGGCGATAGAGCGGGGTCGACCCCGCACATGACCCCTCCAACGCCGTCAAAACCCGACAGAGCACAGAAATAAATCACAGAGCCTTTGTACTTAAAAGGCTGAGAAAAGCTGCGTCTTGCAAACAGCAATCTTTGATCTTATTCTACTCCCGGTACCTCAATTACAGTACCTCAATTACACCGATTAACCATAATATCGTCGTGCTTGTACAATGGCAGTTGAGCACGGAGATCCAGTGACTGATGGCGTCGTAAAGGCCTCAGTCCTGCATGGAGTGAAGGAGTTAAAGATAGTCAGTCCAGAAATTGACCGGCAGAGAGTGATAGATGACTGATTATTTTAGGAACATCGCCAGCTGGGAAGACCAGCGCCTTCGGAAGTCCAGGTCGCAGTCCAAGCTACTGGCCTCTGCGGATCCGATCTTCATTATTTCAATCACTATCGAAACGGAGACATAATAGTCCGGGAACCTCTGACTCTGGGTCATGAATCTTCTGGTGTGGTTACTGAAGTTGGCTCAGAAGTCACCAATCTCAAAGTGGGGGATAGGGTAGCTCTCGAGGTGGGACTGCCCTGCCTCGAATGCGAGCTCTGCAAGACAGGACGTTACAACATCTGCAAGTCTCTGAGATTTAGGAGCTCTGCAAAATCCTTCCCACACTTTCAGGGGACGCTCCAAGAAAGAATAAACCACCCGGCGGTATACTGTCATAAGTGAGCAATATCGCCAGAGAATTATTGCCTGTGCTGATATCCCCAGACTACCTCCAAATGTATCTGAAGAGCTTGGTGCTATCCTCGAACCACTTGGGGTTGCAATTCATGCTTCACGGCGAGCATCATTAAAGCCCAATAGCACAGTGCTCATTTTTGGTGCTGGCGCAGTAGGGCTTCTCTGCGCTGCCATGTGCAAAGTTTCAGGAGCCAAGACAGTCATCATAGCAGATATCCAAGCCGACAGAGTAGAATTTGCCGTCCAGAACAAGTTTGCAGATGCGAAGATCGTGGTCCCTATGAAGAGATTTGAGGCAATCGAGGACAAATTAAACTTTGCGAAGGAAGTTGCGGAGCTTGTGAAGGAGGCGTCTGATATTGGGGAAGTGGATGCAGTGTTTGAATGCACAGGAGTTGAATCTTGCCTTCAAGCTTCAATATACGTAAGTTTCAATGGCCCTGACTGTGACCATTTATCTGATATGAGTATGGATAGTCCACCAGACCTGGAGGGCGCATTATGTTGATCGGGATGGGGAGTCCAATCCAGACACTACCAATATCAGCAGCGGCACTTAGGGAAGTCGACCTCGTGGGGGTTTTCAGATACGCAAATACATACGATGATGCAATCAAGATTGTCTCAAGTGGCAATCCACTACTTCCAGACCTCTCGAAGCTTGTCACACAGAGGTTTAAGGGGTTCGAAAGGATACCAGATGCCTTTGCAATGGCAGGGAGAGTCAAAGATGATGAAGGGAAGTTGGTGCTCAAAGTCCTTGTTGACACGGAAAGCTCATAGATTGGAAAATTGCTACTTATTTATGTTGTTTATGGTGTTTAGGAGGGAAGATGCATGACCACCTTCATGGTGATTGACCACACAAAGATGCTTCGTCCGCCCCCCCTTTGTTAAGCGAACGCCTCCCCTATATATATTAATTGGCTTTTCGAACTTCGAATATACGAATTAAGTCACACTTTCACGATGTCATAAACAAGGCTAGACTATCTCGTCCTTTGCTATATATTTTCCCAAACACGTCCACTTTCCCAACCTTTTCCACAACAACAACCACAACCGTCAGGGGCGGATCCAAAGACAAAGACCCCCTTCTGCTCTAGTCAGCATCTTCTTTCCAAGAACTCAATCATTCAAGATGTCCTCAAATCTTTTCCCCAAGCGCTGGGAGATCGAGTCCGAGACGCGTCAGCTCTTCGAGCTCTCTGGTCTCAATTCCATCACCATGATCTCACCTCCTCGCTCAGGGCGCCGGGAGAGGCAATTCGAGTTGGAGACGTCTTTCCTCTTCGAATTCTCCGGTCTCGATTCCATCTCCATCCGTGTCTTCGCTCAGGAAATAACTAGCTGCGAATACGGCGACATGCCCCCCGAGATCCGTAGGCAAATGCTCCAGCACTACTATTCCTATCCTCTCCTCCCGCACGAGACGCCGAGAGTTATCAAGGCCCTGAGACCAGCCCCGTTGCTTTACGAAGAGGCTCTGCAGGAGTTCGCCGCTACCCATACTTTCACGTTCAATAAGTATAATGGGTTTAGCTTCAATAAGCTGTCTGACGCTGCTATTGCCCGGATCAAGAATTTGAAGCTTTGCATCACGTAAGTTGATTACCCCGGATCTAAGGTCCCTCTCTCTCCGTTCTATGCTAATCCTCTGTAACTGCTGTACAGCGACGAGCAATTCCTCAGCTTGAGTACTCATGATTTCAAACTATTGACCAGGGTGACGCCTGCTTTTATCCAGTCTAGATTAGTCAAGGCCACGGGCGTCAAGCACGTAGTTCTCAAGGTCACTGTCGGTCAGAAGGACGATCTCGAATTCGTATCGAGCCTTGCTGGCTACGTCGCCACATTCAATAATCTCCTCACGCTCAAGTTAGAGCTGACTATCTCCTGGGCTCAGTTTGCTGCCTATGGGGCTCGCGGAGCTATGATCGATATGGCATTGAAGCAGCTTTGTGAATCATCGGGCGTGGTTCCAACGACGTATCAAGGGCAGTTCACTTTTGCTATGGGGACGCGTGATACTTGGGGCTGGGAGGCGCCTGATGGTAAGGGGATAGACTTCTCGAAATTGCTGGGATCGAATAGACCCGAGTCAGAGGAATGGATTAATCTGACGGGTTGGGCACTACGGTACTGAAAAGGATGACTGAGACTGAGGGGGAAACATGATGGGATGAAGAGAGACTTGTTTGGTCGGTTAAGCTCTCGTGGGACCCTACATGAAGGGATATGGATAAACTCTGTACTGAATCAAGGTATTGAGCATTAATCGACGTCTCTAGAAACCCGGGAAAGAAAGGAATGCCACCTGGCTTTCAATTTGACTTGTACCGCAGCTTTGTGGTCATTGCCTAGACAAGCAATGCTAGGTCTTTAAAGATCGAGACCAGCTTTCCACTAATCGTTCGGTTGGCAAAAACTCACCCAATATTGGTTATTCGATGAATATCGGACATTCGACGAATCACTGAATAATCGATATTGGGTCAGTGTTGGCCAACCGAACAATCATTGAGAGTCTGTAGAAGCTCCCAGCGGCATGGTAGCAGCACGAGAATTTGCATTGCTTCCATCAGGTTGCCGAAGAAAATCGTCCCTGAGAGCTTACCATAACTTGGATCCGGAATGGATTGACGAGGATTGCAAGCACATAAAAATGGAAGCCGCAGTTAGAGAGATATCCTCTTCGTTGCATTCCCGGATATACGCAAGCCACGCTATTCATGTCCCAAGCCAAATTATCAAAAGGATTTCAATGTTCATGACGAAACCAATAACTCCTGTCCACTCCCTCCCTTATATTCCTCTTCTTCCAGACCTCTACCACCTGATAATCTTGTTTGGGAAAAACTCGTCGATCAGTTCAAGGTAGTACGGCTATGTTTTAATGTCAGCGTTGGAATCCTCCTAGAGCCATCGAGCGGTTCTCATACCTTCAAAGTCTCCACGCTCGGCACATCATCACTCTTGCTGTACAGGTCGTAAGGATTGAAAGCTCTCACAGCCTCTAGCATCTTTTGATCGTGCTCATTCATGAACTCCATGTAGGCACCGGCAGAATGCCAGGGGTAAAACGAATGGTATCTGATCATCGCTAGGGCTTCGGCAGGCAATGTCGATTGGTCCTTGACAATATGGTATAGATACTCATCATGGCCCCAAGAGAGCATGACGTTGTCTAGTCCGCATCCTGGGGTGTAGATACCGTTCTTGGTGCCGTATATAGGATGGTCGTGGTCGGGGTTGGCCTTAAAGGTATCAGGGTAGATAATGCGTTCGTCGAACGCACATCCAACAGGGAAGGTATCGCCGACAACATCCCACTGTCCCTCTGCGCCGTAGAAGAAGAGCAGCTTACCAAGATCGTGGATAAGACCCGTCAGCTGCATCCACCGGGGCTTCCCATCCCTGCGAATAGCCTCGGCGGATTGGAGGAGGTGTTCAATCTGAGAGAGCGATGTGTCCGGATCCGACTCATCGATGAGGGTATTGAGCTTCTCTATAGCTTGCCAGATAGACATCTCTGCTCGCGTCTTGCTTTTGAAATCGTTTCGAGCCTTTAGGTTATAGGCCACGGTCTGTTTCTCATGCTGCTCCCGGTAGAAATCCTTCACCCGATCACAGGCATCTTCATATTGGCGGAACTGGGTCTTGTCTTTGTCGGCGTCGAATTGTGACTTTTCGAGCATGTGTCTCTCCTTCTTTAGCTGTGCCTTGAGAAGGTTGACGGTATCGATGTTGTCCGACAGATCCTCTAGAGCCTGTCCATCTCGGTCACTATGAAGTGGGGCAGGATCTATAGCTGAGGGTGCCATATCGAGAAAAGTTTAAACTAGTCCACAAGATGTTGAGAGTGATTTGAGGCGGCAGAAACAGGACAAAGTTCTGAGGACTTTATATTGGAAATGTATGAATATTATGATTAAGAGAAAACCTGCGCAAAGAACTATTGGAGAATCGAGATGGTCTTGGGGTATATGAATATGCTTGAAATGATGCTTCCTATCTGAACAGTACAGAGCTTATATATTAAAAAGAATAGGCTCGCCGCTCGGTGAGACTACGGGATAAGCCTTGCAAAACCCATCTTATTGAACCAAGTAGAGTGGCAGAATTGCCCCTCCTTCCTCACCAAGTCGTCGAGGTCTAAGAGTTGACCAAAACGTTGAAAATCGCCGGAGGATTGTTGTGAGAATGAAGGGATTATTGGGAGAGAAACATGTAGGGAAAAAGGAACGTGGGGTTGTTGGAGGGCTAGTAACGACGGGTATTTGATCCCGCTTGCGGATATGCAACGACGGCAACTTTAGCGGAGGTTAGTTACTATTAATATTACCATTCATATTACCTGGTGGGCTTGGTGCCGGGGAAAGTTGCTGGTTTTTGCTGAATAACTCCGGGGATTCTTGCCCTCCCACGATCTTCCAATCACGGGAGCACTCGTTGTGGGTAGACCCCGGCGACAGTACTGTTGTACCTACCAATCTAAGGTACCTTCAACGGCTGATAACGCAGGACTGAGTTGGTAATTGTGAGACCAAAGATGTGTCACTTGATGTAGTGCTTTTGAACTAGGTACGATCGTACGGTGTAAGGTCGGTCTGTTCAGGCAATTTCATGATTGAGTGCTAATCACGTGATACTATGTTCAGGCATGCCGAAGGGGGTGCCCATATATGTACCTTGGGTGCGTATAGCTTCTCCTATGTTCACTCAGTCTCTGACTGAGCAATTTTCCCCTATTCAACAGTTATAATGTATGAGCCTGGGTTGCTTCCCACGACGCATTACGGAGGTATATTGCGGGGCTCGATCTCTTTACTCACCCTAAGGTATGCTTACGGCACAAGAGTATTGTAACACACAATAAACTTTGGGCCTTGACTGTCTCTAAACTACGCTCTGTTTTGATGCAAGCGTCCGCACATCGCATGCCACATGGCTACTGCATCGAATCTGGTAGTTACCCAAGTTGGTATTTCAGGCCACAAGGATTAGGACTATTGCACTTGGAGGCTGGGGCAAAAGTGTGGGAGCATTTCTAGGCCTGACCGCTAATCACACTACAGATAATGCTTCGACCTTTTCAGGCGCATAGATTGAGATTGATCAGCCGCCCTACTACTAAAGGAAAGATAGTTAATTCTTTACAAGAATACAAGCTTTCTAGACTCCTATTTCTTTAGTTCTGAGCTTCTCCCGAAGGAACTCAAAAATGTCACTTAGCATCTCTTCCGAGTACCAATGGCCACAGCCTCTATACTCGACCATCTGAACATCAGCCCCAACTAGCTCTAAGCAAGCCTTGGCCTCTCTTCCTAGCTCTATGGTCACCCTCTCGTCCTCTGTACCATGCCCCAAGAACACGGGGATCTTCTGAAACGCCATCCCTCCCTTTCCCCCTATCTCGATCTCGTCCCTTAAGAACATGATGGCTTGCGTTGGGAGATCATTTTTAGCTGCTCCGTAACTGCTGCTCGAAGAAAGAGATCCCGTGATATCGTCGTCATCTTCATCTCCTGCCGAGAAGGGGTCACTGGAAAACTCGGAGTCGTTCCCTCCAGCTATTTCCTCTAGCAGATTCGCAAATGGTAGCCATCCACACATTCCTACTACCGCCGCAAAAGGCGCGCTATCCCATGTTAACAGTGCGGTTAAAGACGTTGCACAGCCTTGACTCAGTCCCCACAGAACCACATTCTCTTTTCCTACTATTTCGATCTCTTTTTGTAGCAAAGAATGAATATAAGCGCTGCTCGCACGTAAGCCCTCCCTCTGTAGATCTTGTCGTTTAGTGCGGTCCTCTAGGTGCCAATTGTCAAACCATTGATGTGTATACGATCGCTTGTAGATCGTAGCACGATTGCTAGAAGCTGTGGGGAAGATGATTTTGGCGTGAGGAAATGCAGTTTGGAGGGTCTCTTTTCCTACGGTCGTGGCAGTGGATAGGAGAGGAGGGCCGAATTTCTCGGCGGTGGATCCTCGACCATGCAAGATGATAAAGGTTTGACGATGCTCCAGTTGAGGTGATATAATCATAGGTTCAGGGAAAAGACCTCTAAGGTTCTTTCCGCCTCCTGATGAATCCATTCTGACTGTAGACTAATCTTGCTGTCGAAAGGTAATTGTAGACGTTAGACAGGTAGGTACCTTAGGTATTGTATCGTTTGCGGAAGTTTGAATAGCGTTCAGTTTGGATGTGTTGGTCTGAACAGAAATCGTGGTATACCGTGTGTAGGTACCTAAGCTAAGGTGCTGTACATTGTCGCTTCAAAGGGTTGCAAGGTGAGTCAGTCAGGCGAGCGGCTCACCCTCAAGGTGATTACCCTTCAAGGTGGTTCGCTCACTCAACCTTATTTATACTCCTCGCCTCCCTCCGTTGGTTTCCCTTCCAGCTATTTAGCAACTCCACCAATAGGTTCATGATACATCGATTACAGCAGACTTAAGTAAAGTTGCCCTTGAATCAACGACTTAAATAGCCCTGTTATTTTGACAGCCTACCCGTCAGTCATACATCATTTGAATCATTTCTGAGAAAGGCATACTAAATAAAAAGCTATTAACTCACAACTTTACTGCTGTCCTGGCATGGGATTCAAGATTTTCTCGGGCGATCTAAGGTGGCATATCCAGTCAAAAGGAGCCATCCACCTAGGTTCACAACAAAGCCACCTCACTTTTGACATTGTCAAGGACTAAGAAATGATCTCTGACATGAAAGCTCAAAACATTCTGCTAGTTGGAACATCTGTTAAACTGTCTGATCTTGGACCTGCATGACCTCGTATGCTTTGAATTCCCGTGACTGTAGCTGATGCTATTTTCAGATTAAGAACAACTTCACCTTCTTCTACTGGAATTGTTCAACCAATGCGTTACCGCAGTCCTGATATTCTCTTTGATCTCCAGTGGACAAAAGAAGTCGACATATGGGGTTAAGGCATGGTATTGCGTATCTCTTTGCATAGTTGCTTAACCTTAGCTAATTTGCGTGGAGTGTATCCGTATGCCTCACTGAAGGCTTACCTTCGACCTGACAACTGGGGGCTGCCCCGGAGAATCAACTCTCAATATGACCCGAAGTTATGAGAAGAGTCAGATGCGACATATTCCATGACCTCAAGTTTCGGCTGAATTTGATACCTTACTCTCAGCAATGAAAAGACAGCTGGCCAGACTTAGTCCGGAACGAGAAGACGTAGCAATACCACCGATACTAGAATACTTGCAGTCTCCAGAAAAGGACATCCATCTCCAAGAGAAGGCCTTAGTTCCTGACTCCTACGGCAAATGAAATAGGTACTCAACAGGAAGATGACTAGGTAGATATGTAAGATGAGTGGAAAAGCGGCATGATTATATATTATTTTGATAAACCAACTTGATTATCCTCTCACTTAGAACAGCTCACAGAGAATCAACCACGTTGTAATCAAGCCGATTCTTAGTTCAACTCTGTTTAAACGGTTCTTGGAAAACGGAAATCTTAGGCGAGCATCGTCTCACCGCCAACGTCTTAGGGGTTATGGCACTCCGCTGTCAGGGCGCGCACCGCCCCAGGAACGCGTCGGGACGAGGGTTAGTCGTCTAGATTGTTTTCGTGGCGGCAGTGCAGACGTATAATGCTGGATACCCTACATATAAAACGATAGAGAGGTCAATAGATGTATAGATGCTTGGGTGTGTACCTACCTACATGTATGCAGCATGCATATGAAGGCAAGGTACAGACAGTGGAGGTATATATACTCGGGATGTCAACCTGGAAGTTTCTGGTCTGCGTATATATAACGTGTGATTACCCCTATTGCCCCTGTTTGCCCCACACTCAGGTGTAAATATACACCTAATTAGGTACATATACGCGTCAATACGCGCTCATACAGGATATACAGGATATATAATATAATATCCCACGTCTGTCTGCCTCACCGTAGAACAAAAGCCACTTGGCAGCCATCGAACCTTAAACGTACCTGTACTTCACATACACATCATCGTAACCGTCGTGATCCTCGCCTTGTCCTCTGTCTCCCTATCCCTCTGTTGTCAACTCTCTCCCGTCATCAAACTGTCAAGTCCTCCATGAACAGGCGCGCCCCCATTCTCCATTATCCATAGACGCTGCGCGCAATCCTCCCCGATGCCCGCGTTCCCCGATGTTCATCTTCTGTCTCGCTCACACTCAACCACGCTTTTGAGACCCCGACCCCTTTCTGAATACACACCAAACTCCGACGACCCTAAAGACCTCCCTCGTCCAGATCGAGTCCCTGATCTAAACCCTGCATCACATCGCCACGAACCACAGAAGCCGCGCGCACCGCGCAAGCCTTCACCCGGCCTGGCTGCTCGCCTCAAGGCATTGGGCTTTGGCAGGGATTCGACCAGTCCTTCACCTTCAGCCTCAACATCACCCTCAGCAGATCGGATAGGCCGCATACCTGAGGATCAGATTCGACAACTTGATTATAATCATCGAGCGACTTCTGCAAGTTCCACGATAATACCTCGCGGTCGCGCTTGGAGCGGCAGTACCAGCGGCCATCTCACTCCGCAGGTCACTGGTGACGGTAACAACAAATTCACAGCTGGCGACTCGCGCGTTTTTGAAGGCGGAACACGTCGAACATTTTCAATTACGAGCTCCGGCGATACGGCCATGGCCACACATACTGAGCAAATAGAAATGGACGCGCAGAAGTACAGGCTGCCAGATCACACAAATGGAAATGGTACCAAGGCCATGTCCGACACAAAACAAGCACACATCGAGAGAGAGACCCCACCAGTCGACTATGACACACCTCCAACCCCAATATCAAAGGACAGCCCGGGCGAGTTCACAGGCGACGTCTCCTCATATTTCAACCCCTTCGGTCTTCAGCGTGCAGGTTCAGTCTACACACTCTCGCGAGCGTCCTTTGCAGATCAGCTTGCACAGTTGACCTCCTTACAGCTTCCAGATGCTGAACTACTCTCCACAAAAGTTTCTGAGATACCGACATCGAAAGCTGCCGCGAGGGCATTAATGGGAGCCGCAGAACAGATTCGGAGTTGGATCTCAAAGGCGTTTGAGGTCATTGCTGGTTTGGATGGAGAAGATGATGTTGAGTGGGCTGCGGCTGGTGGAAGGGAAGGACTGGGAGAAGTGGACACTGCTATCACTAAGTTCGAGGAGTTGATCAAGGTCTACGTCTCAGCTATTGAGTCACTGCAAAGCCGTCAAGATATATCGAGCGTCCCGGCAGAAGATCTCAAACAAGTTGTTCTCCAGGTAGAGAACATTCTTTCCGAATGGGAGAAGATACGAAAGACCCTCAGAGGAGTCAAGAACTCGGTCGAGATCGCTATGGAATGGGAAGAGTTGTGGAATACCGTATTGGGAGATATAGGTGATGAAATGGACGTCCTGGTCCGATTGGTTTTCGAAATGGAGGAGAAACGACACAAATCATTAATGACAGAAACAGGCGGCGACGGATTTGATATCAAGGAGCTTGAGAATATTGTCGACGAGACCCCTCCTTCCAAGACCCGAATCCAAGCCAATACTGGGCTCAGTATTCGTGCTTCCTTTCCTCTCACTCCAAACTCCCCTCAAGCTCCCACAATAGCTCAGGATGACTCAAGTCTCTTGGCTTTGTTTGCGAGGATGCAGCCACTGAGAGCATCCCTGGATTTTTTACCCATGAGGTTGTCTACGTTTCATGCTAGAGCGGAGAAAATATTTCCTACAGCCTGTGAGGAACTCGAGACAAGACGAGCTGGGCTTGAGAAGAAATGGAAGGACCTCGAGAAGGATGCGGACACTCTTCGAAGGGAGCTGGGTGAAGATCGCTGGGTTCTGGTTTTCCGGGGTGCTGGACGACAAGCACAGAAGATGTATGAGTCGGTTGATCGCAGTATTACCAAGCTCAAGGAGTCAATTGATAACGGAGACTACCTCAACAATCCTGCTAATATGGCCAAGAGGACGGAGAGCTACGAAGCCAAGAAAGTGCATTATGGGCCGGCCATTGAGCGAGTCTTATCTATCATTGACAATGGGGTGAAGGATCGTCTGACTGTGAACGGCGAGATCTTACGGCTTTATTCTGATTTGCAACGCAGGTGGGAAGCTATGAAGGCGCAGATGAGTGATATTGATGCAAGCCTCGAAGAGATTCAGGCAGATCAAGGGCTGAGAGACTCTATCTCGAGCATGCTCTCGATCGATCGATCCACAGTTGGAAGCCTGAACGATACTCCAGGAAGCTCCCCAGCATCCTCTATTGTTATGACCGGAGTCAGTAGGGAGCTCGATCCCTTGACTCCAGTGAGCAACCGCAAATTACGACCAAGCAAGCAAAGCAGCCTGCCTCGACCCGACCGGAATCGAAATGTTAGCGCTCCAGCAGGCTTGGGTCAGAAAGTTCTCACATCCAGAATGTCGATGTACAGTGCATCAAAGCAGGACGCAATGGCGCCAGCAAGCAAGCGATTATCACGAATCTCGGCATCAGACAGCTTGGACACTAGGCCACGATGGAATTCTAGCGTCAATACCAATGATTTAAATTCAAGCCATAGTTATAAGCCTCCCAGCCTCAATACACCAACTCCTCACCGAAACCGCCTTTCTCTTATACATTCCAACAACTCTGGCACCTCATCCCGCGAGTCCAAGATACCACTTAGATCGCCTCCAAGAAGTGGCAACACTACTTCTACCATCGCCGAAAAAACCCCTTCCCGCACTTCGACATCTCGCCTTGCATTCCGCGACCGCACCCCTAATCCTGGTTCGCAAGCACAACGAGATGTCCCCAGCTCTTCCTCAGCTGCACGGCCACGTCACCTGTCAACGCAGTCTTCTATGTCTGCTCTCTCCTCTGTCAATCGTCGGTCGTCACTACAACCCCAGTCTAGCGACCCGACTACCCTGAGCAGTTCGCCATCGGGACCTACCACCAGGTCCGCGTCGTCTATGGCTGTCAATAGGCGTGTTAGTTTACTGCCTCTGGCAAGAGGAAGACGGGAGTCGGGCGTGAATGGCCGAGAGAGCCCTCAAGCTATAGCAGGTGCTGCGAGTGCGATGAGAAGAGGAAGTAGCCAGACAAGCACGGACAGCAGGGGGCGAGAGAGGAAACCTTGGCGGCCATGAAGCAAGCATATGATCTCCCCATGGCCTTCTTATATTTCACAGCTCAGACCCTCTATGTTAGCGGGTCATTGGATTCTTGACCAAGGTAGCCTCGGCGTTGCGTTTTTTATATCCATCATGACTGGGTTGGCTGGCTTGCATTTGAGCGACAACTCTTCTTTTCTTCTTTTTCGAACTCTTTAACTCTTCGGTTTCATCTCGCAGAGGTACGATTATTTTATTGTCAAAAACTATTTTGGCCAACGGAGAAAGGTGTAAATAGCGTGTGGGTTCTTTGTGTAAATAGGGTATTTGCGCGTGCGGGCACGAAAGGATCGATCGGCAAGGGCAAGGGGAAAGAAAGAGAGTCTATTAGGAACGACGAAGAGAGAGAGAGAGAGAGAGATGGTAATGGTATGGTAATGGTATGGTAGAATACCCTACCATGCATGCTGTCTCTGTGTATGATAGTTAGTTACACTATTAATCAAGGATGAAGAAGATACCCCTGTGGGTTGAATTGAAACTTGCGAATACCGAACACCGTCTGATGTGATGATGATCTCGTGCGTGAATACCAACTATGCTCTGTTTAGTGATATTAATTTCATTTCCCCCAAGTCAAAATGGTTCGTAATGGGCCGAAGGGGTTTTTTGAGATGCAGGCTATTATGCATATTCAATCCAATCCTTTAATTCGTTTCTTCGGGACATCATCTTCTCTCCTTTTTTCGCCCCCATTTCGAAACCTCCCGTTCTGTTTGTTATTCCAACGCCAAAAATAATATTTAACATTATATCCAATATGAATAAAATAGAATCATCGTCCGGGTCATCAAGCATTTTTGAGCAAGCACACCTATAATAACAACGCCGCTTCACCCCACACACCACTAACCTCTACCGCGAGGTTGATTATCGTGCCTATACTCCACAGCATGATCAGGCCCCAGCCTATCCTGCGGCTCATGATCCATTTGTTCAGAGGCACTGCGATCAAGAGACCGACGAGCGTGACCAGGAGCGTGATGGCGCTTACTAGCAGCGTGCCGCTGACTTTGATCTCGTAGGGTTTGTATTTGATGGCCTTCCCCGGATGCTTGGCGTGGGTTTGGTTCGCTTCCTTGATGGTCATGTAGAGGCCGCTCACGCCGATGCCGAGGAGGATGTTGAGCATGGGCCCGCCGAAGCAGGCGGAGAGCGCCATCACGGGGTATCCGAGGCGGGCTACGGTGATGTCGGCAACGAGGTCGCCGAGGGAGTTCCCGACTGCGAAGATGGTGAGGCCGAGAATGGCGTCGGAGATGCCGAGGATGACGCCGAAGGCTTTGAGGACGCCGACGACTTCATTGGCGATCGTCGAGATCCAGGAGATGGAGACGACGAAGCCGACGAAGCAGAGAAGGAAGCGGTACTTGGGCGGTTTGGAAGGTGTGGTCGTGAAGAGTAGAAGCGCAAATGCCATTAGAGATCCTAGAAGAGAGTAGAAGACTAGTTTTACGAGGAAGCGTGGGTCTTGTTCGGTGTTGGCCCAGACTATCACCACAACGAATAACGGGGCCGTGAAGATTTGGACGGCGACGAGCCAAGGGTTCCAATCTCTTGGTGGGCCCGCAGTTGGCTCGCTGGGATGGGATTCAGAATGGTCTATTGAATTCCGCTTAAGCACCGGGATGGGATGTGGGTGATGGTGAAGATTCTCGGTAGAGACTGCCACAGCGGCGGTGCTATGCATACTGAAGTCCCTCAGTTGTGATGGGGAAAGAGGAGGATGCTCTTGGGATAGAGTTGAGTGTCGGTAACGGATCCATTCGGGCTCCTCTCGTTCAAGGGAAGGGGTGTCCGGTATTAACAACGGCGCAGTACCACTCCTAGGCCTGGTCAGAGAAGCTTCTACCGCCTCCTCTTTTTCCCCTTCATCTTGAGATTCGGATTCCACGACAGGAAGTGTTATTGCCAGAAGGAAAATGCTCGGTGCTGATATGACGCTGACAAACTTATCCCATATAGACTTATCGCGCCAGGTGCAAAGCGTGGGGAACAACGTAGAAGCCAAGATCTGCGGATTCGGGACGAAACAGTAATTTGACCAAGTCCCTGGCCTTTCTTGATATTCAGGAGGATGGCCACTATACAGTGAGTCGTGGGGTACAGGTAGTGTTGAATCAGGCAATACAATGCTTGGAGGTTTCGAGCTCCGGCTGGACAATGGTAAGGGCGAATCGGTGTACGCGGGGAATTGTATAATCGGAGATACTATAGGGCTCCTGGAACTGTCCCTTGATGAAGAGGTAGGTATCTGAAGCGTGGGCCGTGGCTTAGTCTTAGGTCTAAGCACCGTTCTTGGGGACTGCTCTGGAGACTCCACCATTGTCTTGCCGTGTTCGCCGGAAAAGTCCACTCGGAGGTGTCGTGCACCAGGGAAACCAGTCACCGGTGGAGCGAGAGTAGATTCACGGCTTCGTCGGTGTGATGGCATAGGACTGGAATCCCTTGATGTGCCACCGGTAGACGGCGGAGGGGTAACAGACAGCGTCGGTGATAGGGGTGCAGGACCAGTGGGTGTAGTCGCGCGAGGGCCAGGACCATCACCTGGCACATCCAAGTGCTGTGGATATTTAGGTGTTGGGGCAATAAGGTCTATATCCGGTACTTCAGCCCCGTTGAACGTGTCGTGGTTCAATGGCTTACGGCTATCAACATCATTCATGGACACCGCCCTGGCTCTTGCCGAAGCTCCAGCTGTAGATAGACCCGCCTGAGAGTCCGTCGTAGATGTAACGATAACACTAGAAGCATTGTCCGAATATGGCTCTCCTTCGTATCCTGGTCCATAGTACTGGCTGCCAGCAGCGGTAGGATCATCCGAATATCGTCGAAGGTGGATTGGTCTGACGTTCGAGGAGCCTCGAGACCTCTGCAATGAAGAGAGAACTGATCGAAATTCAAGCGCCCCTACAAGACTGGGGCGGATTGGAGTTATCGTGTTCCTGCGACTGGCCTTTGGTTTTGCAACCCGCATACTGGTAGCCATCTCGGTGGCGAGATGAACTCCTTCATCGCGGTCTTCATCGCTTTCATCCTCTCCCGTTGGAACATACGCAGGGCTCGACCCGCGCTCCAGTGCACCTGAATCTTCTGAGTCTCTATAGCGTCTCCCCCCAGTAGGCGGTTCTTCGTCACCGCGGTCTTCTTCTGCAACCTCCAGCTCCTCGTTTGTCATAGCTAGATACTGGCCGCGAGCAGCCGCCTCCCTCTCACGACGTCTCCGGCGCCGACTAAGGTACCAGTGCCATAGAACTACTAGTACCACATAAAAAATGTAGAATCCAATCATTACGCAGCATTCCCAAAGGTGTAAAGCCCCGTCAGCCAAAATCATCATGGTAAAGCTTGCTGCAACAATGAAGAATCCAACATCCCTAACGAAGGTCTTCTTTCCAACTTTGAATTCCCTTACTAATGCCATTGATCCTGCAACGACAGCAGTTATGAATCCGGCGGCACCAATCAATTCTCCAACAGCTAAACTGCCGCTGTGGGAATTCATTGCCGCAAAAGTCGAGAAAACATCGGGACTTCCATTTCCAAACGCCAACAACGTTACACCTGCCATGCTCTCGCTCATGCCAAGTAACGACGCAATCGCAGAGAGATTTATGCCTATAGAAATGTTAGGCAGGAAGTCGCAAAGCCTACACGTTAACAATCATACGTACAGAAGAAATCGCTCGCCGCAATGCCGATGGTTGTAAAGAGGAGGGCAAGCCATAACGTGAGAATAATAAATGCCAAAGGTTGCGCATTCCCCAGAGCACAATAATATAATTGCAGATAGGAGAACAGGCCGGCTTCCTCGTCAGCGCAATTGGCACGTATGAAGGCACATTGATCTTCGGCATTGTGGACGCGACGGCACTAAAAGAGAAGAGCTAATCAGCGCATAGTCAATCATTAACATCTGATGGATGTGACAGTGATGATGGGTAGGTAGTATGTGCTTTAAGGAACTGGGTGCGTTCGCACCTCCTCGTCCGTCTCCAAGAGTTGCGTGCCACCCGGGTTCTTCAACGACCGCCTGTCGTTGCCCCGGGACTGAACCCCATAGCGATATCTAGCACCCTGATCCGCCAGGAAGCTGATGACAGCAAAGGACGATATCAAGAGGACGGCGACATAGAATGCGCGGAAAGAAGACCTGAACCTTGCGCCGCGATTCGACACCGCCTTCGAGGTTGTTTGGCGCATGTTCTCCTTCCTGGCATGATCTAGCGTGGCAATGCGATATTCGTGGGTGTCGAGGAAGCCCGACCCGACCGGAGATGGATCATATCAGGGGGAAAGATGATGCCAGAGGAGGGTTTGGCATGTTGCGGATTAAGTATCCAGTCGTATTGGACGAGGACCTGCTTTCACAGGTTCGAGTCTCTGGATGACGCTCGCCCAGCCTGCCCAGACTGCGGAGCCGCGCGTCCGGATAAGATAAGGGGTCACGTGGCGCGTTGCTGCGTTGTTTATCCCTGCTTTGTCCGCTCTGTTTACATCGCGTCGCACTATTCGAAACGAAAACGACGCTCTCTCCGAACTCCATCCCTCAACGTCACGGCCATGCCTCGAGTTGCCCAGGCGCCACGCCCCAGCAATAGCAGGGCCGCACCTGGTTCCATCGCCGCCTCTCCTTTCAAGTCGCCCGTGAAGTGAGCAACTGAACGTAGCTCTAGGTATGCAAGATGCTAACAACCGTCACTTAGAATCCCTTTAAACGACGATGTGCAAGAGAAGGCGAAGAGGCTGCAATCCCGACAAGCTCTTCACGATATTCAGATGAACCAAATCAAAGCTGCCGCATCGCCAATGCGAAGGCACACAAGCCTTGAGCAAGCGGGCGGCTCACCATCTTCGAACCCAAAAACACCGCGACGAGCGCCCGGAAAGGAGAATGATCTCGACGGAGGAGTGCTCATGGTTGGAGGAAGTGCGGTCACGCCCATGAAACGAGTACCGATACTTGCCAATTTCGAGGAATGGATGAAGATGGCTACAGACAACAAGATCAATGCTACCAACTCGTGGAATTTTGCCCTCATCGACTATTTTCACGACATGTCATTGCTGAAGGAGGGTGACGGTGTCAATTTCCAGAAGGCTAGTTGTACCCTGGACGGGTGTGTCAAGATTTACACGAGCAGGGTTGACAGCGTGGCCACGGAAACTGGAAAGCTCCTAAGTGGTCTTGCGGACAGCGGAAACAACAAAAAGAAACGGGATGAGAATGAGGACGGGGAAGAGAGTGAAGAAGAGGTAGAGGATGAAGATGGAGTTGTTAGGAAGAAACCTAAGAAGAGGGTATGTATAGCCGGTTCCTCGTATGTTGTCCGTCATGATGGTTCTAGAGACTAAAAGGATGCCCAGGCCCAAAGGTCTTCCGAAGCAACATTAGCATCCTCTTTTTCAGCCTTACAGCTCAAGAAATTTGAACTCGAGTTCTCTGTAGATCCCTTGTTCAAGAAAGCCTCGGCAGATTTTGATGAGGGAGGAGCTAAAGGGCTTCTGTTAAATCATCTGGCCATAGACTCGCAGGGTCGCATTGTTTTCGACAGTAGTGATGATGCCGGTGATGCATCGGGAGAAGGGCAAGCAACCAGACGAAAAAACGACAAGGTCCGAGAAGAGGAAGAGGAAGAAGAAGAAGTAGAGCCTGATTCTATGGCGGACACAACCGTAAAGGAGCCCGAAGACGAAGAGGAAGATGTTGAAATTGATGTCGGAGCTCTTGGTGCCAGGTTCTTCCCCAACCTTGACCGATTGGAGGAACAAGATATCTGCCCATCCTTGAAGAACTTTGACCTGGGTGATCCGTCTGGCTCAATGGATATCCCTTTCTTGAAGGCCCCAGAAGACTGGCGACAGGAGAAGGATAAATCACCCGAGCTGGGGGTTGTAGGTGATAAATCTGGCATCTTTCTCGACGATGACAATCCAGCCGGTTTTGAAGATGACGATGATGGTTTGCTTGGAAATTTTGAGATTCCTGCGGACGCCGGATTTGGAGAAGGAGGTGAAGCCTGGGCACGTGATGCCGCAATCGAAACCCGAATGCGCGTTCATGATGCTGGATATGATAACGACGGGATGGGAGGTGGAGATGGCGAAGACGGCGAAGGTATGGGGGCGGGTGCTTTCGATCCCGAGACCGGCGAGTATGTCATATCAATGGATCGCGGAGGAAAGAATCAGGTTGGGCACGATGATATATTGAGTTACTTTGATGAAGCATTGCAGAAGAACTGGGCAGGTCCCGAGCACTGGCGGATTCGAAAAATCAAAGACGTCAACAAACCAGCTTCAGCAGCAAAACCACGAAAGGAGAAGGAACCCTTTGAGATCGATTTTACATCGCCCTTGAGTGCAAGCCTCGCGGAGACTATTTACACACCGGCCGCATCAAACACGGTTATCTCTCTTCCCAAAAAAGACTGGAAGTCAAAGACGAGGAATCTACTCCCTGATGACAAGCATTTCAACTCCAAGCAGTTACTAAGGCTTTTCCTGAAACCCAAAGCTCGCATGGGAAGTCGACGATCCGGATTCGGAGCAAAGCCTGGTGCCTTTGGCCAGCAAAGAGACGAAGAGGCACCTGAAGGTGAAATGGACGAGGCTTTCTGGGCACGCAAAGAAGATCCTAACGCGGCTGGTGCCGACGACCCATTACCTCAAGGTGACTACGACGCAAATTTCTTCCAAGATGATGGCTTGGCGATGCCAGGAGTTGATGATGATGATGACATGGAGTTTGCTGATGCTCGAGATCACTTCTCACCCGGTGCAGAGGAGAGAGGTGATGGAGGCATGGCGGGAATCAGCACCGTGCTGAATGGGGGTATGGGCCCAGCCACCGATACGGAGGGGGCGTTTGGGACACAACTCGTCACTCAAAGCCGAAGACTGAGACCAGAATATGTCCAATACGCTCGGGTGGCTAAGAAGGTCGACGTCCGAAGACTGAAGGAGGAGTTGTGGAAAGGAATTGGGAATGCCGGTCTTGAAGACGTAAGTCGCTACAAGTCACACAATGCCTACTGCATGCTAATAATTTCCACAGGCACCTGGACGCCTGCCTACACCCGAAGTGGAAGCAAAGCAGGGAGAGGAAGACGGTTTGAAATTCACATCAGTGATGCAGAACCTGCAGAAGGTGTATCCAAAACAGGCGATGGACGACATCTCCACGAGCTATTGCTTCATTTGCTTGTTGCACTTGGCGAACGAAAAAGGATTGGTCATCGAGAAACAAGAGGGACTCATGGAGTTGAATATCAAGAGGGATCCGACGGCTGAGATTACCGTCGGGGCATAGGTGGTGAATGTCGGATTGTACATAGGCACGCTGTATTCAACGGAGTTTGGGCATAAGCATGTATCGGAGAGAAGGCGTGGACGAAAACACGAAAGTCCCATGACGAACCGTAACGATAGGAATCAATTGATTTACGTTGGCATGTAATGTATATATATGGTGCGGTGCTCCGGAACAATCGAGGACTGTGCCTCTGATGTGCCCCTCGTGTTGGACGAGATACAATGATTGGTGAACAGAGGAGAGGGAGGAGTCCTGAGATATAAGGCGGGGAACATATAAGGATTTCCAGCCTCACCGCCACTGCAGAAGATAGCGACGACAGGGAAGTTCAGTCAGCCTCCTCATCATTGCGCATCGATCAGTTTATTTTTGATACTCGACCAGAGGCTTCGCCGGGTCCCCTACGCCGTACTATACCACTACGGTCCTACTGTCTGGTAACTGAACCGCCTTAAATTCACAGAACCACAGTTATCAACGCCCACCATGCCTCCCCAAGTAATACTCCGTACCGTGCCGCAAGTCGCCGCACGCCAACCGGCCAACCAGCCCGAACCATGAAAGCTCACGGTCAAGGATCGTCACGCTGGTCAAAGAGCAAGAGCCCGAAGGAACTCAGCAACAATTATCACACGGGTTGAACCATGTTGGTCAGTTGGAACTTGGTCTCCGCCCAGGGCTCAGCCTCTCCCAACCTCTCTCTCCAAGGGTCCAAGGGTCCAACTTCCAAGTCTCTCAAGACCCCAAGACCCCACGACTCCAACAGTACCTAGGTAGTAGTCCATGTCCAACACCGGCTACTCCAAACTCCAACTCCTGGGATGTCAATCTGACCATCTTTATCGTCTGGGCGGCCCGCAAAGTTGCGTCGTGCTGATACACACCGCGGTTGATCATCACCATGTTCCCATTGGACCAGCGCAAAGCGTTCCTCCCGATGAATGAGGCGCAGCGCCGTGAGGTGAGATTCTGTCGAATGCCCTGCCCTGCGATGCGATGCGATGCGATGCGATGCGCGCTCCTCCCTGGCACAATCCTACTCTGTATTAATCCCGTCTTTCCCCACAGGCGAGCAGCTGCGATCTCTTTTGATGCTTCTTGGTTCTTTTTTCTTTTTGGCCCTGCGTGCTGTCGATTCCATGCTGTCTACACGACCATGATTGTGTCGCGGTTCAGCCTCGCGGCCGCTGCGAGTGTACGACTATTGTTGTTGTTTTCATTGTTGTTATTATCTGCTGCCCCAGCGCGATCGACGACAGCGACTCAAGCCACAGTCGCGACGACGTTATCATCAGCGTCGATTACTTCACCGGCTGTGGCCTCCGCGACATCTCTGAGCGCGGCGCTCCCCTCTCCCAGCTACTTCTCCGCACCCTTTGGGATCCCTCCGCAAATCGTCCTCGATCAGCCAGCAATCTTTAATTACACATTACCATACACTACTCAATCGCCAGGATTGGTATTGTGCCAGACGAACGCAACCGATTCGGATCCCATCAGTACCGCGAATACCTGGATCGTACTGCTCGTTCCATTGTCAGGTTAGTACGGAGCATCCAGCCTTGCCCACCTCATCACCCCTCTTGTAATTTAGAATAACATATCCCAGATGACGGCCAGACTTCTGTCGAACAAGCCAATGTCTGGAAATCCTTCCCGCTGACCTTCCAGTCCGTCCCGGGCTACAACAACTTGGAGAACCTCTTCTTCTGTTGGGGGATTGGCAGCATCTCCCCCTCGGTGAGCTTCACCTGTGAATCCTACAGTCCCGATTTCAACGTCGAGGGGGCGCCCTCCCAGCAGCACAATGCCGCCAGAGGGATACTGGGCCAGAGGTTCGCCTCTCCCGATGCGCGAGAAGCGCTCCTCGCCGCGCGCTCTATTGTCATGCCCGCGACCCCTCTCTTCATCTCCCAGAGCACCCAAGTGCTCGCCATCTCCGGCGTCCCTTCATCCAGCACCCCGAGCACCACCTCCTTACCTAGCCAGGTCACCATCACGACGCCCGGCCCCACGGGGACGACCGTGACCGTAACCCCAACGCCCACCTCCCCATCCGATAGCGATTCCTCTTCATCCTCTTCCTCCAAATCCAAATCCAAACTCGGCGCTGGTCCTATCGCCGGAATCGTCATCGGATGTGTCGTCGGCCTGCTCCTGCTCCTCGCTCTCCTCCTCCTATTCTGCATCCGCCGCCGCCGCCGCACCCCTCGCGGTCCCCACTCCGACGTGCTCCTAGCACAAAGCCGCAACTCCTCCAGCCGCGGCGAACTCGCACTCGAGAAAACCAGTCCTATCACCACACCCACACCCACACCAGGTCTCACTAGTAGTCCCGGGGTTTTCGAGACTCGTCCCTCATCCGGCGGGCCTTACGATCACCTCCGGCAATCCGCACCCTACACCGGTCCCGCAGCACCGATCGCGCGTCGGCCAACCACAGCCACTATCCTCACCACAAGAACAACATCATCGTCTCGAGGCGCGCCCTCAATATCCGAGATAAGCGCGCCTGTGAGTCCGCGTTCGACTGTACGCAGCGAGGATGATTCTACTTCTGTGTATCGGGAGAATCAAGAGATTCATAATAATAACACGCCGATGATATATGGCGATGCGAGACATAGACCACAGGTATATAAGGGAGGAGCTGGAACTGCAGCGTTATTGTCGACGACGCCGTTTTTGAGTGAGCCGGGTATGACGCCGGAGGAGATGGCTAGGTTGGAGGAGGAGGAGAGGAGGATTGATGAGGCTATTGCGGAGGCGGAGGCGGCGAGGCGATAGTATGAATGGATTGGATGGATGGATGGATGGGGGGGTGGATGGATGGGGGTTGGGGAAGGAGGGGGGGGAGAGGGAAGGGGAAGGGGAAGGGGGATGTTTTGTTTTAATTGCATGCATGCATGCTATATAGCGGTTTATGATGGATGGATGGACATGGCTCGGTGTACTATACTATACCAATGATACCTAAAGTTAACTCTTATTTTCATGGCTACTTTTGATTTCCTCATACATACGGAGCAGAAAGAAGTTGACAGACACATGAGATGGATAGGGTGATAATTAACTAGACATACATACTATGATTGACGAGGGTGCGTGGCATCAGGAGAGAATCTCAAAATGGACATGTATGTATATATATATGTATATTCAAAAAAGATGCACATGAACTTCCTCATTGTTGTAGTAGCTCCCAATAGTTTTTAAAAGGGATTCTATGCTAATGCATCGCCAAATGTCATCTCGACCGCCAACTCCACTCACTTCATGCTAAGATACACAGAAAAAAAAACACCAGTCAAAGGCTTTGTATGTTTTGGCCGAACTCCAGGTAAATGAATGGCTGCTGAAAAAAAAAAGTCCTTTGCAACGCCTAACTAGGCAAACCTTAAGCCAGAAGAAAAGCCAAAAAACAAAAGATGCAAGATGCAAGATGCAGAAAGAAACACCCGAAATTTGCGTGGTCCGACTCTATAATGCTAACGCCCGCCATGATAACCAGCATTAAACCATCCCTGTTGCTGCGGGAATCCAGGATTCGCAAAGAACTGCGGCGGCGGTGGAGAATAAGGGAAATAAGATTCTCGTTGAGGGGTTCCAGGAGTTCCAAGAGTTCCAGGAGTTCCAGGGCGAGCCGGAGCTGACCACCCACCACCCTGGGCAAATACATTCGCGGCGGGTGACATCCATTGCTGTTGACTCTGGGACAGATCGGGGTACTGCATTTGTGGGTATTGTCCCATGCCGCCATATGGGGACTGAGGCACATAGTCAGCGTTTAGTTGGTGTTGCTGTTCCTGAGCGACTGCCTGTATCACCGGTAGGCTATTGATACTTTCTTTGAATTGTCGATTCTCTCTCTCGCGGACTTCTATCGCACTAAGAAGGCCAGTACTAGGAGGCTCTTGTCGATTGTTATGCGCCATATTTATCAGAGGCTGACCTGTTAATCTTGCGATGTATGCATGGTCGCGTGCGGATAGGCTTGAGGAACTGGCACCATTCCCTAAAGGACTGAGTGCTACAGACGCACCTCGAGAGTTTGGGCGTTGAAGTAAGTCAATCGAGCTGCTCCGGCGGGAATGTCCCTGCTGAGCTAGCAAGTCGATCGAGCTGCTCCGGCGGGAATGTCCCTGCTGAGCTAGCAAGTCGATCGAGCTGCTACGGCGAGAGCGCCCCTCTTGAGCTAGCAAGTCAAACGAGCTGCTGCGGCGAGAGTGCTTCGGCTGGGTTAATAAGTCGACCGAGCTGTTCTGACGAGAATGCCCCGACTGACTTAACAAATCCGAGCTGCGCTGACGAGAATGCCCCGACTGACTTAACAAGTCAACCGAGCTGCGCTGACGAGAATGCCCCGGCTGGCTTAACAAGTCAACCGAGCTGCTCTGACGAGTATGCCCCTGGGGGCCAAGCAAGTCACTTGATCGATTTCGTACGAGAGGAGGTGTAGGTGTACTGCGGAGAGTGTTTGCAGAGGTTTGACGTTGATGCGCGTACAAGGGGGTTGCGGCCGCTCGCTGCTGGACAAATTGTTCCGGAGTGATAGCACGCTGAAATCCAGGGGAACTGCTGCCAATGGCACTCATACCTGGTTGCCAGGCCAAGGTCCTGCTTTCCCCGGACTCGTTCCGATAGTGTGCGCCGCCATCTGGCGTGGTGATGTTGCGACTAGATGAACTGGAATGAGCTCGATGTCCTGCGGCAGGTGCAGGTCCAGGACTTGGACTTGCGCGGCTGGGCGCGCGCTCTGCACCGGGCATTTGCGAGGGCCCTGGATTTTCTCCCCCGACGGGTTTCCGCTGTAGAGGTGCTCGATCTGAAACGAGGTTGAGAGTGGGGCCGAAGTCTATGTCCAGAATTGGTGACTTGCTTCCACCGTCATTTTCAACAGTTCCCACGGTTCGCAAGACGCCAGCACGGGGTTTCTCAACAGACTTTTGAGTATCGATAGATGGACTTGAGGTACTAGCATAGTCCGGTTCGTCGTCATCGGAGCGAATATCATCTTCATATACGCTGATCCCTGTGTTCGATCTGTCTCGCAGATCAGGCATTGGTGGTATTGGTGGTAGGAGCGTTGGACGGTCGTCGCGGATATCTTCCGGATATACACTGGTGGCTGTATTTGATCTGTCTCGATCCGGTAAGAGGGTAAGCTTTCGATCGGAAGGTTTTCCAATCAAGTCAAAGGCGGCTTGATCTATAACGTGCTGCGCCAAGCTACCACTACTCGATGGTGTTTCTGCCGATACTGGACTCACTACACTGGAACTATTTGTGGGAACGGGCTTGCGAATAATGCTTTCTCTAGTCTGAAGCCGCGGTGGTTGAGACGGGACGCTGCGGGTAGAATCTGTCGACTGCTGAGGTATATGACCCTGCATGGATGAAGGTTGTGGGGACCAAGTAGCTTGGGTGTTCGGATCTGAAGAAGCAAAAGCCTGAGGAGGATCATACGTACGATTAATGGAGGAATGGTCTCTGGCGTCACCAGGCTGAGGAGTTGAAGGAGTGTACGAAGATTGATGAGGTTGTGAAGAATTGGTTCGTGGGTCGAGGTCCGAGGGACGCGGCGAGGGTAAGGACTCGTCGAAAGAGGCTAGAATTGATGCTGTTACCGAGCCTTCAAAAAGACCATCACTATTAGCAGGAGATTTGAACTTGTTGGCTTCTGGTAGTACCCCTCTCTGGTCTGTTTGACCCCTATCCTCCGAATCTGGACCCTTTTCCTCGATGAGCCTCAGCTCATCGCTTCTTAGCCCTTCTCCATTACTGTGGTATGCAGCAGCAATGCTGCCAGCGCCTGCTCCACCTGCCAACAGGGATAGAGTCCCAGTGGACATACGGCTATTAGCTCTGCGCAATTCTGGTGACTGATACGGCTTGCTTGGCGGGAGGGAACCTGGACCGTGAGAGAAGGCGGGCGGGGCGGCAACTGGTTCTGGAGCACCAGTTGCTCGCAAGTCCTGGAGTTCTCGTACGGGTGTCTCCGGAGAAGTTTGTTCATCTTCTTCTGAGCTTACGCGCTCGGGGGTGGTACCCATCTCATTCGTATACTTCGAGCCCCCAAAACTGTGCGGAGGTGGTAGTGGACCTTGTTCGTAGGCTCCATCAAAATTGGAAGATGCACTTGCATAGCGGTCGTGGGCATGAGTGTCCGACACCGATCGATAGTGAGGAACAGAAGACTGCAGATCAGCACTACCAGGCGGTGCAGAGTCCGTCCTTGGAATTCCTGTTCCGTATGGTGGTTCTGCTTGCGACTGAGCCCATCCAATTGGTGGCGAAGATTTTATTGATGCTCCGTCATCAAAATGAATACGGCTGCGAGACGGTCCATAGCTGTTACGTACACTCCTTCTGCTGCCGTATCTGCTGTTTGTTCGGCTTCCGTTCTCGACGGCAGTCATTCGCTTGCTAACCAGCTCCTTCATTCTTCGTCTCCATTCCGATTCTTTCCATTCCGAACTTCCTTGCTCTAGGACGAGCCCGGAGACGTCTAGGATTTCTAGATATCCATACCTCCGATGTTTCGGCATCGCAAACATCAGACTCTCGGGGTTCGTAGTGTCCGCAATCAATCTGTTCGGACGGCCATAAAGGGCAAAAGTATCGAACACTGGAAAGAGCCAACGAAGCATCATCTCAAATCCACTAACGGCGGGATGTACCTCAGGCATAACAAAGACGAAGCCCTCAGTGGTCGACGGAGGGTCTGAATGAATTGTGATATTTCCTTCCACCTTTACAAGGGTCGAGGCATCAATCAAGGGCTTCGCTTGTGGATAGATGGCGAAGGCTGAATAGGCATCTTTGATCGTTGCAATTGGAGTGGCCTTTTTTGTTTTCTTAGAATCGTAGAATTTTATTTCGCCCTTCAAAACCGGAGGTCGAGAACGATCATACGCCGATTTCTTCTTGTTTACTTGCTTCTGCAGTTTTTGAACCTCCTTTTCGGGGGGTGGCGTGATAACACACCAGCAGCGTCGCCAGGGAGTACCAGCCCCAAACCTGACGCGTGCCCAGTCTTCTGTTTTTATCCTTGTGCGCTCCATGATCAAGCTAATGTTGTTCAAAGCCTTCCCTTTTCCCGCGATAAGTGCGCCTGTGTAGGCCTCTTGTAATGTGGTGTGCTCGAACATCGCAAGTCGGATTCCCGCGGTCCATTGAATCAAGGAATGATGTGAGTTGAAGTGCAACAGATAGCGATTTTTACCGGCAGTGGAGATGCTGAGTACATTTTGCAAGGGCGGCTCGTTTTCGGATCGAGTTGGGAGCGATTCAATCTGCAGCTGTGTCAGCGCTGAGCTGCATGTAGACACCGAGAACAGTTTACCATTTTGATAGATGAATCTGTAAGGTTTATGAATTTTGGAAGGACTTCCCCATCCTGGCCGGCTGCATCCAATTCTGCCGCCTCCCATAACGACAAAACAGTTCCGACGAGTTGCGCAAAACATTCGGTCCAGGTTCGATCCGCATTTGGCCTTCCATCTTTACGATATTAGAAGGGGATAAATAATGAAGGGGTCCTTGGTACTTACACGTATCTTGGTCATCTAACTTCAGGAAGTATCCTTCCTGGTATAGCTTATTCCCGTGGCTGTTCAGGAATGTGAATATCGGTTGCAGCTCCGGCAATGTATCCTCGGCCACGTCCATTAGAGGAGGCTGGTAGGTTTGGATTATGGAAAGTGGCCTTGACGGGGCGCGTTCGCGCTGGGCTCGAGGTTGAGGGCATTCTTGGCCATCTAGTTTATATGAATGGGACGTCCTGGCCACTGTCGGTGTAGGCGCTTTTGGCAGGTCCTGCTTTGCTGGTGTGTATTGTGGAGCATCGTCTTTGATCGGTACCGACCCGGGAGGAACCGAGTTATGATGATGATTCTGGGAGTCTCGATTCCTGGTGAGATTCGCTATGAACGATGACACTGTTGAGCGCAAGCCTAGATTAGCATAGCCCTTATTGCTCCCCGGGATCTCTTCGGGTCTTCTAGGCTTACCCCGATTACGAGTCCCCATCGTGCTCTTCAAACGTAGAGGTAACGAGTGTGGTGGTGCTGCCCGATGTTGAAGAACAAAGCCGCAAGGGTTAACCTGAGCTCTTCAACGGGTTCGACCTAGAAGGAACAATTGTCCCTTCCTTTCTTCTGTTCCAAGTCAAGACAGGAGTGGCATGGCCCAAACAGCAAGAAATGCCCTGTCAACCGAGACCCTTTGCCGCGAGTCGAGCGTATGGAGATCGATAAGACGACAAAAAACGAGGGGAGAGGGCGGGAAAACGAGAGGAAGGGAAGAAAGGGGGGGGAAGGGAAAGGGGGGAGGGAGAGGAACGAGGTAGATATGAGGTATTCTGTCGGAAGCCAAGCACGACGAGTGAGGACAGAAAAAAAAGAGCGGAGAGAGAAATCAGGGTCGACTGGAATGGTGATGTGAGTCCGGAGGGACGGCAAGACGGACTGGTCGCAATGCTTAAATCCTGACTAAGCAGGACGTCACTGGGAAGGGCGCTGATACGCTGATTACGCTGAGACGACAAGACGCCGTTTGTCTGGTTTCTTCGCTTTCGCTTTCGCTGCTGCTGCTGCGCTAAATATAGAGTTGACGCGCTGCAGTGGACGGTTGGATGGCAGAACGATCAGCCAGATCCAACCAGAGGGATCGGACCGTGCATCTTCCTTCAGCCACGGGAAAAGTAAGAAAAAGAAGACATACTTCGACGGCAGCCTCTTCCAACCCGCTTCTATTCTTGACGCCGGATGCGGCAGTGAGGTGCATCCTACATCAGAGATTCAAAGGTTGATGGCCCCTCAGATCAGACCCCCCTCTTGCCCCAGCCTCAAAAGCCGACTAGTCACTCCTATCCTGTCCTCTCTCTTGTCGAGAGTGACGCGTCTCGATCGAAAAGGGACAAGGGGACGAGTGGAATACGACACTTGGAGTCTTGGACTAACAAGTTAACATCGGTCTTTGATGTCGTCACGTGTGGCCTTTGCGCTTTTTCGTCTCAACTCATTCTCCGGCCCTCTTTCTTTTGTCTCCTCTGCCCTCCTTTGTAGGGACCTTCTGGACCATGTATCTTGCAAGTTGCATCGTGAAGCCGTGCGAACAATTTACTCGGGTCCCCCCGGTCGCTATCACGTGCGGCCTAATACGGGCACTCCCGAGTCGCCGCAGTGATGGAAATGCCGAGGACGGCGGGAAGTCGACGTAAAGATTATAATAAGACAGGCCCTACGTAGATACATACACACACCTCAACAGACAAGATCCCACCATCCCGTCCGAAACCCCTCAACTCCCTCGTATCTCGAACACGGGCGCGTCCTTGGTCGGGGAACGATTCCCCTCAATGACCTGCCCTTACAACGGAGTCTGCAGAGTCTGTATTCCCCTCATGACGCTGGGATGAGGAGCTTGCTCCCTCAACCAAAAGTTGCGCGAGCCATCACTTTTCAGCCTTGCCGGTCTCTCATCCATACCCCTCTGAGTCGTCGCCCCAAACTGGCTTTGCCCTTCTCAACCACCACAGCTGCCAATGACGACACCCCTCCTGTGCACAGGGAATCCCTTCCTTTTCGTTTCGAGACCGGGCTCGCCCTCTATGCGAAGAGGACGCCGAGGCCCTTCCCTCCCCCATTTCTGTCCCCTCCGTCGGGTTCTTTTTCGGATCCACTGAGCACCCATCACATGAGTCGCGATAGGCGCACATTTGTCAATGGAGAACTTATTCGAGGTCTTACGAATGGCGACGATGCGGTGTATGTCAGTGACATGTTCATTGGCGCCAATGATGGCGTGGGCGCGTGGTCAACAAGACCCGGGGGACATGCTGGGTTTGTCTTGTCTTCTCAATTGGCGTGTTCAAGCTAAGTCATCACAGGCTTTGGTCCAGATTGATCTTGCATTTTTGGGCCCTCGAGATAGAGGCTGACGCCCAGCGGATACGGCCTGCTGGCCAAAGATATGAGCCTAACCCCATAGAATACCTCCAAAAAGCGTACGAGCAGACGATCGAAGCAACCTCAAAGCCGAATAAATGGCAGGGAACAACTACGGCTACCGGGGCACAACTTCACTATCAGAAGGCGGATTCAGACCCGAATGCACCTGCGACGCCATTACTGTATGTCACAAACCTTGGCGATTCCCAAGTCCTCGTCCTCAGACCCCACGACTCGGAACTTATTTACAAGACCAAGGAACAGTGGCATTGGTTTGACTGCCCACGACAGCTGGGGACGAACAGTCCAGATACTCCTCGCAAGAATGCCGTCATGGATAAGGTCAGTATAAAGGAGAACGACGTGGTACTAGCGATGTCAGATGGGGTTATAGACAATTTATGGGAGCATGAAATTATTGAGTGTGTTGTCAGCAGCATACGCAAATGGGAGAGTGGCGAGGGAGGGCCGAGCACTGGAGATCGTACGGGTGGTGCCGGGGGAGGCATGAAGTTCGTGGCCGATGAATTAGTGAGAGCTGCAAAGGTGATTGCAACAGATCCCTTCGCCGAAAGCCCCTTTATGGAGCATGCGGTCGAAGAAGGCTTGGCTATGGAAGGCGGTCAGTTGCCTTTGGGTGCATGAATGAGTCAACTTTCAAAACTAACGGCTTCATAGGTAAGCTGGACGACATCAGTGTGGTCGCAGCTCTGTGCAGGAGAAATTGCGGATGAGAGAACGATCCCGAGAGTCACAAAATTGATCGATCCAGAAAGCAGGAACCCGAGTAGTCTGGGAGCGTGGCATCAGACAAGCCGCATAGCAAAAGCCTCTGATACCAGCCTGTGGAGTACCAGCATTTCAAGCTGGATTTTCTGAGGGCCGCAGTGCTTATACCAGGACTCAATTTACCTCCTACCGAGAAGAATGCGGGAAAAGGGAGATATGGGAACCCCACATCCCGACCTGGCTGGCTACAGGGTAGACATCCGTTAATCACACGGAATAAAAATGGGTGGCGTTAGTCCCAAAAGAAGAGTATCAAAGAAACATAATATCTAAACCAGATCAAACTTTAAATTCTATAGAATAGACCCTCGGTGTAGCAACTTCATGTACCAGGTACTTTCTTCGTGCTAGATAAGGTATGTATTTATTCAGGCGGCCGCTCCCCCCTGCACCGTCCGATAAGCGTTATCGCCAAACTTAAATTTTTAGCCGCGAAATTCTTGAAGCCTCAAGAGCCTCTCGAAACAGAAACTTGCGAAACCCAAGAACGCCGGAAGAGGACTTCCCACGCCACATCATCCCTTCCCCAAGTACCCAAGAGCACACATCACCATGAGAGGCAAACGATCAAAACAATACCGGAAGCTCATGCAGCAATACGGGCTGAGCTTTGGATTCCGCGAGCCGTACCAAGTGATCCGTAAGTTCCCAGCCCTAGGACACTCCAACCAACGCCGCAATTACTGAGCTTTTGTGCAGTCGATGCGGAAATTATCAGAACGGCGGATAGATTTAAGATGGATCTTGTGGCGGGGCTGGAACGGACATTGCAAGGACAAGTTAAGCCCAGTAAGTTTCCCAGCTCGAGCTCCTCGTTTTAGCTATCACCGTAGCTGATGAAAGAATCTCAAGTGATAACTCAATGCTCGATGCGGCACCTATACGCAGCGTCCAAGGAGCCCGGCATGGCCGCGGTCATCGACCAAGCGAAGACATACGAGCGGCGGCGCTGCAACCACCTCCCAGAAGACTACCCCGAACCGCTCAGCACGAAAGAATGCCTCTCATCAGTAGTGGACCCGAAAGGGAACAAGACGAATAAACATCGCTATGTGGTGGCGAGCCAGGAGCTGGAGGTGCGGAAATTGATGCGGGGCGTGATGGGGGTGCCGCTGGTATATATCAATAGGAGCGTGATGATCATGGAGCCGATGGCGGGAGCAACGGCGGAGAATCGCGAGCGGGAGGAGAGGCAGAAGTTTCGGGATGGGCTGAAGGGAGGGAGAGGGAGTGGGAGCTTGAAGAGGAAGAGGGAAGAAGATGAAGCTGGGGAAAAGGGGGCGGAGGGCGAGACTACTGGAGAACCGAAGAAGACGAAGAAAAGAAAAGGCCCCAAAGGTCCGAATCCCTTGTCGGTAAAGAAACCAAAGAAGAGGCCGGAGGCAGAGAAGCCTAAAGCTACTGAGAAAGGGGAAGACAAGAAGACGGAGTCCAAGGTCGAAGCATCGGGTCAGCAGGCGGGAGAGGGATCAGAACCTAACGCGAAGCCGAAACGTAGACGGAAGCATAAGTCAAGCGCAGCCAAGACTGGCGTGTCTACAGATGCTACAGATGCCGCGGGGGAAGATGATGGGGATGATTGATTCAAAGGAGAGAGTTGTAACTACTATAATGATACCCTCTTGGAAGAAAAATAGCCGATAATCCTGACAGAAAGGACTTGGATCTCAAAAATAAACTACACTGCAAGTAAGCTGCTCGAAACTGACGCCTCTCATGCCGTGTTCTGAACACCCTCTGTCTGCCTTCCAAGCACATCAATCTGTGGATTTGCCCCATCTTCCAACCATCAATCAGCAAAGTTCCTACCATTATCCAGTCCAATACTCCTCCGTGGTGCTAAACCCGCGCTGGCTGCTATAGAACCAAGAGAGTGATTGATTTCATCTACAGAATTAGATAATGCTAAATCCTGTAGCCGATTCAACTTATCATATAAACCCCCTAGGATCTCTAAACCTGCCCGGGCAGCAGCTACGAGTTCTTGTGAGGACGACGTCATGTTTTAGGATATCTATTGAGTTTGTTTCTGCATGATCTTTGGAAACGCAAACGCAAACGCAAACGCAAACGTTAAGCCTCCCTCCATAGATAGGTAGATAGTAGACGTCATATTTTAGGTATATGATATCTGCACTTCTTGCTACTCTAGCTGGCTGGTATAATCGAGTAATTCAGGAAGAGAGGGGGGGGGGGGGGGGGGCGGGGGAACCCTCTCCCCTATATTTGCACAACAAGCTTGGCAGATCTGGAACCTTGGTATAACTGCCAGAATTTGGGAGAGTTGAGACAAAAAAGCAGTGCAAGTTCGTCCTTTGCATCTGGTGTGGTGCCAGAAGCATTTTGAGGACGAGAATACGTGTTGTGTTTCATAGGAGCTCAGAAAGTGGCTTATTGAGGCATCATTATGAATCCCCCTCGATTTCATTCCTTGGTATGTCCAGAAACATCAATGACTGCTTCTGGCTTTCATTTCTGAAAATATCTCGCTTGTAATCGCTTTCTTTCTGTTCAAGATCGGGCATGTCAATAAAGCTATGCGTGACTGTTGTCTTTTCGATACAATGTTGGGGGTTGTATCATATGATCTCGGGTAGGTAGCTAAGGTAAGGTACTAGCTCTCCCCCACACCTATACTTAGATCCACTCCACAGAAGAGCTGTATAGCTCTTTGCTCCTTACCTAGATGCACCAATACACAAATACACACATTTACTATATAACAGTAGATAAGCCGTCTGCGACATACACGGACTCCTGGAGGTCAATGGAGAAAGGCGGTGAACATGCCGCCTCCTTTTTCTGCCCTGCTTGCCGAGTGGCTCAAGGAGGCAACTAGAGCCAATGGCCGATTAGCGTCAGCAACCTCCCCTGCCATCCCCCTCTTAGGTAAATGTACCTAATACGGAGTACATAGCGGCATAGCCCTTAAGTGCGAGTACGAGGGAGAACAAAGAACCAAGCGCAATTCACTTCAACTCTGGCAGGATGCGTCTGCCAGAGACGACCGACATTCTACGGACCAAATAGGCTGTTATTCTGTAGGCAGGATTGTCTAAAGACAACTTGGATGACCCTATTATTACGTCAACCCGTTCGAGGCGGAGGACGACCAATATGCCCAGCATCGACGTCGCGGACTCAGACAAGGCGGATAAGACCAGCAATCACCATGCGCCGAGAGCAGAAGGTTCATCGGTGAAGACAGAGAGCCACACAGTGGAGCTGGATGAATTCGGGCTACCTATTCGGAGACATACACCGTTCACACCAGTCGAGGAGGGTCGGGAGGACAAACACCTTATAGCGAATGCAGAATCTAAGACAGACGGGAAAGACGCCAATAGCCATGTTGCAGTAGAGGATGCTGAGTCGACAAAACCGACCACACCTCCCCTTCAATCAGTCCCCGATGGCGGGGACGTGGCGGGCGATAACGAGTTCAAAGACGCGAAGTCGACACCGAACGAGCCAGAAGGACAAATGAAAGCCCCAGCACAGCCTTCCACATCAGACCAGAAAAAGGGTGAGAGAGCACAGTCTGAGACAGACCGACATACTGAAATCCCGCAACCTCAAGAATCAGTCCGAGAGACCGAATCGCGCCAGGATGAGGATCAAGAAGAACTCCTCAAGCCTGCGGAGGCAGTACCAGCAGCTGCAGTGTCTGCAGCGTCTGATGCAAAGGATGGCATTAACAAAGATAGAGAAGCCACCAAAAACAATGGGCATTCCCGAATGATGAGTTCGGCCAGTCAAGGCATTTCGGAATGGTCGCACCAACACCTTACGCAACCAGAAGCCGAGCAGGCACAGCCCGAAGAGGATGAATGGCAGCCCATGCCGGCTTTTGCGCCGTACGATATGTATGATGACAATAACAAGCTCATTGCGAGAGAAGCACATGAATCCGATGAGGAAGACGATCCCTACGCGGGGTTAGGGGGAGCAGGAAAGGGATACACAAGGGTACAGCTGGATGAGGACGTCCAATCTGCGACTAGTCTGGATGAGAATACCCAATATCTTTTCAGGGAAGCTAATGACACGGGTGCTGGAATAGAGGAAGAGGAACAAAGAGATGCCGTCTCACAGATGCAGGCTACGAAGGAACTTTTGACAGAGGGCCAGAGGATTGCATATGTCGGCATGACGAGACTCATCCTCTCAACAATGCTGATTGAGGCAATAAAATTAGCCGCAATGAAAGGGAGCAAGAGGGAAGTGCAGATGGCTGCAGAAGCTATGCAAATGTGGAGTCAAAAGATGATGGTTCGACTGTACGCACATATGGATATCAGCGCAGCAGAGCAAATTATGATTGAGCAATTGGTTGAGCACGGTGTCCAACCATCAGATATGACGCCTACCCTCATGCAGAATGCTCGAGTTAAGAACCCGATGGCATCCTCTACGGCTGGATCCTCGTCTCGGCCAGGATCAGTTGCTTCTTCCGACATGAGCCATAGGCCTTCTACATCCGCTCCTCCGACACCGCGTCCTGATGAAGAAGAGGCAGCAGCGGTGCCACCGCCATACCAAGAGCACGAGGGAGATGACCTTCCCGAAGTGCGTATGCCTTCACAGCTTCCAAAGACCACGAACATTGATATTGATTTGCGATGGACCGTGCTTTGCGATCTATTCTTGACCCTTATTGCGGATTCAGTTTATGATGCTCGATCAAGGGTCCTGCTTGAGAGGGTCGGCGAGAATATGGGTGTTTCTTGGCTTGAAATTTGTCGGTTCGAGAAACGAGTCACAGATGCGGTGGAGATGCAGCAATCCGCACAGAAAGAGAACTGGAACGAAGATGTGCACAAGGAGAACCGAAGAAAGATGGCTCTCAAGAAGCGCTATGTGATGATGGGTTTAGCTACTGTCGGTGGCAGTCTAGTTATCGGTCTCTCCGCTGGATTGCTAGCTCCTGTGATTGGTGCAGGCCTTGCTGCAGGCTTCACTACGATCGGTGTTGCAGGTACGAGTGGTTTCCTGGCTGGTGCGGGGGGAGCTGCTCTTATTACATCAAGTGCTGCTGCATCGGGTGGTGTCATTGCAGTACGAGCTGCCAATCGAAGGACTGGTGCTGTCAAAACATTTGAATACAGGCCCCTACACAATAATAAGAGAGTGAACCTCATCATTACTGTTTCGGGCTGGATGACGGGGAAAGTAGATGATGTCCGGCTGCCATACAGCACAGTTGACCCGATCATGGGCGATTTATATTCCGTGCTGTGGGAGCCTGAGATGCTTAGGAGCATGGGAGATACCATTAACATTTTGGCAACTGAGGTATATAATCGTCAAACCGTGAACTTATCATTACATATGCTAATTGAAATCTAGGCTCTAACGCAAGGTCTCCAACAAGTTTTGGGTAGCACGATCCTCATTGGTCTCATGGCTGCTTTACAATTGCCCGTGGTGTTGACCAAGCTCGCATACCTCATCGACAATCCATGGACAGTGTCTCTCGACCGAGCAAACTCGGCGGGGCTGATCCTCGCGGATTCCCTAATCGACCGCAACCTCGGGACTCGGCCTATCACGTTCGTAGGATACTCTCTAGGATCGAGAGTGATCTTTTCGTGCCTGACCGAGCTTGCGAGGAAGGGTGCCTTCGGACTAGTACAGAACGTTTATTTGTTTGGGTCACCGATTGTAGCGAAGAGAGAGGAATACCTGAGAGCTAGAAGTGTTGTTGCTGGCAGATTCGTCAATGGATATGCAAAGAACGACTGGATCTTGGGCTATCTCTTCCGTCTGACAAGTGGTGGCATCAGTCGCGTGGCAGGTCTTGCACCTGTAGAAGGGATCCCGGGCTTCGAAAATGTTGATGTCACGGACATCGTCCCAGGCCATATGGCATATCGTGCCATGATGCCCCGTCTACTTAGAGAGGTTGGTTGGTTGGTTGAGAGTGACGAATTCACGGAGATTGAGGATCCAGATCCGGAGAATCACCAACAACGACAACGAGAACTCATCAATGAGATAGAAGAGGCTCGAAAAGAGTTTGAAAGGAAGGAGAGGGAGTCGAAGGGGAAATTCGGGTTCTTCGGTCGGAAGAAGAAGGCTGTTGTTGAGCGGAAGGAATGGGAGACCTACCAGGAATACAAAGGCGACGCAAATCCCAAGGGAAAAAGTTCAGGGCAAGGGAGCAACGATGGCGTCCTATTCGACATCGATGCCATTCGTGCCGAGCTGGCCAGTGAGCAGATGGAAGTGAAGGAGCTGCAATCAACACTACCACCTATGAAGCTCGATCTTAGTTCCGAGAGCACAAATCCTAGATCTTCACTGCGAGAGACGAAAAGCTCCGACGCAGCCACGACGCTCAACACAAATGATTATAAGTCATCCCCAGCAGCCTCATCACCAGGGCAATCAAGCAGCACTAGAATGCAGAATGGGTATCTCCAGGAAGACATGGATCGTGGATTTGGTGGCGACGAAGAAGAAGAGATCCAGATGACCTTCGATACATCGTACGAGACTCCACCTCGGTCCGCTTCAGCCTCATTCTACAACCCTCCTCCATCGTCAGCGATATCGCCACACCCCCCACCCCTGGCCGATCCGGTCGACCGAGCAGCCACACTCCAACGGCCGGAGCTAAAATCAAGCGCCACATTACCCACCACCATGCCGTCTTCTCTAGACCACAACGCCTGGGCCGACGAGGAAGAAGACTTTGGCCATGAGAGAGAGATCGAGATGACTTTTGCATAGATACCAAGAATTCAGGATTCATATACCATACATACATACATACATACATACATCCATCCCATACATCCCATCGATCCCATACATCCCATCCCATCCCGGCCTTGGACACAGAGCCCGCCCCATCGCACAGCAGCATACCTGACATCGTCACGTCTGTAAATATGCATTTTGATTCCCCCCCAGATCCTCCAGGCCTGGATCTCGGTCCTCCTGTTTATACATACCTATCTTTCTTTCGACTGACTGACTCACGGGATGGCATTTATTTTCTTGTATTGTAAATGCCTTTCCGTTTTCGAAAGACAGACAGAGCGCGACGGTTTTCCTTTTCTTTCCTTTGCACAGGGACAAGGCGTTGTTGGATTAGGATTGGTTAAGAAGGCGAAAGAGAAAGAGAGAGAGAGAGAAACTCCCCATGCAAGCATGCAAGCAAGCAAGCAACAGAAACAGAATAAGTGGAGCTGGCTGTTTGCGCGGTCCCTTACCTACCTTACCTATGATACCAGTCAATCATCAGACAGACAGACAGGCACGGACAGGGTGAATGATGATGAATAGTCAAAGTCAATATTTTATCTATATGTACAATTTTCGGAATTCTTAAAATTGAGAAGAAAAAATGCACAAAAAAGAAGAGAAAAGAGCAAAAGAAAACAAAAGCAAAAGCATCCCCCAGAGCTAAGCTTAGATGCCAGTCAGTCAGTCGGTCGGTCGGTCAGTCCGGTGTGTATGGGATCTTCCTTATATCCATCGTCCTGTGCTTTAAAAATTCACTCTTCGCGCTGAAGATCTAAAGAAAACAAAGGAAAAAGGCGACGTTCGATGTCTCTGTCTATGTCTATCTCTTCTACCTGTCTATCTTCTCTATCTCTTCTATCTACAGATATCTGATAAATATGCCTGGATTTGTTACATGAATTCAAAAAAGAAAACAAATGGGAAGGATCCAACGCCGCTAGCCGCTAAAGGAGTCAATCTATATACAAAGATGCTTACTTTCTTTCAGTAGTAAGGGAAGTACAGTTTTTAAGATCCTTCTCTTTTCTGAGAAAGAAAGCTCACATGCCCACCCTTTCCCCCCATCAGCTCCTCCTTGCTCATCTCGCTCATCTCTATCTAGATGAGACGAACAGACAGACAATGACGCCCCTCTAGACGACCTCGTCCCGCTCCCAGCCAATGGGCTTGAGATGCTCGATGCCCTTCCCCGGGTGTGGCTGGTTCGGGTCCTTGTAGACGCTAGCGAATGGGTTCGGGTCCTCGGTCTGCTTCAGGTTGCCGAAGGTGTGGTTGACCTCACGGTGCTTGGCCTCGTCGGCGCGGATGTACAGCAGCAGGTCGCGCATCGTGCGGTTGCCCTCGGGCATCTTCCAGTAGCGCGCCGCCATGTCGGGCACGCGGAACTTAGGGTCCGACCACAGCGGGAGCTTGCCGGCCTCGAGGTCCTGGATCGCCAGCGTGTATGTCAGCACGGCTTCCTCCTCGAGGTAGCCGGTGAAGCGGTGACAGGTGCGTGGCGAGATGAGGTATGAGATGAACATGCTGTTGAAGAAGACACCTTGCGCCCCGAGGATCATGAGCCGCATGAACCAGCCTGGCTCGGCCATCTTCAGGAATGTCAGAAGGTGCATGCGTTCGTTGTAGGCCTCCTCCAGCAGCGTCTCGATCCAGCCGTTGTCACGCTTCATCCGTCGCAAGCTGTGGAGATGGCGGAGCATGCCTGCCACCATACCTGGCACGCCGGCCACGGACTCGAGGAAGACGAAGCGGATGAGCCATTTGCGCTCGCTCATGCGGTACGGTTTGTTGGATGGGACGACGGCTGTGCTCTTTCCTGTCAGCTTGTCCTTGGGCGTAGGGCCATCGTGGCTATATCCCGTGGCTAGATCGGTTCCCCAGCGGAGGAGGCGCACCAGGTAGAGAGCTACGCGGTCAGACATGTCCTTCGGTTTTCGGTGGGCATAGTAGACGTTCTTTGTCATTTGCTCATCGGTGTAGCTGTACGCAGGGAGTCAGCTCATGTAGGGATTGGATTGGATTGCGGGAGAAGGGAGGACACATACAGTGGGTGCTCAAAGGCAGTTTCGGTCTTGACGATTTGTTCAGTTTCGGGTTCGGGGAAGTACTCTCGGAGTTTGGTCCTTGATGTGGAAGAGAAGGGTCGACGAGACTGTGACTGTTGGGGTTGGATGTGCAGACTGGTCAAGTGAAGACCAGGTGTGTGTGTTGAGACAGCATGTGATTGTGCAAAGCTGGCGGCAGCTCTTGAGAGCTGTGCCGCTGTCTGTCTGGACAGCGGCGACTTGGCTGACACTCTTGTCACGTACATCGGGCTTTGATATGAGAAGGTTTCTTGGGTAGAGATGAAGAAGAGATGTGTTCCCCGATGGCCCAGGAGCCTCGTTATAAAAGAAAGGCAGATCAGCCTCTTACGTCCAGAGTACGTAACCGGTTGCTGGCCAGGCCTCCTGACCATATTCTAATCATCCATTATGGCCCTCCCCCCTTTTCCCGGAGATATTTCGTGGTCTTCCCGTTGCGCTCATATTATCTTCCATAATCAATATTTTTGGAACTTCGTACTTGTTATCGTACTGCAAACTGCATGTAAGCCGCCACTTGGGGCAGAGTCAACAAAGCACAAAAACAGAAGATGATGACTGTGACCCCGAGTGAAATCCGAAGACAAGGCTGAGGTTTACGTGAGGGTCTGTCAACAGAGTCATGTAAGATGGAGGTGTGCGGCCCCGTTTGGCTCGAGACACCCGCCAATCACATCGGGCGCATAGGAAATCGCGGTCGGGGACTCCCGTGGCGACTTCTCCCGAGTCGAGTCGCGGTCAGGAGGAAGTTGCATCTGACTCATACAACTGCCTCACAACTCCCTCGTCTTTCCGTGATTCCAAGAGGCTTTGTCCGTCTTCATCATCAGCATCAGCCATCGAGATATTCTATACGGAATCTTTGAAATCTCGTATCTCTCTCTCCCGCGGCACATGACGTCTGTTGCTTCTTGCTTTTCCTTTCCTTTCCTTTCCTCTCCATTCCTCTCTTCCCCTTTCCTTTCTTCTCCTCTCCCTCGGATAAAGACCTCTTGCCCTCAATAGATGGAGCAAATGCAGCTTCAAAACCCGAGTCCACACAAGAGCCATTCTCCGCCATTCTCATGTCTTCCAGCAAATGCCGGCTATAACGCAAGCCAATAAATAGCCTCGCAATTCTCCATCACGCTCCATTCCTGGATTCTTTTCTTTTCTTCCCTCCTCAACCTTATCTTATTTCCATCTCCTTATCTATCTGATTCACCAGTCCTTTGAACAGGGCCCTCAGCCTTCTCTGATACCACCAACCACAAAAGCTCACCACACCTAGGAAGACCGTAGCTGTGATCGCACAGGATTTCCAGTAGGTATTGGCGTCTTGTATTTCGAGGGCGTAGTTCTTGCTGATAATTACCATTACGTTCCGATGTGGTTTGGTCCACCATCCGACATTTATGTCGCATTTGCTGCTGTTGTAGACCCCCATGAGTTGCATCATCGTGCCCCCGATAGATGTGATAACACCAGTGACGCCGAAGATAAACGCAAGGTTATACCAGATGAACGCCCAAAGGGATGGAAGGGAAAAGGGTTTGTCTGACCAAATCGAGGAGTGGTCTGTGGGGGTATAGAAACCACGCTTGTCGAGAAAGCCGTCTTTTCGAAAGAAGGAGAAGTGTCCCTCTTTTTCTGGTGCCCCCATGTAGGCCCATATCCAAAGGACTAACTGGCACAGTTGAGAGATTTCATAGATAGTAAACGTGAAGCTGCGACAACTGAGGCCCACTTGGGGCGTGAAGAAGGCGGTCAGGAAAGCAAGAACGAACGGAACCCCCATCAGGAGAAGTGTCATTCCCAATACAGTAAGCCAGTCCAAGATAGACAGTCTGGTTTCTTTCCTTAGGTCGTCCATATCATCGTCTATGACAGGACCGCCCTTTCCTCCTTTGTTTGCTGGCCGCCATTTGTACGTTTCCCATATTCTTATCAGCCAATTAATCTTGCTTCGGCCTCGAAGCCACAGCCACTGGAACATTGTAAAGTCAGCATTTCTGTTGTTCTCTGGGTAAGGTTAAGTTGAGTATGTCTTGCGATTTTAGAGGGGGAAGTAGCTTATAGGTAGAGCAGTGATCTTCCATACCTGTGGTTTATATCTACTCTCATAGGTCAGTTCGAAAATCTTATTCAAGATGTGTTTCTCCTCCTTTTCAACGTATTCAAGTGCTACCACCCCTTCCAGTGTATTCGGATTATTGCCTGCCAGAAGAAGGCCAGATACGATCGAGATGTGGGGAATGATCATGTACCACATTCCAAAAGCCAACGCAAGGCTCGTGTCTTCATCTCCAAGATTGGAAAGAGTGGACACAAGAGTGAAAACAAATGAGCCGAGAAAGAACACTACAGGAGCACCGACGGTAGCCCCAAAACTGTATTGGCAGGCGAGCATTGTTCGTAACTATCTCAAGGTCAGTCCAGATCTATGGACGTAGGAAGTTATATTACCCGTGTTTTTACCCGGCCAATTTCTTTTTGAACCCGGGCGTCACGCTCTATACGTTTTTCCTTGCAACCCTCGTTCCTACAATTGGGCTCCCGGCATAAGACATTATGGATAGGCCATTGTCTTGGGGTCCCTGGTATATGATCACGATACGTCCTGAGCGGATGAACCAATTTCTGCACATGAACGAATGGAGAGTTCCCATTACGATTTCTCATCGCTGTGTCCTCCCTCTTCGTTATCCCATTCAACGCTGTTGTGTCGTTCAAGTTCTCTGCAACTTTCAACTCCTCCGAGTCGTTCAATTCCATCTTGCCATCCGGCCACCGATTGTCGTCATCTTGATGATAGTTGTTAACCAGCGTCAGCTCGGTGTCGGCCTCCGGGTCAAGATCAAGATTTCCCACGAGGACTACGAAAAGTAGCCTGGCCCTCATATCCATTGTGAGACGCCCATTTTCAGTTTTATCTTTCACGAAGTTGAGTATTTGGTGGTCCAGGTAAGCTTCGTACAGTCCGCTGAGTAGCATGGGGCTCGCAAAACCAAAGCAGATCGAGAGCCATATTATGATATCGCACACAACACAGAACCCTGCAATGATCATAGCAAAGGGGGCCAGAATCCACGACATCACCTTGCTTAAGTCTAGATCAAACAGCTCCCCCCAGACCGCAAGCTTCCTCCGTCGAGGGATGGTGAGACCTACGCTAAAATAAGTAGTAATTCCTAGGGGCAGTTCGAAACATGACAAGCTTACAAAAGACGACGGCAGGAAGGAGAAAGCCCACGAAAGGCGAAATCCACTGGGATTCATCACCCATGCGAGAATCCGAGAGCTGCCACCCAGGACACGTCTCTTCCAACCACCAATCTGGGACCTCGACTATCGGGGCACCTGCCGGATTCCCATTCCACGTTGCCGTGCACGGAAATTGGCCTGCCGCTGATGCGGCAAGTAAATCGTCAACTGTCGCATTGATGAAAGAAGGCTGCTTCTCGATCAGAAAGCCATTGACAACCTCAAGAGATGCATTCACAGCTAGAAGACAACAATGGGTGAAGTTCTGACCTCCCAGCCGGGGGTTTTGAACTAAATCTGAATTCGGTTGTGGTCGGAGACCTGCAAGCTGCCAGAATGCGTCGGACACTGAGGTGAAGTTACCTTGGCCATGGTCTTGAGCAAGCGTCAGGACTGGCAGTGTTATAACTAAGAGAAGGTAACATAACTTCGAACCTAATTTTCCTGCTATGTACGTCATGATGTAAGAGTTAATTGTAGGTAGGCCTCATAGGATTGATTGACACTTGGCAAATGGATTCATCATGGTATTTATGCAAAGATGACAAGATGAGGCTCAAGAAGAGGATGTGCGAGGATCGCGGAGCGGACGACGAGGCGGAAATGATTTGCGGCTAAATGTCGATGTAATATCGACACAGCCATAATAAGTCGACTAACCAGACTGGCTCTCCGAACAGCACTGTGTAACTACTGAGTTGCATGGCTCGATTGCTCTGAATGGTGCGCCCAACGCCACCATGGCTTTCATTTAAATCACTTCAGCTGGTACAAGGACACGCGACCTCGAACGCGGGGAAATGATTGGGTTGAATTAACGAACTGACAGGCCAAGATTCAGCGCGTAAACTACTGCACAAGAGAAAAAGAAAACATTGAGGGGTATGATAAGAAGCCAAGGCAGCGAAGAAGGCAAAGAAGGCAAAGAAGCAAAATGCGATGCGTCCTTGACGAGGCTGCAGGCAGCAGGCGACATGCAGCTTTGCAGCCTTCCGTCCGAAAGAGGGAAAAGATCCGAGAATGGGGAAAAGGGAAAAGGAGAGATGAACACCAAGACGCTTGGCGGGCGTGACTTGCAGGAAGACATGCTTGACTTCGAGGAACCGCTGATATGATTTTATTAGAGTTGTATAAAATCGGAGCAGGAGGAGGGATCGTTAGTGGGGTACTCTATAGGTTAGCTTTTACCCAAAGGCCACGCTTCTCTAATCCTGCGTCCCCGTCATAGATGTCTCGCTCCACGGCCCGTGAATTGATCTGCGATGGGATAAGCATTAGCCCAGATTAATTCAAGGGGAGGGGGACACTTGCATATCTGGGCCCCAAATCCTCCACTTTTTCGACCCCAAGAAGCCTCATACATGTCTCTATCTCAGCTTTGAGAACTAGAATGCTTGTGATTAGCATTGAACCTATTATGAGAGCGAGGCAAATAATACTCTCAAACGTTCGGTGCACACCCTCCACGCCACCAGCACCAAGACCAAATAGTGCGGCTCGCCCAACGCCCACTGCCTTGGCCCCCAAACACAACGCCTTGACCACATCTGTTCCTCTCTTGATACCGCCATCGACCCAGACTTCGATTCTACTAAATACCTCGGGACAGTATTTCCTGATCTCTAGGAGAGTGTGTACAGCGGGTGGCGCTGTGTCCAGAGCTCGGCCTCCGTGGTTTGACAAGATAATGGCCTTTACTTGTGGAGCATATTGCATGGCCAAGTACGCATCTTCATGGGTCTGGATGCCTTTCAGCACGATAGGCAGAGAGGTATGTTTTGCCAGCCATGGCAATGTAGTTTTCCACGTTAGATCAGCAGCTGTCCCAAAGAATAATTGCTGGCCTACGCCACCACCCCCCGGTCGTTTGGGAGCATCAGCACCCATTACAGCCGACCTGATGGGCTCTGACGAACCCAAATCTTTGGACTTCTCATCCAGTTCTCGCTTCCCCGGTACGGGGGCGTCCAATGTTAATGCGATAAATTTATATTTGTCTGGCATCTTGTTGATTCGAGCGAGCATTGCCTCACTCTTCTTTCGCTCATTCTGTACGTATAATTGCCATCCAAATATTTGACCGGGCGCCGAGCCCTCAACAATCTGCTCTGGAGTCATTGACGCATTGGTAGAGACAATTTGAAGTGCCCCAAATGAGCTGATCCCTTGGGCAATACCGTGCTCACCGGCAGGGTGTGATAACCGTGCCATCGCTGCTGGCGATACATACAATGGCAAACCGACCTTGTGTCCAAGAAGGCTAGTCGAAGTGTCGCACTTCGTACAATCGATGAATACCCGCGGCCGTAACAGGATCTGTTTATATACCTGATTGTTGAAGCTCTTGGTCACCATATCATCACTGGCGGAAAAATAATACGCCCAGCATTTCTTCGATACTTGCTTCGTAGCCACTTCTTCAATTTCGTCCAGGTTCAGAAGACTCTGCATATCTGGTGGGCCCTCGCTTTGTTGTCTCTTCTCGGCTCCATCTGCCTTTGGTTTTGGCAGAGTTGCAGGATCTACCGTCCCAAGTTTTGCTTCCGGCTTCAGATTCCCTTCCAACGTGCCTGGAGGATGTATAGGGTCATACTCTTCTGTCGCATCACGACCTGCCAGTTTTAGGATGATCTTAGCGCCCCCGGGATGTGAAGAGAGGAAGTCCGTCACGTCGTAGACGGTATTGTAAAGAATCACCCAACAATCGTCGGCGGATGTGTGCCTAGCAACTAGAAGAACATCCCTTAGCAACCGCCTTGGAATTGGGAATGGGCGCCCTCACCTTCAGCAGCGTCAAAAACCTTGGCCATGTTTATAACACTTGAGCGTAAGAACGAGAGGATGAGGACAGAAACAAGAACAACAAGAAGAAACTACAAAAGAAAACAGGGGCAGAGAGACGCGGTCTTGGGCGCTTCTTATTGAAGCAGAGCAGAGGCCGTCGTCGGCGTATGGCGGGGAAATCCCCACTGCCCGTTCTACCCCCGAAGATTTAGCTCCGGAGTACGGTGTAAAGGCCTCCGGCGCCCCCGCTTTGGCTGCTTACATAATACAACATCCGTAATTGGAATCGTGGAGGGTTCTACTGGTGGCTTCACGGTGCCAGGGGGGAATGATTGATATTCGCTTGTATAACACGCAAATGCTTACAGCCCGCAACTATAGCCTCATAGAATCTTGATCCAGTAACATGTGTCACTGTGTACGCAGTGAGAAGACAATGAAGGATAAGTTTTACTAATTTCTTTATTTATTCTTTGTTCCAGTATTCTGATATTCGGGGTCATCGGCCTCGGGGACCCTTTGGTGCATCTCGGACCAACAACTTGATTTTGCCCTCCCCGATTTCGTGTCCCTGACTGAGAATATCAACTTCTTCCTTCTCAGGCTCCGAAGCTGCAACCCCGTCCCTCGTAAGTGACTTGTCCCAAGATCGTGCATCAATTCCCAATATGCCGCCAACGTTGTTTCTATCTCCCGGCACTGAGAATTCGCGGTAGGCATATCGCCATTCATTCAAGAAGTTCCTTATAGCTTTTCCAACTTTGTCTTTTCCATTCTTGCTGTGATGGCCTGTTCCGGTGATAGCGTATACTGGCCTTGTTTCTTTGTCATTCTCGAGAAGAACACGTTCCAGATACTCGACTGCTTCTTCGGGGTGGAGACCGTGAAGGTCGACATAAAGCTCAGAGCTCGAGGAATTGTTCTTGTTTCGTTCTTCGTAGAGCTCACGAGCAGCCTCACGATGGGCTTTTCGCATGAGATCATTCTCACTTTGGCCCCGAAGACTCAGGGCTTTAGCAGCACGAGCATCGTTGCGATTCCATGCCTGGGCCGCACTGCATCCGGATTAGAAAACAGTCCCCGGATGATAGGAAAAATTACTTACCTCTGCAAGAACTTGTTTCTCAAACCACCGTGCTTGATAGCATCTTGTCTAGCTTTGAGATACGCTTTATTGGCTCTTTCTCCCGTCTCGAGCCAAGGAACATGCTGGGGGCTCGGGATAGCTTGTGCAGCCGCACTGTTTTCTCCGTTGCGTGTGCCGGTGGAACTTCCATTTCTACCCATTTTCTTGGCATCTTGTCGCATTAGGCCCGGGCCAGGAGAGGGTGATAATTTGACAACTTCAGCAAGTGAGCTTGGTGTAACGTTTTCCTTGTGGCCGTGACCATGACCGACTCTCTTCCCATGGTGTTTCTTCCCACCCTTCGCAGCCACTGCGCTAAGTGATGGAAAGGCCTCGTTATCGTCCAGTGCAGGAGCAGCCGGGTTTGCCTGTCGGCTACCAGGTCGTGATCTCTGACTGGAACCATCACTTGCGTAGCCCTGCATTCCCTTAAAGCCAGGAGGAGGAGTGAAGCTTGCTCCTTGATAATTACTAAAACCGTTTGTTGAGTTAAAAGAGTTTGACCATTGCTCTTGCGTCCCTTGTAGGGAAGGGAATGCGTTATAGTCCTGGAATTGAAAGTTTGGCTGGGATGGAGGTGTGTTACTCTCGTCCAGAGCAAGACGATTCAGGAGATGCGCGGGGTCGTGAGAAAAGATGCACGTGTCACCGGCAAGACAATTACCCATTACCCAGTATCTTCGGCAGTTAGCTCTCGACCTGTTTGAAGCAACATGAGTTCTATACTTACTTGCAGATGTGATTACTAAGGTCATGACTGAATCTGCAATCCGCACGGAGACACTGGCCCGTGGAGAGCCAAAATCTACAGACTACGCCACTTCGCTGCTGGCCTGCTGGAGTAAGTGGTCGAGGGACGTTGGCAGCCATTGATTTACCGATTAGAATAGCATTCTCCCCGTCTGTAGTTGGGGCCGATGCCATTGTACCATCGCTGGATTGGCCTTCCATGAATGCCATGATAGTAGCGCTCAAGTCATAGCCATGCATAGCAAGAGCTGCCTCTATCTCCTCGTCTGACTTTGAAGGGCCAAGAATTGACCGTAGCATATCGTATGGGCTCATATCTGACTGCTGCGGCTGTATGTACTCGGCAGCCGCCGCATTGAGACCGCTTTGACCGCCAGCTGAGGAAGAGGTATTGCTGCCACCATCATCGTTTACTAGCCAATCCACATTATCACTCCCGTAATCCCCATATATGTCTTGCGTAGGACTTGTATCAGTTGGGAATTCGTACGCGTTGAGGCTCGGGCTATGAGGTATGACTGGGCTCGAGAGAGCAAGTCGTGGGGACGGGCGAGGCGAGGTAAAGGGCGAGGCTGTGGAGGATTTCGTTCTATTGAAAGATTGCGGGACGAAGCCAGGCGGAGCAAGGGGGCTAGCCGCAAGACGAGGAGAGGAAGAGATGGAAGTAGCTCCACCACGAGGTATCGGCCAGGGAGCGGGGGAAGGCCGACGTAAGATAGTATGTCGCATCGGTGCGGGAGAGTTCGCATTAGATGAAGCATCGCGATATCTCCATAGGACGTCTAAGACGGCATTTTCGAGAGAACTTCCAACCAGCGTAGTCTCCTTCTTGAGCAACTCCTCCAGCCTGTCGGTCTTGTCTTCGTCCTCGAGGGTCGCATCCTGAAGGATAGGCAGACAAATCTCGTAGGTGGCATCGGACACCATCTTGGCGGCCTTCTATAAGAAGGTTAAGATGGAAGATTAAGGTTTCGATATGATCTGGAAATAGGAGATAAAAAGTAGGTATGAGAGAAGAGTGAAGGGGCCCTGTGGTTCGCGATGGGCCGGGCTGAGGAAAGAGCGCGCTGAGATGATACAATCACAAAGCGAGAGACTCCGAAAGGCGAGAACAGCGCGACAACGATGAACGCAAGGCCTTTACATTGTCGACTTGGTCGAGGCTCTTCTCACGAGGGGGCGAGGGAGTGAGGATAATCACGGAGGAGGTCAACCAGCTGCTCTTGGGGGTGATTGGTGGAATGTTGGGTGCCTGAGGCGTCACACCACAGCTTATTATTGGGCGTGAAGCTGAAAGCTGAGGCAGAGGGCGATAATTGACGATAAGCATATATCTCCCTGCGTTTCCTCCGACTTGCAGAGGCACAAAAGGCATACATCTAGGCTTATGTCTTTGGCTATCTCTGTGTATGTGTCTAAGTACATCTGAAAAGAGGACTCGATTTATCATTCCAATTCTCTGAAGCCCATTACTCACTCGTCTGGAACGTTGAGAATGACTTCACGCTCAACTTATTAAGCCCCTATTCGCGGAACGGACAAGTCTGCTGCTGCTAGTAAGCTTACTCCGTAAAGTCCGCCCCAGGAATATCGCTACAATATGGGCGTGTATAGTGCCAGCTAATACCTCCTATATTCCGAGACTGGTAGAGGACAAAAGTAAGGGGTCCGTCGGAATATAAAGTGTCGAGGATATAGTAGATCTTACGATGAGAGATCGATAATCGGCCAAGGGCCTTCTGCTTCCTGCTGGATGAAATATTGAGGCTGTTTTACGTCATCCCTGTCACGTCTCAGAATAGCAGCGTCTCTGATGTGGCTCCGCCGCATTGCTCAAATCCAACGTCCAGATCCCTTTGCATTAACGAACACCTCCCATAAACCATATGTTCGCCTAGAGTCTCTTGTACAAAAAACAAACTTCTTCTTTGCTAGTACCTATTTTTCTCCCCTATAAAAAAGAAAAGAGGTGACCATTGCGCCGTCCGTCCTCGGGTCAAGAGCCCAATCAGCACGGATAGCCAAGCCACGGTTCTCGACATCTACCTCCGTACATATCAACAATTTCCAACATTGTTCATCAGGATACTTGTACATTCGATGAGCCGCCGTGCAGAGATAGCTTCTGAACCTCTACCAACATCCTCCAAACGCAGCCAGCAGAGCTGATCGCCCATTCCCTCCACTTCCGAAAACCCAACAACTGCCGCAATGCCTGCAGACTACGACTCAACTGCGAAGGCCCTCGCATTATCAGCGTCCCCAACGAGCTCTCCCTCTCCAGAACAACAAGACAGCAGACCTCCATGGACTCGGCGTATCTCCTCTGGAGTCCGCCGAGGCACGGCCTCCTCACCATACTCAACTCAAACCAACCGCTCCCTCAAAGACCAAATCCTTCAATCTGCCGACAAAGTTAGACGCCAGGTCCTCACAACCTTCAAAAGCCTCACTCTCCTCCAACAAATACTTTCAGTCACCCTCCTCATCATCTGTTTCGTTCTCGGCATACTCTTCCTCGTCTTCAACGAGAAAATTTTCGGTGCCTTGGCCCCAGCAGCTCAGAAGTGGCGAGATGTCCCAGGGGGATGGATGGTCTTATGGGCGCTGACCTTCATCTGCGGATTTCCCCCAATAATCGGGTACTCGACGACCGTCACCGTTGCCGGTTTCGTATACGGGTTCCCCAACGGATGGTTCATCGTCGCCAGCGCGACCGTCATGGGATCTCTGGCCTCATTCCTCGCCTCCCGAACCATACTCTCAAAGTACGTCCACCGACTCGTGGGCGCAGACAAGCGTTTCGAAGCTCTAGCCCTGACGCTCAAACATGACGGGCTTAAAATCCTATGCATGATCCGATTCTGTCCTCTCCCCTACTCCCTCTCCAACGCCGCCATGTCCACCTTCCCCACCGTCCACCCTCTCTCCTTCGCTCTCGCAACCCTCATTTCCAGCCCCAAACTCCTGATCCACGTCTTTATCGGGAGCAGACTCGCGGATATCGCTGAGCGGGGAGGCAGCATGGATACCAGCACCCGGCTCATAAACTACGCCAGTATCACCATCGGCGTCACTTTGGGGGTCTCGGTGGGATGGATCATCTACCAGAAGACAATGGCGCGTGCTGAGGAGCTGGAGGCCGAGGAACTAGAGGCTGGAAGGGGCGAAGGGGCCGCGGACTCCGGAAGGAGGTATAGTGATGCGGGCCTGGAAGATCCGGATGCCGCTGTGTTGATGGACGATGATGATATCAGTCTGTGGGACAGCGCGGGGAATATGTATAGAGATGAGTTTACGGATGGGAGTGACGAGGATGTCTTTGCTAGGGGGGATGGGGATAAGAATAAAGGAGACAAGAAATAAGGTAGAGAGAAAACCGCGGGCATAGGAGTTGCAGGTGTTTTTGGTCAATACGGGCATGACATGCTGGGTAGGCGTTCTGGTGTTTCTGATAGATCAAACGCTATAGACATCAGGATTACGATACAAAAGAGTATGAGAATTCTAAGTTCGATTGATTATAATTCATCAATCCTACAAGACATGGTTCAAATTTCAATTCCTCGCTCCTGATTCCCAACGCCACCGCTTAAGAACTGCAATCGTCAACTCGTACATCATCTCAATCATTAATTATGTATTTTTCCACTGTTGCATCAATGCCATAGCCTGATCAACCGGGTACCCTATGAAGACGGGTCCTGTAAAGATCATCTGCGGCCCACTACCATTTGACATCTTGGAAACCCCAGGAGGCTGAATGAAGGCCGGCGTTGATTGGAAGGGCGGTGGTTGGGTTTTTGGGCTGTCATCTTGTATAGGAGTTTGCTCCTTCGTCATTTGCTCATGTGGGAATGGACACTTGCCTGTAGGCCTTGCCGTCCCCGGTAAAGGTTCCGCTTGAAGGGATTCCTTGGTCTCCGTTTTGGGGCCATGTCCAAAAGGACACTTTCCTGGTCTGGGAGAGTGCTCAGCTGAAACAGGTGCAGGTGGAGGAGAGGTGGGTCTCTGCCCCAAAGGTTCCTCATATATAGGCACCGAAATACCCCAAGGCCGGCTCGGAGATTCCCCTACTCGAACTTCTTTCAACGGTCTATCAAAGTGGCCTTCTCTGTCCTCATCGTCCTCAGGAGGGGGGACCTCTTCGTTCTCGACATCACCAGTACTGACAGCCTTTGCCCAATTTTCAACTCTTTCGTTTGAGATTTGTTCGGCTTCTAGAGCTTCTTCTTCCTCTTTCGTCGGCAACATAGGTTGGTGTTTCTGACCCAGCCCTTGTATCATGCTCACAAGGCTTCCATACTTCGCATCTAGCTTCTTGATATCTTCCTCATTTCTCTGGTAACGTTTTACGCAAATTTCATGACTTCGTGGAATTTCGTGCTTGTGGGTTTCAAAGTACCTTGCAACCTCTTCCGGAGAGTGCTGGTCTAGATATCGGATTGGACATTTCGCTGCAGACCCTGTAGCTGACGGAGGTGCAGAGCACATTGTCTCAGCATACATAGCTGCACATATTGGATCCGCCGAGTGATGCGGGGTGGGGTCTTTCGCGTCTAATGGAGTCAAAGGCCGGTTAGACTCGAGGGTGCTAGCACCCTGGGAATTTGCGGAATCCATTGTAGGATTTTGACCTTTGGCTTGAATGGCATATGGACACGATAAAGAGCTCTTCTTCCCTGGTACTGTGAAGTCCTGCTCAAGAACTGTCGAGAGAGAGGTTCGTCGGGCAGATAATCTCATGTTACTACTCGTGCCGGATATACTTCTTCCACTCACCGTGGATCCAGCGGATCTAGCCCCTAAAGCCGCAAGCTGTTGTGCTGCACGCCGTCCGTCCCTTATAGCGACAGCTGTTTGCTGTTTTGACCTTGTCCAGCCTGCCGTGGGCAGTGGGACTGATCCGAGACGATCGGGAGCCGAGACCTGAAGATCCGGAGGGAGTTGCAATTGTGCCAACGTCTTTGATATCTCCGGATCGGCCGGAGCATACTTGTCCGCTAAACACTGATACTTTGATAACTAAGTCAGTACAAGGCGACGTGAAGGTATGAAAATGGACAAGTGGGATGCAAGAATTAGATTCAGAATAAGTGGTGTTTGTCGGTCGTCGCTGCTATAGCAGCTCCAGATCTAGAGCTAAGATGTTTCATCATATAGGTAAGGGGAGGGGCTTTGGCAAAGGATTGCTGGGGAGATGAAAGACGGTCGAGCTTACCTGTTCATGAGCAAAACGGAGTTTGTGCTCCAATATAGTCTTCCGATCACTAAGGAGCTGAACTTCATCTGCCAGAATATTAAAATTATCAGTCAAGGTCTTGGTGAGTTCCTCGTAGTCGAGGTCTTTGTATGGCATGATGTTGTGTGAAGGTACGAGGAAGGGTTCTTTTGAGAGAAGTTTCGTTTCGCCGCGATGAGGCGGGAATGGCCTGGGATGACAAATTAGCGCAGCACGTGACTCAAATAGTAGTTGTGCCTTAGGCAGACATATCTGGCCGGAACTTATTCCCGCCAATGAAAGTCCAGGGCATCAGGGAGTTGACATTGGGATATAAATCTCGAAGATGTATCAGTCCCAGAGGTACAGTAGGTATTCAGCAGACTCCAGAGTACTCAATAATAGAGCAGTCCCTGTCAGTTTGTCGTAGTGAGTTTGCATTGATTGCCTTGTCCGTACGTAGCAGCCCAGTATGGAGTACATTATCTACCTACCTACCTACCCTTATTATGTATGCGAGTTCAAGAGATGTTTCAGACCAGCAACCTCCTCCCTTCAGCCGCATAAGTGTATGGTCCAGTTCGCTCTATTGTGAAAACAAACCCCACTCTGTCTAAATGCTTCTGCTTCTGCATCTGTTTCTGCTTTTGCTTCCATCTTCCTTTGTGGACCCAGGATCATGAGCTCAAGCACGAGCCTTTTATCGTTTCGATGTCGATCTCGATAGGCGATCAATAGCTGCACTATTCTTCTTGAAGAGGACCGAGAGTCTGCACCTCCGCAACAGCCGGCAGCATGGCGCATGTCGAGAGGTCTTCGATGGAGGAGGCCCCTATGCAGAGTGCTGCTTTTGAGAGGCTTCCCGACGAAATAATTGAGCTGTGAGCTTTTCCTATGCCAAACCCCCAAGGATACATCTCCTGCAGCTGGCTAACCTTCAATACCTCTCAGAATCCTGCAGCTCGCCACCCCGAATGTCTTTGCGTCCTTAATTGTCTTGAATCGTAGATGGCGAATGGTGTCACAGCAAGCACACCTCTACGCCCATCACCTGTCGCAATGTCCCTCCTATTCGGCTGCCCACCATACCGTCCCAGGCCCCAATGACGAGAACAATCTGCCTCAACTACGCCGACTTTTTGCCCGCGAGATAAAGCGCAATTTATTCGAAGCATATTTACGGCCACAAGAAACAATTATCAATTTGGTTTCAACTTCTATAAGTTCATCCTCGGCACCTGGAGGGGAAGCTTTCCATTTTAGCCTCTCTCCGGGGGGTCATTATGTGCTTGCCTATAGCTCATCTCGAATACATGTTCTAGACGTAACAGGGCCAGAGGTTACAGTCAAACGTGAACTCAAGATATTGCGGAGGCCGGCTTCTACGACGATTACCGATGATGGAAATTTGCTGGCAGTTCTTTCGACGGATCTTCAAGTAAACCTATATGACTTAACGGGCGAGTATCCCAAGCATATCAGGGCAGTGGCATTGGATTACACACCTCGTACGATCTCTCTATCGCCTACCGGCTCTGTACTGGCTGCAGCATATGAGTCGGGTATCGAGGTTTCTTCATTGGATCCAGACTGCGTAACCACAGAACGGAGAGCAGTCAAGTGCTATGCTGCGGATTCCCTCTCTTTCTCCAAAAGTGGAACTCAATTGCTAGGGACAACGGTTCAATCACAGAATCCTAGCACTGTTGTTGTTACGGCACCGTACTATGACCCTAGCGGTAGCTTGCCAAAAGAGAGCATTAGCGCTTTATGGACAACATCCATTCTCTTTCCAAATGGCAGCCGTGATTGTAGCCATGCGGTCCTCCTTCCAACCCTGTCAAATGACGAGGCCAGCTGGACTTTTACATATGATAGAGTCTTCGAGACATTCCGCGCAGTACGGGTTGACGAATCATTACTACGGAATGGTACAACTTACTTCCCTGGACCTGTGGCCGATTCGCCTTCTAAACTCTTGCCGAGCACTTTACCAACAGCAAGTAAAGCTGGCGATCTCGTTGCCGCTGGATTCCAAGAGTCTATATGGCTTTACGGCATCCCAGAAGATCTCGAAGCCCTTCCCAACGTCAACAGTGGAACGAATAGCAGTGTAGAAAGTGAAATCAGTGTCCCTTTGACCCATGGCAAACGCCGGAATAGTGCGTCTTCATTGCGCTCCGTCCCTAATAACTCTCAAAACAACAGAATTCCACAGTGGCAAGTGCTCTGTGATAAAGCTCGAGATACGTTCGTTGAGGGCCGTAAAATCTCCTCGCTGGATCGTGTTAGTGCAATGACTTGGGTAAACGACTGGTCTACGTCTTTTCATAAAGAGAGATTGGTTGCAGTTGCTCCTGGCGTAGGATGCCAGTCACCGGAAATCGATCGTTCCCATCTTATGAGTCCGGTAGATGGTGGCCGTATGTCCATACTAGACTTTGACTACTCTCTAACTAATGGGAAGAAACGAACTGTCACGATTGAGGTTGGAGCGAAAGAGCCCGATACATTGGAAGAGGAGCACAGAGATCTTGATACCGAGGTGGCTTTGGCAAGGAGAAGGACAGTTGCACAGCGACGTCGAAGTCGTAGCAGTGTTGCCAGATCAGCGACTGCTGTTGGGGGTTCTGTTGCTGGTTCTGCATTTTCTGCAATTCCACCCATGCCACCCACGAGGGACTTGGGTGACCCGTTTGATACTCCGGCTTTGAGGAGGTTTAGTCTTGCAGTTCTCCCGACCGACACGTTGGAGACGGCGTCTATCGACGAAGAACAAGAGGCCTTAGACGGACCATATTCTCACACCAGTCCTCGATCGGGGACGACACTCCGCCGAGCTGCAACTGCAGCAGCAGCAAGCCGGCGATTCCATCCTCGTGCGGTTGCCCAAGAGCATATCGAATATCGTCGAGCTGATGGCCGCGAGGAACATCCTCATGAGAGTGATGCAGACAATTGGGTGCCTCCACCTCCTCCATACACAAAGGATCCCGTCCCGCCGCTGCCTGAACATATTCAAAGATCACTACTTGCAGAGGCTGCGGCAGCAACCTTGCAACGGGCAAACACCCAACGTGCCCCAACCCTTGATTTCCCTGGTTTGGATACGCCTGGTCTGCAGCGATCCCGCACGTTGGGGTCCGTAAGCTCGAGTGGATCCCGAAGAGAGTTTCCATTTCCTCGTACGCGGAGCCATTCCACAATGAGAACGATTGCGGTCTCTGTTGGTGACGAGCAACGGCCTGCCACAAGTCCCGCGTCCCCAGTATCTCCTTTATTTGACGATCTCTACAATGTCTCTCCCCCCGGATCGCCACAGCCAACCCATGATAGAGCGCCAACACCGCCGACACCTCAAGAAGTAGCACCACCAACCCCGCCAACACCACTAACGCCACAAACCCCACCAGTGGATTCACATACTGAATCGGAACCGTCACCCTTATCTGTATCAACGCCGCCTCCAACCCATCAGATACCCAGAAAACCAGTTGGGGCCGATGCCAGTAATATTGTTGAAGTTCATTCAGCTCCAGCCGAGGCTGCGAGAGCTACTATGCATCAATCTATCTGCCCAGCTCCTCAGCCAGTGACTGATAGTCGTCCTCTGGGGGACGGGGAAACCACGACGGAGGCTCGCGAGGTCCCCCTCTCGGACACGAGTTTGACGTCTGCTCCATCAGGGCCCACTAGAGATAGAATGGAAGAGGGAGCGATTCCGCATCCGTCTGAGGGCCATAACATCACAGAGCTACCTCAGGATACATCTGTTCAACAACATGGTCACGAGGAGATGCAATCACAACCTGTATCACTGTTGAGACGTAGTGAGACAGCCCCGAGCGCAGGATCTCCTGCATCTACCGGAGAGGAACTCATGCCAGTCTCCAGAACCAACACTGCACCAGTGGCATCAGAAACACTGGACACATCTATCAACACCACTACTCGATCTCGAATTATGAGTCCAAGTGCCGATCAACTTGCTCGGTTGAACAGCCGCAGCGGTCGCCCAGCCGGAATCGTTGACCCTCGGCGTCTTTCCGGTACCTTCACTCAACCTCGAGGGACTTCCCGGACCCAGCGTCATTCCTGGACTTCTTCTCAGCACACTCCTTTAGTTCCATCCTCCGAACAAGACTTTGGACCTTCACCACCCAGTGCCGCAGTTGGAGCCCGCCGCTCCTTAGCCCGCTCCAACACAACCTATACGCCTTCCTCACGACCATATGCTCCCCCCTCAGCATCGTTCTCACGACGCATCAGCATTAATGCTCCCAGCCACCACCGCCACACCTCGTCAGGCTCTAGCCTCTGGCCAGTGCAGCGGCTAGACACCATCCAGAGCGCCAACTCAACTGCTGAGCCTTCACCCTGGCCATTGCAAAAGCCAATCCCGGTTGGGGTCTCGAGGCAGTCGAGTAGAGCCGAGAGAAGCGCAGCGAAGAATATCAAGGATGCGAAGAAGAGGGGCTGGAGGGCTAGTATCAGGAAAGAAAGCAATGGGAAGAGTAAGGGGAAGATGGCAGATGGGACGAGTGATAGCGGAATGAAAAGGATCATGGGTCGTGAGAGGCGGAAGAAGCATGGGGCGAAGTGTGCGATGATGTGAATTTTTTTCCTTTGTATTTTTTTATTTTATAATTGTCAGACTAGCATTATAGCGGAGTGGGCGGTATTTTGAAGATTGTTTTGGATGGTGATTCCTGCCTTTTGGATCATCAGGGGGTTTGTTTAGCGGTGATATCCGACATTGATAGATAGGAGTACTTCTTGGAGCGAATTATCCTCAGTCATTTGATAGCAAAAGAATCTATTGACATACACGAAAGACAGCTAGCAACATCTCTCTTTTTTTTCATGTCTTAGATCTTCGTCACCCCTTTCTCTCTTTCTCCGTGCTATCAAAATCTGCAAAAAAGGAATCAACCCGCACGCATTCTTCTTCTTTTTCACATTTTATTTATCTATTCCAGCTTCAGCGTCTCAAACTGCTTGATGGTCTCCTCGAAAGCCCTCTTCTCGGTCTCGAGATCCGCCAGCTTCTTCTTCTCGATCTCCTGCAGCTCGGCGCTGACCTTCTCCTTGTAGCCCGGGTCGGCGAGGATCTTCTTCTGGCGCTCGATGCCCTGGTTGGTCTTGTCGAGCTTCTTGCTCGCCTTCTGGATCTCGCCGTCGATGTCGACGCGGCCCTTGACGTGCAGGAAGACGGCGGCGGCAGCGGACACGGCGAACACCACGCATCCTGGAGGCCGCGAGTCGGTGGCGGAGAGGATCGAAATGGAGGCGACACCCTTGCCGGAGAGGGACTTGATGGATTGGATCTGTGAGGTTGCGGTGCTGTGGGAAACGGGGTCGTATGTTTGAATGTAGACTGTTGCGGTGTTAGTAGCTGGTAGATTCTATGGCTGTAATGAACATACCTGTTCCTTGATCCTTGAGCGAGTACTCGGCCATCAGTGATCGGATACCCCTGGAGATGCCTAGCACAAGCTCATATGCCTCCTCGGACTTGGGGTCGTCCATCGTTGGGTCATACACTGGGTATTTGGCGACGACGATCGACGGCGTCTTGTCTTCTGGGCGGCGTGGGAGACGTTGCCATAGCTCTTCCGTCAGGTATGGCATGTAAGGGTGGATCATTGTCAGAGCACCTTCGAGAGCTGTGTACAGAGTGTCGAGTGCTGAACGCTTCTCTTCCGGAGTTCCATCTTGGAGGATGGCTTTCGAGTTCTCAATATAAACATCGCACAGGTGATTGTACCAGTACGCGTAGATGATTGACGTTGACTTCATGAATTCACGTTCGGCCAAAGCTTGGTTCACTTCCTTGGCAGCAGTTGTCATCTTGTGGAGGATCCATCGCTCAGCCAATGACTCCTTGCCAGTCAACGCTGCGGTCTTCCGGGGCACAAAGTCGGCGTCTAATTTACCCAGCACATACTTGGTCGCCTGGTAGATCTTGTTGCAGAATTTGCGGTATCCGTGAATGACCTTAATGTCAAAGGCAATGTCTCCGCCACCGGTGGTATACGCCACCAATGCGAAACGCAGTGCGTCTGTACCACATTGTGGAATGCCATCCGGGAAAGCAGTTTTCTGGTATTTTGTAGCCCTCTCAACCTCAGCAGGGTTAAGGTTTCCCGTCAGCAGCTTCTTGTGCAGGTCTGTCAGGGCGATACCCTCAATAACATCCTGGGGATCAATGACATTGCCCAGTGACTTCGACATCTTCCGGCCTTCCGAGTCGCGAATGAGCGAATGGCAGTAGACCTCGGTGAACGGTACCTTGCCAGTAAGCTTAATACTGAACATGACCATTCGTGCAATCCAAAAGAACAGAATATCCCAGCCAGTTTCCAGTACAGTGGTTGGGAACAACGTCTCGAGGTCGTGTGTCTTGTTTGGCCAACCTAGGGTGGCAAAAGGCCACAGACCAGATGAGAACCAGGTGTCTAGAACATCTTCATCTCTCTTTAAGGTGAAGGTCTTCCCGGGTAGAGCTTTCTTGGCTTTGAGCTCAGCTTCCTCTTGCGTTCGACCTGCAAACCACAACTTTCCGTCACTCTCATCTCCTTCTTCGCCCTCTATCTGTGCGAAGTACATAGGTGCTTGGTGGCCCCACCACAGTTGCCGGGAAAGACACCAGTCGTTGACATTTGACATCCATCTGACATAACTCTTGGCAGCGCTCTCTGGCAATATCTTGATCTCCCCAGACTCAACTGCATGCAGAGCATCCGCAGCCATCTCTTTCATTCTCATCCACCATTGAGGTTTCAGTAGAGGTTCGATAATGTCCTTCGACTTATCGCACAATGGGACCGTCATTGGGTTGTCCTTCTTATCAACGTAGAGGCCAGCCTTCTTGAGATCCTCTTGAATGGTGTATCGGACATCAAAGCGCTTCTGCCCCTGGTAAGCACCAGCATTCTCGTTCATCTTCCCATCATCTGTCAGAATATTGATGAATTTGAGGTTGTGTCGTTGACCAAGTGCAAAATCGTTAGGATCATGAGCTGGAGTGATCTTGACAGCACCAGTACCGAAATCTTTCTCGACATAGGTGTCTGCGACAATTGGCAGGAGTCGACCCTCGATAAAGGGATGGACAGCATTCTTTCCAACAAGATGTTTGTATCGCTCATCATCGGGATGTACTGCAATACCAGTGTCTCCAAGCATGGTTTCCACACGAGTAGTCGCAACCTCGATTGTTTCATCTGAGCCTTCAATCTTGTACTTGAAGTGCACAATTACACCAAATTCAACCTTTTTGTCATAACCCGGTACGTCTAGCAAGGTGCGACCTGGCAATTCCTTGTTGACGACTTCAAGGTTAGACAGGGAGGTGTTCAATTTTGTGCACCAGTTCACCAGTCTGTTTGCCCGGTAGATAATCCCCTCATCGTGCAACCTCACAAAGGTCTCTGTGACAGCGGCACTAAAGTTCTCGTTCATGGTGAATGCTTCTCGGGTCCAGTCAAACGAGCCGCCCATTCTTCGCTGAACATTGTTGATCTTTTGGTGATACTCGTTCTTCCAGTCCCAGACAGTGTCCACAAACTTTTTCCTTCCCAGATCGTGACGCGTCTTTTGCTCCCGACGCCAGAGAAGATTCTCCACGACACTCTGAGTCGAAATACCTGCATGGTCACAACCAGGTAACCACAAAGTGGTTTTGCCATGCATACGATTCCATCTAATCATCACATCTTGTAAAGCATTGCCTAACGCGTGGCCCATGTGAAGATTTCCAGTGACATTGGGCGGTGGCTCAACGATGACAAAAGATCCCTCTGGCTTGACCTTGCCATCTACCGTGAACTCGGGTTTGAAAAAACCTTCCTTCTCCCACCACGCATACCATGCGGATTCCACGGCGGTTGGGTTATAGGCTTTGTACTGGGGATCGTCGAAGGGTTTGATGACTTGGCAACATGTTAGCCTCTTGTAGAACCAAATCTGGAGGAGTGGGACAAACTCTTCTTTTCGCCGGCAGGTGTCTCCTCTACGTACGGGGGGAGCACATCATCCTCTGCCTTCTTTTCAGCCTTGGCCTTCTTCTCTTTGCTTTTGCTAGACGCAGCAGAGGCGGCGGCGGCGGCTTTCTTTTGGTTCTTTTGGTCGAATTTCGCCTGTTTCTCAGCCTTCTTGCGTTCTCTCTCCACTGTGTACAAAATAAGTCAATATTCGTATTCGCAACAGCTCAACGGGATATGGTCCCGATGCTTGGGGCTCCGTACGCTCTTTTTCGCTCTTCACTTTCTTCTCACCACCTGCAGCCTCTGCAGTTCCAACCTTGCTGCCCGCATCTTGTCCGGCAACAGCAGTTTTGGTCTCGTTCAAAATCGGAGTTGCATTTCCGGATATCGCCCCGGTCTCTTGACCGACTATTGAAATTTGAATGTCAGAAAATCCTCGAAAAGCCGGTGCTTCAATCACTTACTTGCAGCGTTGGTAGCCATTCTGGCGCGGGGATGACTCAAGGTTATTCTGAAGGGCCGCCTGGGCACCCAGAGCGCTCTGGACAAGATTTTAGACGTCGTGCTGGTGTGCCCCTGGCAAATCGAGGGAATACGGCTGCGGCGTTGCGAATTGATAGAAGGTTTCCAAATTTCTGTTTTGCCAAAGTATTTGGCCGCTGGATGACTCGCACGACGAATCCGAAGAAGCAATACAGCAGGCTAAACGAGGCATCCGTGCAAAAATCATTTCTTATAGCCTTGCGCACCAGGCCACTCGCTTGCGAGGCTGATGGATTTCCCTCGTTCTGCTCATCCCCGTCATCTCAAACATCATTTATCCATGAGTGAACCCAGGCATCTTCAACAGGTCCCATATCCATGAGGGTCATGTTGATATTATATAGGGGAGGACCTGGGGGTTTCATGCTGCTATCTAAGCACGACCGGACAGAATGGCCATTACCGCGCTTCCTAAAGCCACCATTCAACTCCTAAATTCGGCCCAGGTCCTCACCACACCCACGTCTCTTGTCAAGGAGCTTATTGACAATGCCCTTGATGCCAAAGCAACATCTATCGACATTATTATCTCTCCAAACACCCTGGACAAGATCGAGGTTCGAGACAATGGGCATGGCATCCGGCCCGACGACCTTGATGCCTTGGGAAGACGCGGGCATACTAGCAAATTGAGATCATTCGACGAACTGAGGCTCCTTGGTGGTATTACTTTGGGCTTTCGTGGGGAAGCACTGGCCAGTGCAGTCCAACTGGGGGAAGTCTCAATCACCACGAAGACTGAGGGCGAACCAGTTGCAACCAAGGTCAAATTGAAAGCGGTTGGCGGAATCGAAAACCAGACTCGTACTTCTCATCCAATTGGTACCACAGTCTCTGTTTTAAATTTTATGGCGAAGCTTCCTGTGAGAAAGAAGACCTTTGAGAAGGAAGCAGCAAAGACACTAGGCAAAGTCAATCAACTCTTACAAGCGTATGCCCTTGCACGGCCATCCATCAGATTCAGCCTAAAGATTACCAAGGGCGGTAAGGGTTCCTGGTCTTTCGCACCTCGTCCAAATAGTGGTGTCAAAGAGGCAGTTTCACAGGTCATTGGTAGAGATGCAGCCTTGCAATGCATCGAGAAGTCGTTTGTGTTTCCTGAATCAAAGTTAGAGGAAGATGGCGCCGAAGTCGACGAAGAATATGCTACAAATTCTGTCCCTGAGGATGCAATCGACCAAGGGAAGAAGTCCGAACGCTTCATTATCGAAGCCTTTCTTCCAAGTGCAGATGCAGAGCCTTCCAAGGTCGGGAACGGCCAGTTCTTATCGATCGATTCCAGACCAGTGTCACACGAGAAGGGCACAATGAAGAAGATCGTTACTGTTTTTAAAAAGTATATCAAGGACTGTCTTGCTGATGCCTCTGATAATCTGAGGAATCCCTTTGTTCGTCTGAACATAAAGTGCCCAGTTGCTAGCTACGATCCAAACGTGGAGCCTGCAAAAGACGATGTTCTCTTCGGAAATGAATCTCTTGTGCTGGAAGCGGTTGAGAAATTGTTTAAGACTGTCTATGGCGAGTGCAAAGTCGCACCAGCTGCACCGGCCCCGCGGGTCTTGGCCAAAAGTGTTGACAATTTCGAACTGCTTCTTGCCCGAAAACCTGCCACATTATCTAATAGGGATCAGCAACAATCCGCACAGGCTGCGCCTTTAATAGCACCGTCCCCTGGCCCATCATCTCCTCCACATATTTCTAAGTCACCAAGAACTAATGTTGAAGAAAACGCTGATGAGCCATCCACCAACAAGCAGAGAAAATGGGGATTCACCATGTCTACGGACTTCACCAAGGAGGCTGAAGACTTTGAACAACAAAACCAGCGGAACAATCACGGAGCAGGTCCGGCACGGGATGCGGATGAGGAGATGTTACCAGAGCTGACAAATCCTCTGAATCCATGGATTATTGCCAAGATGAGTGCTCCTAGTACTCGAGGCTCTGCGACAACCTCGAGGGATGTCAATCCAATCTCGGCGTTGACACCTATCACCCCAAAAGTCTATCGAGTGTCTGAACCTGGTTCCGATGTCATTCATCGATCAAATACTCGAGGCCAGCAGACATCTCGTAGTGCCGATATTGAGGGTGTGCAGCCAAAAGTGCCGACGAGGATATCCATCCAGCAACCCATCGTCTCTTCCAACAGACAACAATTACCCATCGATGATGAGCCTGATCTATTTATCACTGATAATGAACAACCTCGTCAAACCAGCCGCAGGAACGACTTTGTCACCGCAAGAGATATCGCACCAAATTCTCTCATGTCGCCACCATCCACCCAGCTCTCCAAAGTTCCTTCAAGAGCCATTGGCTTAAACAAACCGTTTGTATCGCCCCTTGTTAATGACGGAAATAGGGCAAAGCAAGACAGTCTGCGCCAAACCAAGTTGATCCAAGATCCCCAGCCTTCTTGTGTCCAGGACGGAAATCATCAGGATATGCCCAACAACTCTGATCTCGCTTGGGCTATGGATTTTGAACAAAGGAAAGAGGATGCCACTCGTCGACGTCGTGAAGAGGTTAGAGCTGCCAGAGTAGCTGAAAAAGATTCCACCGCGACAAATGTGAGTCGATCTTCTCCGCATACAAATCGGTATAATGCCGCGATAGCCAGCCTGGAAGCGGGCCTGCCCTCAAGTCGTTCTAGTGCTTTGGAGGTGAAGAAAGCATTTTCTACATCTCTACCCGACGATGATCCGCGTGGATATCTTTTAAGACGACAGCAATCTTTGGCCTCTCATACAAGCAAGCCAGGGGATCTGCCGAAAATGTTACGTGCAAAGTCGATGAAGCTCCCATTGGAAAGAATTCCCCGCGATGCCCAGTTGCACCAACTGGTTCAACCACTTCCCACCGAGATCAGTACGCTAGGACAAACTGCAGCGATATTGGCGAAGGACGACATGTATATTAGTCGCGGAAGTCTGGCCGCTGGACTCGTGACGATCAGTGAGGAGACATCAGAAGTCGCCCGGATGCTTCAACGCGTTGTCGAAGCCTGGGTGAAGGATGCGGGTGATGAAAAGTTGGAGGTTGAGTATATTGGCGATTTCTCGATGCTGAATCATTAGGTGTGGCACACGATGTGACAGGAAAGGATCTTTGCATTTAGAAACCTATATCATTCCCGTTGCATTTCCAGATACCCATTTGCTTTATATAAAGAAAAGACATAGTTCATCATCAATTCTTTGGCTTGTATGTGACATAGGTGCCATGTAGAACCCTCATATTCAAACAATTGGATCCGGAGTATGCACCGTTGTTCATCTTGATCTGATTGCTAAACCAATGCGTCGGAAACGGAAATCGGAAAAAAGGGGGGGCGTTCGGTTGGCTTGTCAAGCGAAGTCGGGCGCTAAAAAGAGCAGATCCCGAACCCTATGATACCATTATCAAGGCTCCACCATTGAAGCCCGTTGAACCGCTGTGATCCGCCTTATAAATACTTAAGACACGAAACCATCTCCAAATCCCGGATTCCTAACAATCAAACCTCCATCTCCTCTCACAATGTCGACCGCACCAGAGCAGAACGGCCAGAAAAGCGTCGGGGGCCTTGATCACGGCCTCGCAGGCCTGTCCCTGTCCTCGAAAACCATCCACGCTGATGACTATCTCAACACAGACACAGATGTCGCTCCCGCGATGCACGTCGCGACCACTTTCCGCTACAACAGAAACCCGGACCTCTTAGTACCAGCAGCAGAACAACCAGACGTTGGTTTTCAATCCCCGAGACGTGTGAGAGGCAAATCAGCTGACCTGCCCCACTTCTAGCCTTTCGACCCCGCCGTTGGCCATATCTATTCGCGACTGAGTGCACCAAACACCTCGCGCCTGGAAGCCATCCTCTCCAGCATTTTCAAAGGCCCGGCATTGACCTACGCCTCGGGTCTCAGCGCCTTCCATGCTCTCTTGGTCCTGCTCAACCCCAAGCGCATCTCCATCGGGGAGGGTTACCATGGCTGCCATGGAGTTATTGGGATCCACGAGAAGCTCACCGGGTTGAAGAAGCTCGATCTCCACTGCCCTGCTGAAGAGTTGCAGCCGGGTGATGTCGTGCACGTAGAAACGCCACTCAATCCTCATGGCACGGCTTATAACATTAAGGCTTTTGCTGAGAAGGCGCATTCAAGAGGTGCCTATTTGACTGTTGATGCCACGTTCGCGCCCCCGCCTCTGCAGGATCCATTTGAGTGGGGTGCGGATATTGTGATGCACAGCGGGACGAAGTATGTTGGTGGCCACTCTGATATGCTCTGTGGTATTCTGGTGATCAATCCTGCGAGGCTCAAGGAGGGTTGGCTCAAGACACTTCAAGCCGAGAGGGTCTTCTTGGGCAATGTGATGGGGTCGCTGGAGGGATGGTTAGGAGTCCGAAGTATCCGAACTCTGGAAGTGAGGATGGAGAGACAATCGTCCAACGCTACAAAGTTGGTAACATGGCTGGACGCTGCGCTCCATCCCGAGTCAGCTAGCGAGAAGGACGCTGTCAGCGCAGAGACCAGCAAGATCGTACAAACGATTCTGGACAAGATCGAGCATGCCAGCTTGCAGAAAGACGCTATCAAAGAGGGCTGGCTGCTGAAGCAGATGCCTAACGGTTTCGGACCGGTCTTCTCAATCAGCTTGAAGAACGCGACTTTTGCACGCCGACTGCCAAGCAAGCTCAAACTGTTCCACCATGCTACCAGTCTGGGTGGGGTTGAGAGTCTGATTGAGTGGCGGACGTTGTCGGATGCTACGGTCCATCCCCGTCTGCTGCGTATCAGTGTCGGGCTCGAAGGCTGGGAGGATCTCCGTGATGACTTGCTGCAGGGCTTCAAGGCTCTTGCGGAGGAGCAGACGAAACTGGGACAGTAAGCAGATTAGACTTAGATTACGACTATAGATGGTGAATATGCATAGACGATCCCGGTATATCACACTCTCCGTATCTCACCTAATCTCACCGCGTATCTACCGTTTCTCAACCCGGAATCCGTAACTTAGCAGACATCTCAGGAAGCACTGACTTAACCCCCCTCGTGCATACATCTCGCAATACTATAGTAATATTGAAATTGACTGTGATCATATGTCAAAATTAAAGAGCGCCGAGCTAGGTCACGTTCTAGAAAGCGCCCCTTACGGAAACCAGGACACCCGTCGGTCCAGGTCCTCGGATGGTACCGTCATCCCATGATGATAATGTGGAGAAGGGTGGCGAAATAGATGGATCGACGGACAGGTATCTGGCACTGATAATGCAGTTGGAAGTCAACCATAGATCGCCATCGAACTACGACTATCAGAAACTCTTGTGACTGGGCAGGTCCAGGCGCACCGCAAGAATCGGAGCATGATCGGATTCTACACCGATATATGTAAAAAAGAAAATATGAATTAAAAAAAGAAAGTAATCAATTCGATTAGAATTTCAGACTCTGATCCTGACTTTCTGCAACTTGACGAAGCATCATGTTATCACTTGATTCACGATGATTGAGCGATGCATCTGTTCTCGAAGAGTCGAAGACTCCTCTGCTGACTAATTCATACAAGGGATATCCGTTCACTTTTGGATTAGTCAGCAATGAGCTAATCCCATTCCGGGTCAACATCCAGAGCTCAAGATCTCGAATGTCGAACGTTTCGACTGCAAAACGTTCATCCCACAGACACCTCTACAGCACAACACGAAGTAATATCGCGATACCCCTTCAATCACTGTGTGTGAACATACGCCTACATTCGCTATATCCCAGAACTTTAACCAGAACCACCGATCTTTCAGCGCTCTCGACTTTTCGCCCCCCGCCTCCCGCCAGCGGCGAACAATCTTTCTAGCTACACCCGCAACAAACAACCGCGCTCCCATCTCACCTCCACATCAGAGACATGGCGAACTACCTCGCCAGTATCTTCGGGACCGAAGCCGACAAGGTCAACTGTTCCTTCTACTACAAGATCGGAGCGTGCCGGCACGGCGACCGGTGCTCGCGCAAGCACGTCAAGCCGTCGTACAGCCAGACCATCCTGCTCCCGAACCTGTACCAGAACCCGGCCTATGACCCCAAGGTCAAGATGAACGCGAGCCAGCTGCAGAACCACTTCGATGCCTTCTACGAGGATTTCTGGTGCGAGATGTGCAAGTTTGGCGAGGTTGAGGAGGTCGTCGTTTGTGATAATAATAATGATCGTGCGTTCCCCCCATTCCCCCCCCCCTTCTTCCATTCCCCCCAAGAGAAGAAGAAGAACACCATGCTAACCAAGGACATCTCTATCTCCAGATCTGATAGGCAACGTCTACGCACGATTTAAATACGAAGACTCAGCCCAAAAAGCCTGCGACGCCCTAAACTCACGCTGGTACGCCGCGCGCCCCATCTACTGCGAGCTCTCGCCCGTGACCGACTTCCGCGAGGCCTGCTGCCGGCTCAACAGCGGCGAGGGCTGCGTGCGCGGCGGCTTCTGCAACTTTATCCATCGCAAGAACCCGAGCGAGGAGCTGGAGCGCGAGCTGGAGTTGAGCACTAAGAAATGGCTGCGCATGCGCGGCCGCGATGAGCGGAGCGCGAGTCGTAGCCCGAGTCCGGAACCTACGAGGAGGAGGTATTGATTTAGGTGGGAGTGAGGTCGACGAGCCTTTTTTTCTGTGTGTGTGTGTGTGTGTGTCTTGGTTTATTCGGGTTTAAGGGGCGATGGAATCAAACAAAAAGAATTCATCTATCTAAAAGATGACTTGACTTGACTGACTGACGCGATGGGTCAGAGATACAAGAAGAATGTAATTCAATCCAGTTTTCTACGGGATATGAGAGAAGAGGCATGCATGGTAGAGAAATACTCTACGGCGTTGTTTGGGATCATCGTCCTTGATTCTACGTATGGGGAAAAAAAACAGAACAGAACAGAACAGAAAAGCTTCTTTGTATCATAGGACGGACGACGAACACACTCATGCATACCTATGCAACAACACAAGGCGCTGGCTGGCTGGGTGTATGTATGTATGTAGTATGCAACCGGAATTTTCAGATATCCTCTCTAGTAAGCATAGGAACCCATGAATCATGCATGATACCTGTGAATCTGCCCTGCCCTTCACAGAATAATTAATGCACGTGTGCGCTCAAAAAGTTGTGTCGTTCAACGCCAACCCCGCTTCCCTTGTAGTCGGCCCCCCCTTCCCCCCTTTGTGTATTTTTTTGCTTGCTCTCCGGTCACGTGTGATAAGTCAGTCATCCATCATCTTTTTTAACTCTGCGCATCAACGAACTCATCCAGGCTGTTCGTGTCGGTATCTTGTCGTTTCAACCGGTGTTGCTCGGCCTCGGGGAGGTTTGCCTTCAGGTCCTGTTGGAAATCGATCAACGGGCCCTCTTTTGATGATGTGCTCGTAGATTTGAGTGTGTTCTCCAGATCCTTCTGCTTCTGCCCGTCGTTTTCTGTCTGTGCAGCTTTAAGGTCCGCAGGTATCAGGGATCCCTCGTTCTGGCCAAAGTCTATAAGGTCGTTTTTCTGAGTGGCGGCAGCGGCACCTGCTGAAGGACTTTGGGCTGGTGCTGGGTTCTTCCCGCCCGCCTTCTGCCCGGGGAGAATAGGCGCCACTGCCAGAATCTGCTCTGTTTGTTCCTGGGGCGTACGCCCATCACTGTGAACATGTTAGCACGTCTACTTGAGCGAGTTAGAGAATATACTGACATGGCGGCATTCAAGACCCAGTCAAGGCCTTCATCACCCTCGTCCCGGCCACCTGGGCCTGCTTCGACTGGTCTGAACAGCTTTGGGCGCCATTCAACACCATTCTCTGCTCTCTTGGCTGCCTCGTCTCGTTGCCTATCCTCTATCTTAGTCTTCTCGTCGGTTGCTAGCTCATGGTCTCGTGCCTTTACAGCCTGTGCTGTCTTGTACCATAGCCTCTGAGATTCGCGCTCGTCCTGTTCCTCCAGCGGCCTTGACAGTGGAGGAGAGTGCTTTGCCCTCGTGGCGTTGAAAAGCAAATCCTTCTTCCCAGTCTATTTGGATAACATCAGCACGGTGGAATGTGGATGAGAACGACAATAGGAACCTACCTTCATATCCTTGATCATCATTTCTCCGGTCCAGTTTCCAGACAACTCAAAGAGGGTCTCGCCCGTCTTATCATTCTTGATTGTGCCCCCAATAGCGTTGTATGTTCCGCCAAAGTATCCCTTGGTTTTAAACTCGATATCTGCGGTCAGCCCCAACTCTGGACATCGTACAAAACTATGGTCGCCAAGCTCGTATTTCATCTTCCCGAACAGGATGCCCCGAGCATACATGTTTGGCTGTGTGAGGATATATCTCTCCCCCTTTGGTGAACGTCCTCTGTTCGTAAGCCGCAGGATGGCAATGCCTTCCATCATACTGGCAGCTGAGTTACCGAGGAACTTGCTTCGGGGCTTCAGGGTACCATCGATGCGGATGTGGTGCTCGGGGGCCATGTAGAAGTAGCTGGATTTGGGAGGGTGATGTGACGTTTGTTCGGAAATATAGTAGCCTTTGGTGTGGTCTGGGAATTCCCAGTAGCAAGTAAATATCTCGCCAAGGATGGGATTGAGAGGCTTCTTGACTCCCCTAGAAAGCCATGTCAGACTTGTTTCCGGTCCCTCGTGAACGCGGGCTGTGCTTACGGTGGTTTGAGATGCCATCCACTGAGGTAGAACTTCACCACCGACACAAACCGCTTTACCGGATCGTCAATCTCGGGCATTGGGAGCAGCGTCTCCGGATGGGCCATAAAGCTACACACACACACGAATCAGCATTTCCATGCCCCCAAACCCAGCTTCCCCAACCTATCCGGATTCTATACGCACTTGGTAATCCTCTCCAACATGCTCCGCGGCTCCAAGATGAAGGTCGGCAGCACGACCCGGCTCAGGTCGGCGCCTGGCCGTAGCTGCGAGATGATATGTGAGAGCACTGCCCAATCCGATCAGCCGTCGAGCTCTCTCTCTTCCCCGCGACCGGACAATGCTCACCATTTCCCTGCTCCGGCTCTACGACTGTCGTCTCGTCCTCTGGGCCATCGGATCTCGATTCGTCAACCGACGAGCGCTGGCCTAGGGGGGTAGAAATGGATTAGCAACACTTCTCTCAAAATGACCACGACCGATGCGTCCGGGGCTCGCTGAGGGCAGGAATCCCAAGTACAGGCAAGGGCAAGGAGAGAGAGGGCGCCGACACATACTTGCCGCGGAAGTCCGACGATGGCTATGGAGGCTGACCATCGTAGCAAGTCTTGACTTTTTTTCCGAAATAAATGCGAAAGGGGGGTTCAGATGCCCTTGGTCGTGGACGTCGTGAGGGGCAGAGGCTGTGGAGGTGGTGTTGGGCAAAAGTGAAGTCTGACGACCTTTTGCCGTGAGGTAGGGTTCTGCAAGTGGTGGAGGGACGACGGGGGGTGACGCAGGCGACAAAAGCTCGGATTTTTTCTGGTTGGTGCGTGCTTTGGCTGAGGGGCGACGATGGGCGAGAGGGGGGCACGTGTTTCTGACTGGCCGGGGCGCCCGGGGGGGGTCCGCCACGGCTTCAACCCCATTACGGAGCATCAACATCATCGGGGATTTTCCACTTTTTCCCAAGACGTCTCTCTAAAGAACATGACTCGGGCTTTATCAGGTTCTTCTGGATCCATTCAACTTCAGAGCCAGCCAGCACAAGCCAGCCATTACGCAGAATCTAAATGGTGATTTGTATTATTACCCGGCCTTGTTTGTATAAACTATTTATTGATTGATCAAAATGCATAAATGATCACGCCCTCTCATCACTCCTTCCTGCTTTCCTGACTTCGACAGCCAAATTGTGAATTCCCTGGCGGTCAATGCATACCTACTTAGTTCCTGCGTGCTCAACATTGCTATCCACCCAGCCCGTTCCCGCGCCCCCTTGACTCCAGCCGCGCCTACAATACATACACAAGACGGGAAACCAAATCGTAACGCCGAAAAGGACTTTTTCCGAACAAAAGAAGATTCGTTGCCGTGCTGAATATCAATATTAAAAAGACATGTGTTGCTGGCTGTATAGGTTTAGGCTGGTTGATTATCCAGTGAAGAAGCACCGCTGCGTCGTCCGTCTACGAGTTCGGCCGAGGTACCCAAGAATTCGGGGTTCTCGGACTGGTCGACCGTTTGGATGTTGTGATGCTGTACGTATCCTACGCTCGTAGGCCTGTCGTCTCGGATATCTGCCGAGAAGAGCCCCAGAGCTGAGGCGTTTCCTGAAGAGCCCGGGTCCCCTAGAGCGGCGAAGCTTGATTTTGTGGAGATGGTAGAGCCCTGATTGCTATTAGAGTTTGAGCGGCCAAAGGGAAGCTCAGAGGACTCTAGTGGTCCCTCAGGATAGTGTTGATGAAGGAACCCTGACTCCATGAGGTCCACGCTTTGTGACTTCCTTCTTGAGCTTTTACGAGGAACCGTCGGTGACCGAGAAGGGGCATCAGGAACCAACGGGATATCGGTCATATCGGTCATATCGGTCCTCTTCACTCGTCGGCTGCCTCTGGAGGTGGCTTTCGAAGGGAATCTGCTCGGTAATTCAATGCCGCCCTCGCCGATCTCGATTCCCGGGAGCAGCGGCGGCGCGTCTGAGATCCGAGTCATTTCAAAATCACCATCCTGAGAGTCCTCGTCTCCCGATGTCAGAGGGCTAACCAAATTCTCATCTTCACGCTCGGCAGGTGCGGCAGGCTTGGACTGACCCCTGTTGGATGGCCCGGCATGGACCGACTCGTCATCAGAATCGATTGGCCCGTTCCGCACCCCTCCTGTTGCCACAGGGATTCCTTCAGGGGGTGTCTCGACCCCAGGATCGTTCCTGGCCACCATACCTGGTGGCATTCTTGCACTTCTGACGACCTCAAATCCCTTGCCCTTCTCCTTCGTCTTCCCCATAAATAGGCTCTTGAACCACCCTACGGCCGAAGCCGGAATACCGGTAGGATCTGCCGGCCCGGTTTTGGTTCTTCTACTAGGTATGTTGGCATTCAGAGCAGGACCGCGCACGCCATAATAGAAATCGACTTCTCGGGTGGTGTAGTCGGCTTTGGATCTCCGTGGCTCAGTTGGACTCCCATCCAGCGCTTGCTGGGCTACAGGCGTATTCCGGCCAGATATCGAGGGCCCTTCAAACGGCTCAATTTGGTCAGGGTTTTCTGGATCCGGTTGACTCCATCTCCTGTCCGCCAAATCACCACTGCCCCAGGATCCACGACTCCTAGCGCCAGGGGAATATGCATCCACAGTCGGGCGCCGGATCCTCGGTGGTCGGTAATAGGGGTCTGCAGTTTCCGTTGTTGTGATCCCAAGAACTGGGCCTCGATTTCGTCCCTGGCTAGATGCAACCGCCGCAGAGGGTAGAAAGGAGAAAGTACTTGCATCTCCTGCCGTGGTAGGGGTTTGCGAGCTGCCCCCACTTCCAAGTTGATGTGGGGGAATAGCCCCAAACGGCTCGATGCTGTCAAGGCCCGTACTCGGCCTGTTGAGTAGTATACCGTTGCTAGCGACCGATTGACTCCTCATTCTTCCACTCTCCATCACGTAAGACTTCCTATCATTATCAGGAACCAACATGGCCGCACTAGACAGTTGACTTTGTCTCGAAGTGGCGTCTCTCCGTGGCAACCGTTTTGAGAGTTGCCGCATGCCGAAAACCTTGACCAATCCACCTCTAGCGGCACCACTCTCATCACCACCTGCGCCAGCCATACGAGCTCCAACTTCAACGATGGTTTGGACAGCATTGAGCAAGAAGCCGAAAATGAGGACTATGGCGTGTATTAGAAGGATTACATATCCAATCCAGCCTTTCGGTCCTTCACCAACTCCGAGCGAGGGAGTAAATGCAACCATAAGGAGGACAGTGGCGAACCGAAGAGCCGCAAAGAAGGTGTGATATGCATTCATGGAAGTCGGCGAATGGAATGGACGGAACGCATGGAGCGTTAGAATAGTGATGACTTCGCAAATAGCGAGAAGAACGAGTTGCGCTACGCCGGAAGGTTGCACAGCCCCGATTGCCACTCCGCGGACAAAGGTTAATAGGACAGGCACAAGTGCGAAAGGTGCCGCATTGTCAGAATAGGTATTGTACAATGATCCGTATAGCAGTACGGTTGGGAGGTCGTCGAATAGGAACGACTTCGGTCTGGTTGTAGCAATGAAATAGAGAAGCCACACTGCGAACCCCACGATGAGAACCAACATTACCGAAGCCAAACCAACCGTATATGCCGGGGAGTCTGAGGCCACTACTAACTGGAACGTCGATAGTGACACAGCCGGGAGGAGGAAGTAATTGAAAACAATCCGAATAACGTTACCCACTGAAAATGGCATATTCTTTGCTCTGAGATCTTCTTCCGGGGTGTTGTTGATATGTCGATAGATCCATCGTAATAAGAATCCCACTTGGATGAAAGCCAAGACTGCACCAATAATGACGAGAAGCCAGACTGTCATACCAGCCCATACATCGTCCACGGCACTCATGCCGACCAGTTGCCGAAGGTTATCGAGACCATACGTTCCATTAGTGACATATATGCCATCCACCAAACTCTCGGTACCCGGACCATTACTAACGAAGCTCTCGTTGAACATGAGCGCTGACCAGGACACCTTGCTCACGATGGGTTGGTAAAACCCAGGGTAATTAAGAGTAAGGCCGCCGGTCAAGGCAACAAACTGGATATATTGCAAGCAATCTCCAAACCCCGGGGTCACCAAACGAAGAAGATCAGCATCTCGTCCATAGTTAGTTGTCCACCGGAAGATATCGGTCGTGCCCCAGGGACTGAAGATTGCAGCAAACGCAGTTGCAAATCCAACAAGTATGAGAACCACCAGCGGGATGAACTTGACAACACCAGTTAATCCACTACCAATATCAGGCGTAATTTCCGCGGAGATGCAGCCAATATCCGTAGCCGCTGCGTCTCCATTCTTGATCAAGAGCGTTGCGGTGAATGATGTGAATGCATACGATGAGAAGAAGTTGTGAGATAGGCCGAAGGCTGCTAGTTCATACGGATTGCTCCTATACAAGAATATTGAGATCAGTGTCATGACATACACCATATGGGAGGGGTGGCACAAAGCATACTGACCCGTTTGCACTGAAATTAGGTCCAAGGGGGCAAGTTGCATTGATGAGCGAATTGCAGAAATCGACCGACTGACTCCACGGCTCATATGTCAGGACATTGACCTTGTTGAAGAGCGTGGTGAGCTTCGGCTTCGGCAGATTTGGCTCGGGCTCATCCTCAATCTTTCCGCCCAGATTGGTCTGGTTGCTATTCCAATAGTCTGTATCGTTGGCTGGCGGGAGAATAACCAGATGGTCGGTTCCCGATCCCGTAACATTTCCATAAACAGTGACATTTAGATTGTGGCTTGGGTCGCTTATGTTGAATTTGGCATCCAAGAACTTGGGCACAAATTGCAGTTGTAATGGTGTATCGTCCTGGACCTCCTGGGATAAGCAGTTCTCGAAATTTATGAAGACCGCCGAGGTGGGAATTGCCCAAATAGATATAACCAGTACCAACAGGTACGCCAGTGTGCCAAATCCGCTGCGTCGAGGCCGGCAGAGGGGCGTATCTGCTCTTGGGGTATAGGTAGCTGGCTGGCGTTGATGGCAGAGAATCTTCTCGGGCTGCTCGTCGGCACTGCTCCAGCTTGGCTGTTCTGCTTCCCTCGCGGCTGTACCGTTCATCATCATCATCCTCCTCCTCCTCTTCCCCACCACCGTGCTTTGATGTCCATCCTGACTGCCGTCTCTCGACTGTTCCATGGCATGGATGCGAAAGGTGGTACCAGCTATCCGCGGCTCCGCAGGCGATGTTGTCGTGGGTGACTGCTCAGACCACCATCATGCTCTGACCAGCGTCATCCAGAGAGGTAGAGTGCCGGACGAGGAGGGGATGGCTGCGGTGCGGACCGTTGAGACGTGAATCCCAGATTCCTTGCTGATCTCACTTGGCTGAACCTGAAACGAAGTTTATCCGCGTAGTAGGATCGGCTGGCAGAACACGATTCTAGAGCATGGTCCACGAAGAGACGGAACAACAGCACGTAGCGAATGTTTTTCACGCGTCCAACGAAGCAGTGTTGACAAAAGAATTAGGATTCAAAACCCGCGATTACTGCTACAGCGCCAAGTCCAAAGTCCGGGAGGGAGAGCCACGGGCGTCCTCGTATTTCTCGGTATTTCGCGATGTGTTTAGAGCAGGCCGGTGCTGCAACCGAGTAGTAGTGATACACCCCGTGCGTGGCTTGGTAAACTCTGGTCTGTGAACGCTACCAGCACCACGCTGCTCCTTTCTTCCGTGATATTATTGACATTTCCATCCTCCAATACAGAATTGTTGAGAGAGTACAGCTACATTAGTGCCCGCGAAAGACTATAGAACTATAAATTCCTGCAGAGCTTCCCACTGTGCAACGACGAGTCGCCTGAAGGGTGCACTGCAGTCAGTCTGCAGCAGTGGCCTGAGGACTCCACAGCCATTGAATGTGGCGTTTTGGCATGGCTATTTTAAGAGTCGTGCGGGCCAGCATTGTTCCGCAAATTGCCTATGACGGCAATGTTGGCAGGGATTGCGGTGCCTTGACATCACGTGGAGTAAGCAGAGCTTCCCCTTAGCTACGTAAGTACCGTCCTGCAAGTACCTGGCTATGCCCAGCATGGATTCTCGACGGAGACCAAGACTTCTGGACCTTTTACGGGGTACCTGTGTTGTTCTACTTTTTTTAGCAGCCTCGGACCGCCTTTTGCATTATAGGCTATGACCAAACAGAAGAGAAGGGAAGGAGGAGACAGAAGACAGGAGACAGGAGAGCAGAGGAGACTATTTAGAGATCGGTTTATTCGGCACTCATCTTCGAGACTTTTCAAACTCCCAGTGCCGGCTCAATCTTTCTTGATGACCAACTCAAGTGGTGGGCCTCTAACAAATCTACCTGGCGAACATAGCCTTGCCAACCACTCAACATAGACAGTATTCGCTCATTCAAATAGAAGACCTCGATCTTTCAAGGTTTATAAAGAAGTAATCTATCTCCGCACAGACACCATACGAGATGCCGCTTTCACTGACGCCGGTAATGCTCGAGTAAATCTCTCTCGATCTGCAAAAGTGTCAGTAATCTATCCGGGTGCCATCATAACTCGGGACCGGGGGGAAGACATACCCGCTTCGTTATCAAAAACAATCGTTATATCATCATGCTCTCCTGGGTATTCAACTGGATCAAGGCAGACAAAACCATTATCAATCGCAGCCTCACCCTCGTTTCCCTTGGGTAAAGCAAATTTCGCGTCCACAATTCGTAAGGAGAACTTGCCATTTCGACTGGAACTCTCGAAAACATCCGTGCTCTTGAGCGTAAAGTTCATACATTCACCGTGACTGAAATTCTCAAAGAATGCCACCAGCTGCACAACTTTCTCTCTCTGCACCAACTGCACACGAGTGGTTGAAGCGTCCCACTTTTTGTAGATAGGCACTACCATTCGTCGACGGGAAATATTGAATGAGGCTGCAAGTCCATCGAATACCACAGTGAAACGTGTCACTGCAGCCTGGAACCGGTGGAGCTCTTCGAGGCTTGGGAACGTATATGTGCGAACTGATTCGGATCGAGCAATCATAGCCAGCAGCTCTGCAAGCTCCTGCGGCAATTCTCTCGATACTTGCGATGACACCGATATTGTCATATCATGCTGTCGCTGCCGGAAGATCTTCAACTCATTTTGGGAACTGACACCCAGTCGGAACTTCAGTTCGCCTTGTCCGGTGTTCATGCGGTCTGTGAGATTCCCTGTCTTGAAATCCATGATTACCCGTAAATCTTCAGAAAGAACAGTCTTGGTGCTTTGCAGATCCTCTTCCTCTTCTTTGACAACTCTGGCATTCTGCCAATCTAGCGTCTTTAAGCACTGGGAGTCTTGAGAGTCGAGATCTGCTATAGAGAAAGCTGCGACACTAACTTCGCCAACGACTACACCTCTGTCGCCAAGTGCAACACCTGTAAGTCGTGCATGGAGATGGGAGCGTTCGTTAACTTCCTCGAAGGTAAAGACCATGGTATACCTCAGTCTTGCATCGTCGATCTTCAGTAGAAGAGCTGGGAGCCCCCCTTCACCACGTAGAAAACTTAATTGAAGAGGAAGATTTGGCGCTAATTCTTGGTTTATACCTCTCAGAAGCCTGGTCTTAGGGCTTGTGACAACGCAAAGACGGAAACCCCGGTGCAGAGTTCGCCCTCCAGCGGCTCCTTTCTGGGCCGGTATCTTTTTCTCAAAGACTTTCAGCTGACACTGCGCAAGAGGCTCCTTTGGAAATGTTGAAGTTGTGTCGTGATCGAAGTATTGGAATGACTTTAGAGTTGATTCGAAGACGACTTCTTCGTCCTGGCGAGACTTCAAGCTCGAATATATGCCCCTTTGGTAGTCGTAGATTCCAAACAGTGTCCTGAAATCTTGCTGGGTACACAACAATCGGAGCAGGAAACCTCTTGGGCGCTTGATATCAATTGCGTTAGTCTTCACATGCCATGTGACATCCTCCCATCCTGACCCCGATGCTCTGTCTCGCTGTATACAGAGATTGAACGTCCCGCTCTGATTCGTGATAACGGCTGTCAGGCCTCTTTCTTTCTGGTTTCGAACGAGAGATATCAAGGCCGGAAAACGATACTGTTGTGCTTCGGCTTCTTCAATTAAGACAGCCTCTACGAACCCTCTACCATAGTGAAAATTTCTAGTCGAATCGCCCAGAGGCAAAGCGTCTGAAAGGCTTAGGGGCATGTTTTGTTTCTGACTCAGGAGGAACGGATGGGCCGCGTCTTCCCGGAAGAATATTGAGTTGTCAAGGCCTTGTGGCAGTGGGGCTTCTTCCGGAGGGAGGAAATTATTACGTTTCATTGACATGGCCAATTTCCTCAAACTGGATATAATGCCTTGCCGAGCGTCTTGAATCTCAACCATTCTGGGATCTTTCGCACTCTGTTGGCTCGAGAGTTCAGGCAGCTGAGGCATGACCGTATCTACAATCCACCACGCTTTCGCTAGATCCGCGTATGCTTGTTGACGTGCGAAGAAGTTGGCTTGCACGGCCCCTGGGCTGGTAGGTCGATCTCGAACTGTGGCTTCCAAGTTCAGCCGGCCCTTCAGAAACCACCACATAGCTGCTCTTATGATTTCTTCTGGGGAGCACTTAGAAAGAGGCTTCACGGATTCGGTAGACAGGCGAAACAGGGTAAATAAATGCATGATTCGTGATGTGAACTCGTTCAGAGCGTCATCCCCCACACCAGCTGCCGCGCCATGCAGAGTGACGGTTGCTGATCTGGATAAATGCATCGGGGGTTCGAAGGTTTGTACCGAAGTTTGAGACCTCGAGATAGGCTTCGGGCCATCGATCGCGTCAGTGGAGATTGAGGAGCGAGAATTTGGCTGTAACTTATTCATCATGGAAGGAGGAGAAGTCGATTGTGGCGGTCCCTTCGATGTCGAGACGCGCCCAGGAGTCAGTTGTGGGGGAAGGCTAGAAGACGGAGGCGAGTGCACAGTCTTCACAGTATTGAGGTGAAGTTCGTCCAATGGAGAGTTGCTATCAACAGTTGGTGTTTCGGGTGACTCGCCTCGTAAAAAGAGCTCATCTGTAGCGGGGTTCGAAGCAGCCCGCACCAGAGCACGACCTTCATCAGCCCGCATCTCTCTCTGAATCATCGCGGCAAAGGAGGATGGCTGGTGAGACTCAGTGTGGATATCTCCGCCTTGAGTTGAGTTAACCTCCGGAGCTCCTTGCGCTTCTGATATCGACGAATATCTGGTTGGAGTACGTCGAAGCGGTCCAGGTCGAAAGGTCTCGCTGTCCCCGCTCTCCCCCACATACGCTTTTTTAGAGCCGGGCGGTCGTACATCTCTGTATCCTGTTGAAGGTCCTTCTCGATCTGGTGGGTGGCTGTTGGCTCGGGTTCTCAGTGAGATGGTTGGCAGTTCTGCAAAATCCCCGCCAAATCCAATAATCTCGGGCTTCTCATTTGTGAATTGAACTACCAACCCTTTCCTGCTCCGTTTTGGACTCGCAGATCGGCCCCTCGCTATTCTCGCATTCTGGACTTCTTCGGCGGGTGGCCATCGGCGTGCGTTGGTTGTATCGAGTGGTGTCAACCGTGGAGTCTGCGCGGTCGCGGTAGGAGGAGGGGGAGGACGAGGAGGGGCCGGGGCGGGGAAATTCAATTTGTCGGAAGTGCCATGGAGGAAATCATTGACCTCCTCGACGGTCGTGGCCTTCTGTTCTTTACTGAAGAGACCTTTCAATCGATGTTTGGGTTTGGTCTCCTTGTCCTTCCCTTCCATCTCCGCGCATGGGACCTGGGTGAAGCGCTCAACCAAAGGAGGAGTGGGGCTGGGGACGATGCGGGAGCCCCGAGGCTAGCATGCGGGTGAAATAGAATCAGTGCAAAGCTTGAGTGGTGGTGGCTGAACGAGCTGGATTAGCTGCGGGGAATCCATCCAGTATACGGGCAGGGCGAGAGGTAGAGAGGGAGATGACAGAGGTGTACAGCGGTACAGAAGGAATATGGGTTGGAGAGGGACATACGTTGCTAGAGGGCACAGTGACTGATTTGATTGACCGACTGACGAGCCCCGTCTGCAAGGTTCGTCGAGAGAGGGTGAAACTGGAGGAGGGTCCTCTGTCTCATGGCGTGGTCCATAATAACGACTAGGAAAGGTGCCTCCGTAGTAGTGGTACGTAGGTACGTACCACTGCCCACCAGGGGGTGAGGGGCAAAGGGGGCAAAGCACCGAATCGGCTCGCATCTCAGGGGGTGGGGGCACGTGACGGGGTCCGGAAGAGCAGAGCCGCATGTCGTTCAGAGTGACTGCGCCTTCAGAAGTTCAGAGGCTGGATCGAGGCTTGGATGATGCGTTATCAGGGCATTATTATTGTCGACTGGCCGTGTTGAGTGCGGCAGGAGGATGTGACCACAGGATGCAGCCAGAGCCACTTGTCCGATTGCCTACTGTATACTTAATTGGCGGTCGGAAAGTATCGCGATGATTATTCCCTCAGATGCCTATCGTTATTACAGACCACCTTACTCCAGGCACAGTACGTACTACCCGGACGGAACGGTCCTAGCTGCCCAGCCCATCCGCGATGCCATCACTGCCCCATCATCGCCTGGGAGACGGCGCGAAGAAGGCGGCGCGACGCAGACGGCACGAAGAAGAAAATCATAATCGAGATTCACCATCACAGATCAGGGCCACCCGTCCCACCGCCCTCGGCCCACTCCCAGCCCGGGACGGGACTATTGCGAGGGCACCGCCAGCCGGACGCCAGGAGGAGATAAAGCAGTAATTAATCGGCGATTAATCGACGGGCACTGCAAGTCGTCTGCTAGTTGCTCGATCTTCTCCAGAGACACACAGACAGTGACCGATGGATCCATGCTACCTTTTGCGGTGAGGGAACAGGCTTGCAGTTCTCTGTAGGTCGTCATATCGTACCTATCATATAGGGCTCCCATCATATATGAGATTCCGGGGGTTGGGCCGTCGATGATAAATGATACTGGCAGAACCCATCACCACTCGACTTGTTCTTGATAGTATCTGCTCTTGAGGACTTCCGCGAAGACTCTCTGCATTTCCCACGATACCAACTTGCCAACTGACTCCAGAGCCCAGAGTGGTTTATCGTACAGGAGCAGCTCCCAATAACCAATCTCATCCGTCAACGCCCTGTGCTGCTGAAAAGGCTTCCCAGTTCCCAGCACGATGATGTATGATCTACAGCGAGCGGCCACTGCGATCAAGTGCTTAGCAAGTAGTGAAGGGCTTAGAGCAACCAGAGCGGAATGGTTGGGGTTGATCTACGCGATTCCCTGACAACGGAGCTGGGTTGTCGGAAATCTTGGGCCCGTCCCTGGTAATTCGGTTAGAGATGCTGTGTACGGGGTAAATTATATTCGTATATTCGTATATTCTGTACCTCCGCGATATTATCTACTCCGCAAGAGAAAGCTCCCGGCGGACGTCTGCGAACTGGACGACGATACGGAGCAGAGAGCGTGTCTTCACCATCTTCCATCCACCAACCCCTCCATCCCGCTGCGAATCATCACCATCTTGGAGTGAGGCGAAGTCCTGTACCTGAGCTTAAGCTTCAGCTTCACAGGACCCGAGACCACGCAATACTCTCCCTCCAACGCCAATACAAACTAACTCGACTAGTCAGTCCTCGCTCGACGCCCTGCCTACAATATTATTTACTTTCACGCCCATCACCACCACTGCTGGCTCCCTCACAATCTCTCCATCTCACCATCTCCCTTCCTCCCCTCTCCTCTCCTCCTCCCTCTCCTTCTCCCACGCACACTCACCCTCCTTCACGCCAGTGCTCACGTCCCTTGTTGTTGCCATCTACCCAGTCGCTCTCTTGCACCCCCAACCTTCCTTCTTCCTGGATTCATTTGATCCACCCCACCGCCGCATCTGGCCAGCCCTCGAACTCAATCGGGATCAACAACATCAGATTGGCATCGCACAGTACCTCCACCCGGCAACATGGCGTCCGCCACCGCCGAGATCAAAGCCCAGGGCGCCGTTGAGATGGCAAACGATCCCAACACCTCCGTGACCGCTGAAGATGCGCAGAAGAAGCTGGTGGATGAGAGTCGAAGGGCTGGTGTCGCAGCTTTCACCTTTGATCCGGACGCCAGTCCGGAGGAGAAAGCTGCCCAAGCTCGAGCGGTGAGTGACCCCCCAATTTCCCAGCTAGAGGTCTCTTGCTGATAGCGATGTCACATAGCGCGTGCCAGAAGGATTCCATCACGAGCACAAGTCGAAGGCCGTCGCTATTGCTACAGATCTCGACGATGGCCAGCCGGGAGCGTATGACCTTCCTTCGCCCACCACGGCTGGAGCTTTGGCTGCTGCCGCGCCGGGCAAGGACGAGACTGGGAAATCAGTTACAGATGCAGATGACAATGAGCGTTGGGTCGAGCGGACTGGTTGGGCGCCGAGATTTGGTAACGGGGTTTTGGACGAGCCAACTGAAGGCGAGACCTTAGCAGACCACCAAACTTGGGTTGAGAGCAAGCTGGATGATAAGTTCTTTGGAGGTGAGCTTCCAGAATCATAACGGAAAGATGGGATTCTAATGCCTTCCTTGCCAGACTGGTACCATAACACGGCGGTCATCGTATTTGCCTGCCTTGCCTCATGGGTAGTGGCCACCTTAGGTGGTGGACTTGCCTGGGTCTTCATAATCATGGCTATTTGTGCCACATATTACCGAACCTCAATCCGAAGGGTGCGACGGAATTTTCGAGACGATGTTCACAGAGAACTTGCCATGCACAAGATCGAGACAGACACGGAAAGTTTGGAGTGGATCAATAGCTTCATGGCCAAATTCTGGCCAATCTTCCAGCCAGTCCTTGCGGAAACGGTTATTAACTCTGTCGACCAGGTCTTGAGTACCTCGACTCCGGCTTTCTTAGACAGTCTCCGCATGAAGACGTTCACGCTGGGCAGCAAGCCTCCGCGCATGGAACATGTTAAAACCTATCCCAAAGCTGATGATGACATTGTGCTTATGGACTGGAAATTTAGTTTCACGCCGAATGATCACGCAGACATGACCGCCCGCCAGATCAAGAACAAGGTGAACCCGAAGGTTGTGCTCGAAATCAGAATTGGCAAGGCAATGATCAGCAAGGGTCTCGACGTAATTGTGGAGGACATGGCTTTCTCTGGGCTCATGCGCGTCAAGATTAAGCTCCAAATTCCTTTCCCTCATGTTGAGAAGATTGAGGTTTGCTTTCTGGAGCGTCCAACTATCGATTATGTCTGTAAACCTATTGGGGGTGAAACCCTGGGTTTCGACATCAACTTCATCCCTGGACTGGAATCATTCATCTTGGAGCAAATTCATGCGAATATCGGCCCGATCATGTATGCTCCGAATGTCTTCCCTATTGAAGTGGCCAAGATGCTTTCCGGATCTGCGGTCGACCAGGCCATCGGTGTTCTGGCAGTTACTATTCACGGGGCTCAGGGTTTAAAGAATCCTGATAAGTTTTCTGGAACACCTGACCCGTATGCTGTTGTCTCGTTCAACAATGGGGCAGAGCTGGCACAAACAAAGGTTATCAAGGAAAACGCTAATCCAAAATGGAACGAGACAAAATTCGTTATTGTCACTTCGTTCAATGACACCCTCACCTTGCAGATATTCGATTACAACGAATACAGAAAGGATAAGGAGTTGGGCACTGCGAGCTTCCCTCTGGAAAGGGTTGAAGAAATTACCGACTATGAGAACGAACAACTTGAAATAGTTTCCAATGGCAAACCTCGTGGAGCTGTAGTTGCGGACATTAGATTTTTCCCGGTTCTTGAAGGGCGAGAGCTCGCTGACGGCAAGAAAGAGCCACCACCAGAATCGAACACCGGTATTGCTCGCTTCACAGTCGAACAGGCCAAGGATCTCGATGGTACAAAGAGTCTTATCGGGCAGCTAAACCCATATGCGGTATTACTTCTCAATAACAAGGAGATTCATACCACGAGGAAGTTGAAGCGAACAAACAATCCTATCTGGGACAATGGATCCAAAGAAGTTCTCATCACTGACCGAAAGTCGGCGAAGCTTGGACTGGTAATCAAGGATGACCGGGATCTGGGTACAAATCCTATACTAGGTTCATATCAGATCAAACTCGACGACATGCTGCAGTTGATGGAAAAGGGTCAAGAGTGGTATAACCTTGCCGGCGCCAAAACTGGTCGCGCTAAAATGACCTTGCAGTGGAAGCCGGTCGCACTGTCGGGTGTTGGTAGCGGTACTGGCGGGTATGTCACGCCAATCGGTGTCATGAGATTCCATTTCAAGAATGCTCGAGATCTGCGCAACCTAGAAACTCTAGGCAAGTCGGATCCATATGTTCGAGTACTTCTCTCCGGCGTAGAGAAGGGCCGTACTGTCACCTTCCAGAGCAACCTTGATCCGGACTGGGATGAAGTCATCTATGTGCCAGTACACAGCGTTCGAGAGAGGTTGGTACTCGAGGTCATGGATCAGGAGACGATCAATGCCGATCGCAGTCTGGGGCTGGTAGAGGTTCAAGCCTCGGATTACATTTCCCAGGACGAAAATGGCGAGTTCCTCGTGAATGACGCCAAGGTTCCTCACGCGGCTCTTCTGCGTATGCATGGGAAGGGCTCACCGAGAGGTACCCTGAACTATACAGCGGCATTCTACCCTTGCCTGAACATTGCCGATCCAGAGGATGAAGAGGAGAAGAAATCGTTGGAAGCAGGTCGCAAATCCGCCGACGACAACAGTCGCAAATCCGCCGACAACGGTGAGCCAGCAGACGGGAAAGATGCGGTAGCCACAACGAATGGAAAAGTAGGGGACGACAGCACCGAGGTCGCTACTGCTGAGCAACAAGAGGAGACACCAAAAGAGAAGACACCTCCAAAGATTCGGCTCACTCCCGAAGAGCTGGTCAAGTACGGGTCAGGTCTCATCATTTTCAAGATTCTTGATTGCGAGCTTACGCGCAGCAATGTCCATATCGAAGTACTCATGGATGACATGGCCTTCCCATCTTACACATCCTCAATGGTGAGGTCCAAGAGGATGGAGCTTGATGAAATCGGAGATTGCTTCGTCCGAGAGCTTGATTTCTCAAAGATTACTCTTCGTATTCGAGAAAAGGGGGAGAGCAAGGGTGACGAGAAGAAAGACAATACCATCGCCCGACTCACAGGAAACACGCTTGACACGCTCAAGCAATGTCTTGTACGTTTTCAGTCCACATTATGACTATCAGAACTAATGGAATTACAGAACAACCCAACTATCCTCAGGCTCAAGGATGAGCAGGGCCAGACAAGCAGCATCAAGGTCAGTTTGAAGTACATTCCTGTCAAGATGGACCTAGACCCAAGCGAGAGCATCAACAACATGGGCAAGCTCCGAGTTGACGTCCTCGACGCTACGGACCTCCCATCAGCCGACAGAAATGGGTACAGTGACCCCTACTGCAAGTTTGATCTCAATGGGCATACGGTCTTCAAGACCAAGGTGCAAAAGAAGACATTACACCCAGCCTGGAACGAATTCTTCGAGGTTCCTATCCCTTCGAGGACAGCCGCCAAGTTTACTTGCAACGTGTATGACTGGGACTTTGGTGAAAAGGCAGATTTCTTGGGGGGAGCAGACATCAATCTTGAATCACTTGATCCATTCAAGGCACAGGAGTGCACTCTCAAGCTCGATGGAAAGTCGGGATCTGTTAGATTGCGCCTCCTTTTCCGGCCAGATTATGTCACTCGTTCTCGACAGGGGTCGTCAACCTTCTCAGGCACGTTTGCCACCCCAGGAAAGATTGTCACTGGTGTGGCTGGAGCACCTATCAAAGGAGTCGGTGCGGCGGCACATGGTATCGGTATAGGCGCGTCATTTATTCGACATGGGTTTAAGAGCAAGAAGAACGATGGCACCAACGGATCAGGTACTGTCGACGCCGAGGGTCTCGAGGCAGCCAATAGTGATAGCGCCAGTTCACTCCAACGCTCTGGTGGGTTATCCATACCGCAGACAGAAAGCACGCTTCCTACCACACCTGTCACCCCTCCAGGAGGCACCATTGGCTCCTCTCCACATAGTCGGACGAAAAGTTTCGGCGGTTCCTCAGTACACAGCACAGCCGTGGGCACGCTCGCTCCTCCAACGGGCACTGCGCACTTCACCATCATCTCTGCGACGGGCTACCCTCCATCATCCAGCGTCATGGTCTACGTAAAGCAATTAGGACCAAAGCCGAAAGTCATCCACAAGACTGATCATATCAAGTCCTCGTCTGGAACGGTGAGCTTCGCCGATAAGAAGGAGAACTTCAAGTGCGCATGTTCAGCAGACACGCAATTCCAGATCCAAGTCAAGGGCCACAATACATTTGGAAGTGATGATGACCTTGGAGAGGCCTTGTTCTTCGTTGATGAGTCTGGAACTGGTCAGGAGAAGGTTGTCAAAGCTGGTAGTGGGCAAGTCGTCGTGAAGAGTAACTTCGTTTACTCAGAGCAAAATGGGATGGCCGATAGCCCGAAAGGCAGTGGTATGTTGCGACGAAGTCTCCTGACGAAGAGGGAGAACGGGCGAACCAGTCGGGATACTACCCCAACACCCCAGTAAGCACTGATAGATAGGGTGCGCGCAAAATTTCGAAGGATTGTTTTCTTTTGCTTTTTTTTTTCAAGCAATTTGCGATATAACTCAGCGTGACGACGCTGTCAAGGCTGACGGACAAACGACGACACAACTTGCTTCACCGATGGTCTAAAAAAGGGGCAGCCTGCAAAAGAATCCAGGCATGGGATAAATAAAATAAATAAATAAATCAAACCTGGCGGGGTAAAAAAAGAAAAGAGTGTCGATTAGAACCCTTATTACACCGCGCCTCTCTAATTAATGAATACCTATTCGCAAAGAAAGACAGTAGTAGTATACTAACTAAGTAAGTAGCCAATAAATGATATGGTTAATCAATTACCTGATCCCCCTGCTGGTTCCTCTGAGTGCGTTGAAAGTAAAGTAAAGATAAAAGGAAGATAGAAGATGTATGTATGTATGTATGTATAAGGAGTTGTAGAGTAAGGAAGGTATCATACATACATACGTAGTGCTCTCTTTCTTTCTACTCAAACCCCACCCCCCTCTTTCCTAACCCCCCCCCCCTCTCTCTCCCGGCGGCGCCCACAAATACAAGATAAAATATTCTTAATCCTGACTTACTCAATATATCCCGTCCTTCCTTTTTTATCTTATCTTATCTTTCTTGGATAGTTAGTGTAGTGTAGGGAAGGAAGGGGTGTTTTGGGGGGGGGGGGGGGTGAAGAGTGAAGAGTGTTTCTTTTTTATAGCAACTCTAGGGGGATAGGTACTGTTGTGTTAAAGAGAAGTGAAGAGAGGGGGGTTTACGCAAATGATCACTTATTTGTTGTCTTTATCATCACTAACTCAATTCATCAGATCAGATCAGACGGATATAAAATAGAGGGGGTATTTAAAAGACACTCGATTTCCTAGAAGCAATATGTAGGTATCCTTCCCATAATCAACGATCGCTGTACACACACATGCAACATGCAAAAAAGAAAAAGAAACGCCAGGACCACGAGAGACAAGACGAAAAGAAAAAGGAAAAAGAAAAGCAAACATGCTAGCTTAGAAGCCCCCGCCATCATGCTGATGCACCGGACACTGACCCGGCCGGGTCTCGAACCATTTCCTGATGCAGCGCAGATGAAAGCGGCAGAAGCACTCCAGACGGCCCATGTCGACGCCGACCTCGAACTCCTCGAAGCAGATCGTGCACTCCGCGTCGTCGATACAGTCCTTCTCGGTGGCTTTGTAGGGGAAGACGCCCGTGCGGCGCCGGTGCATAGTGGACGAGGAGGATGCGCCGAGGACGACGGCGGCGTGTGCTTGTTCGCGCGCTGCGGCCCGCGCTTCGGGCGTGTTGGGGATAGGGGTCGCAGCGGAAGATGGGGATAGGGGGGTGGCGGTTGCGCTCGTAGATTGGGAGGAGGGGTTGGACGGTCGGATGGGTGGTGAGGTGGTCCCTCGGAGAGCTGCTTCGATGCACTCGTTGATGTGAGCTTCCCTCAACGCCTCTGCACCTGGTAAGGTGCTGCTGGGCAGTTCTCGGTGGCAAACAGGGCAAAGGTCGGCGTCGTCAATGCGCCCTTGTGGCGGCATTGGGAGCGGTCGTCGATCTCGCGGGACAGCAGGACGGCCGTGTTGCGGCGCATTGCCGCTTGAAGAGGTCCTCTCATCTTCCGGTATCTGCCTTGGAGCACCACCGTAACTACCACTGGTCTGTAATGGAATTAGTAAATCCTAAAGCTTTCTTGTGATGCCGAGCAACGCCGCCCAACACAAGGAAAACTTACCGTACTACTGCGAATGCGACTCCCTGCAGCCTCAAGAAGAGGAAGGTGTTGATTGTTGGAGCCATTGTTCGCGTCTAAACTCGCAGATTGGCTGCTGCCTTGTATGGAGGAGTCAGTAGACCACCTGCCCAGGAGAGATGATTGTCTTTGTTGACGCTGGAAGTGTGGAGTAGTGCCTGGGGTACGCGGAAAAGAGATGTAGGAATTTGCAGCTAGACTAGAGGAGCGGTTATGAGAGGGTGATAGTGAAGGGCGGAGGGAGGTATCAAGTGGTGAAGTTTGGGGAGGTGCTATATTCGGATCCGGAACACAGGGATTGCAAAGGCGAACTCTCTCTCCACCTCCAAGGCCTGCAAAATCCCACGGGTTGCCAGAATTCGAAGAATTTGTGACGGGACGAGTGGTAGAGCTAGCGCCAGAAGGTGGATTGTCCGTGGGAGGTTGTACGATGAATTGGTACGGAATCGTGATGCGATGAGGCGAACACGAACTACAGACTACTCTGCCACATTTCCTGCGAGACACGTTAGGATCGTTATTTAGACACTACAGCAAATTCCCTCATAAGGTAGCTGAAGACTAAACATACCTGCAATGATGCTTGCGAACAAAGAAACCTGTCACACGTTGTCAGTAAGGAGTGAAGAAGTAGGAAACGAGAGATCCATACTGAATTGTGTTCTGCAGATAGGACAGAGAGTTACTTCAGCATCCGGCTGCCATCGTGGTAGAATGACCTCCGGACGTGGTGGTGGATGTCGACTTTGGCTTGGCGGGGTTTGTGGAAAAATAGGGGTATGTCTCCTAAACGAAGATGAGTCTTCGTTATGGGAAGATGAGTTTGAAGATGCTCTAGTTCTAATGGATGCTGATGCGGGAGCATCAACAGAGCCAACGCCCTCATAACTATCTTCTCGGCTTCCCCCATCTTGTCTTGGAGTTCCAAAAGCCATGTTGGTATTAAGAACTCTTGAGCTACGGCTACTAGCGTTGCTCTTACCCCTATTTCTTGCTCTATTCAAATCTTTATCATCCTTTGGTGGGGCTGGAGGCGGAACCATGCTAGATCCAAAGGCGTGTTCAGAACCAGATACGGCGTCTTGTCTAGATTCCAGTGCCTCGGCGGCTCCTATTATAGGCGCTTGGGAGGTGCTCCCACTAGGTTGATCGATTGTTGCGGCACTTCTATAAGATCCTTCACCGTTAAAGCGGTTTTCCGTACTCCTTGATATTTCTCCTTCCTGAAAGGGACCCGCCCTAGTTGCTGAACCCTCCGGTTTGGTAGATGGCTGGCGAGCTGAACCCATGTTTCCATCCTCTGGCAATTTACCAGATTTTGGTCGGGTCCTTCTTACATCGAATGATTCCGGATCATTCGATTCTCCAAGGCCCTCCCCTCGCCTAGGTGAAGTCTCATGAGAAGAGGGCACCTTGCTGTCAGAGCTGCCAGCTCGCTCCATGGAAAAGTTTGATCCCTCAGGCGCTTTCCCTTCTCGCCGCCTCCTCCTCGGGCTCCTGGAATTCGACGGAGACGTCGAGTGATCTCGGATCGACTGGTTTGAGTCAAAGGGTGGCAAGACAGACTCATGGGTAGGATGGGATCCGCCACTGCTTTGCATTCCGGTTTGTGCTCCCGAACCAAAGTTGGGGGTGGAAGCTGGATTCGGGAGGATAGAGGCCTGCTCTTCTCTGCCCTCATGAGATGCCGCTGTTGCAGCATCTGCTCCTTGACCACTCATCCTACAATAGCAATCTGAGTGTATTGGGTTCACAGATCCAACAAACTACCCCTCTTATGATTCGGGCCCACACAACGTGGGTAAAGGGACTCTGTTCACCGAGCGGCAATTAAGGCTTCCCGCAATCTTGCTTCGGAATGGAAGCCAGTAGTGGTATAATTGATCCGGGCAATGACCGACTGCTTCGAACGAGTGGCAGAATCTCACAGTACGTGAGTTTGGTTCTCGAGTAAGGGCAGGAGGCTCGAGGGTCTGATCGTAGCAGGGTTGAGATCGGTGACAACTGCAGCAGAAAGAGTCAGCTATGTTCTGAAGATACTAATGGAAATGCGAGTCGCACATATACCTATACTAGGAACTTATGCGATCGCCAGTGAGGGGTCAACTCCTTTTGGCTATCGACATAGATCGAAGTTGTTTTGTCAGCGATGGCAAGTGTCTCGGTCTGTTGAGGAAGTTGTCGTACAGGGCCTGGTGATCCCCAAACCCCAGAATACAGTAAAAGGCAGGGCTAAACAACGACAGGAAAGCAGATCGATATTCTCATCGGCGTTGACCTAGTTGGAGGAAATAGTTGGGGTGACCACGCGACAAGGCGTGGTGAGACTGCCCAAATATTCCCGATAGCGATAAGAACTCACTAGCGTCGGAATAACACCGGCATCCCATGTCCCTTAACGATGGCCAACGACGACGGCCTTGGTTGGAGACATTCAATCCACTTTTATGTTTTAAAGATCCCCCTTCTTGGAATAACGCCATCTCACGGGGCTTTAGACCGATTGGCAAGTGTAAAAGAAGAAATGGACGTGCCAGAAGATTTAGGAATCCCCAAAGTCAGTACTGAATGTTCATTTTGACCGCATAGGTGAAGACATGTTCATCCCTCTCCTGAATATAAAAGCTGAGACCTCTGCTATATAAGATGCACAGATAGTATTATAAAGCGATTTCATTTTCTCGAGGTATTAACCATTGATATGTCATTAAAAAGACCTTTTCAAAGAGAATTGGTCACAGGTTGACAACGAATTATGTAGATCAACGGATCATGAAAAAGACTGGTACAAGAAGGCAATCGCCGAAAGACGGGTCTACTCAGAGATCTAGTATCCACAGCGTACCCATGCTAAACCGTGACCCAGCCGGTAATAGAAAAACCCAGCGCGCAGCTACCCATCCATACCTCCACGCATACTTTTGTACACCCCTTTTAATGCTCCAATAGTCTCAATGAGCCTTGCACGACAACGTTCTCCAGGATGGATCCCGGGGGAATATCAATAGTGCTGCCCTCCGTAGCAACAATGATGACCGTACCCTTAAGCGTAACGCCTCTGCCAAGGTTCACAGCACCAGTGATAGTCAAGTGGTCGAGCTCGATAATCTTAGGAATGCTGGGGATGCGCTTCTGGAAATCCGAGACCTTCTTGAAATCGTTACCAAGCTTGATGAGAGGGGCGGGACCAAAACGGTTGGGGTCAATTTGGAGTTGACCGTGCTTCAGTGAGTACAAGTCTGACTTGACGAGCATCAGATCTGAGCAAGTCTTGACTGGCAAGAAACGTCTTCGGGGAACGTTCACTCCGTGAGCATTGTGGAAGTGGCGGATAGCAGCTCCGACTGCGGTCTCAAGTTGGACAATGGAAATGTCTGATTCCCCCTTCTTGTCGGCCGGAATGGACTTGTTGTTAGGGATAATCTCCATCTCGAGCTCGTTGTTCTCCACAATTCGCTTGACGGCCTTCAGGTTCAACCAGATGTTGTTGGTGTTGAAGTACTTGAACTTCTTAATTGACTTGAACTCGTTGGTGTGCTCTTTTGGCACTTGAGCGATCTCAAGAAGACGGACAGATCCCTCGTAGTCAATGATAGTACCACCCTTGACATCAGCCTTGGTCTTGTCGGTCAATTCCATGATATATTCGGCCTTCGTCTCGACCATATGTTGCAAGATTCGGAGATCAACGACAGCGCCCAAGTTGTCAACGTTGGACAGGAAGAGAATCTCAACGCCTCGCTCTATGAGCTTATCGAGGATACCAGAGTTGTACAGGGACTCGAAGACATCTCCGTGTCCTGGAGGGTACCAGTCAGAGATAGGGGAGTCGAATGACTTTGGTGCTGGAAGAAGCGAATCCTTCAAGATTCTAGGGTATCTGGATTGGTTAAAGGTCAAGATATCAATGTTGTGACCCTCGTATTTTTTGATGATATTTTGGGTGTCATCGTCTGTGTTGAAGGAGTTCATGAGAACGAATGGGACGTTGACATCATATGTGCGGTTGAGGTACTCGATTTGTCGGACAGAGAGATCGAGGAAGGACATGCCATCACGTACTTCAATGACTGACTTTGGACCAACACATCCCATTGAAGTACCGAGACCGCCATTCAGCTTGAGCACCGCAAGCTTGTTCAAGAAAGAGACGGACTCAGAGTTGGCAAGCTCATTGTAGTCGACGACCTGGTTCTGCGCGGGTGGGGCAATGCGATCCCAGTCCCTATAGCAAATCAGCCCCGATCATAATCATACCCGCATTGTCATGGATCTTACAGTGTGTTTCCCTTGGCTTTGTCGTTCAAGTATCTTCGGAAAAGCGCGAAGAAGTTGTCCATCTCGGTTTCGAAGAGCTAGGAGACGTCAGTTTTGTACCAATATAGACTGGCAGAGGCGGCACGTACCTTCTTCTGCTCGGGATCTTTCACGGTGTCTGCGAGGTTGTTGAGGGCATTTCGCATTTGGCTTGCAGCCACAGAGGTAGAAGTGTTCTCGAAGGCCTTGTCGTGACTGATTAGCTTTGCGAGTTCGGGGAGGCCTGGCTCTGAAGTAATCGAAGCAGAGGAAGACATGACTGAAGAGGGAGAATGATTTGGGGGTGATGGTTGGTTAGATACAGGATGCTCATGAATGGCTGTGTGAAAAGGTTGGACAGTGAGAGTGTCCGTCAAGTTGGGTAGAACGTGATGGAGCTCGTCGCGGTAGGGAGTAGCAGGAACCACATGGACACAGAAGCCAGGCAAGTACAGGCACCACTGTAGCTGCTCCATTTGTATATGTGATTCGCGACCATGTCATGCCACGAGACAACAACGTTGCGATCCTTCCCTTTGAGAGGAGGCAAGCTCTCTGGACAAGCTCTCGACAATCCAGCCAGGTAGCTAGACGACACCCAGCGGCTTCTCTCTCGCTAGGGGGCATAAGTTCAGAGGGGGCAACATTCACTCGGGAGCTGCTTGCGACGTCTGCCATGCGCGGATTGAATAGGTGCAGAGGTAGTGAAATGGGCACTCACCATATGGGATTGGGTCTTTCCATGATGCTTGCGGGCGAACTCAGCGCTCGCATCACCATTTCCAAGATTCGAGGGCTTCAAATGCGCCGGGAGCGCGCTCTTCAATGTAGAGGCCATTGTTGTGTCAGAGGCAGGCAGGTAAGTCGAAGAAGATGTGTCAAGAAGGGATTCTTGGAGGATGGAATGGTTGATGGAGGAGAAGACAGCTTGTCGTTACCCTGTATTTAGCCGATGGGACCTGTGTACAGGGCACTTCGTATGGGTAATTGACGTAATTTCGAGGGCGACCCAGATGAGCAGGGATTAACGGGCCCTTGAAAGGTCGTGGAATGGGTGTCGATCAGCGCGGGAGCACTCACAGCTATAGCTTGACGCTTTGCTTGGGGGGAGCAGAGAGAGTTGGAGAGATGGAGAGAGGGAGCAAGGAGGCAGGAGGCAGGAGGCAGAGGACAGAGAGGGCAGCCAGAGACAGACAGCCAGAGAGGACAGCGACAGTAGTTGTTATGGACTTCTACGGTATTCTATAATAAGAGCCGTGCAGACGGGGACAGAGTTGCCTCGAAATTATTGTCAAACCATCGTCTCGAAAGCGCCCCGGGAGGCTGGAGTAATAGTGGGTAAGGCGCCCCGTTGCATGGCAGGGTAGCGTGCCATGGGCTACACACCGGCTCAGGGCCCCAAAATAGGAGAATAGCTGTTGATTGAGTTGAGATGATTAAACACCCGTAGAGCCCAAAGCGGGCTCCGTTAATCAATTAATCAAAGGCTCTTTGATTGATATCTTCCGTACAGCTCTGGCCCCTGGGGAGGGGTTTCTTCTTCGATCGTCGGGCAGCTTTTTGCCTCTTGCAGATTGCCCGGAAACCTGATTGCAAGTTCGTAGCAGCGTAACACCCATCTGCAGCTACATGAACTGCATGTAGATATGTACAATGAATGTACCGCACTGTACTGTAGCAGCGTAGCTACACACCCCCATATACACCCCGTCCGCTGTGTAATATGCGTAATATGAACGTATTGGAATCCAGCGGGTCCCAACGGAGCTCTCCTGGCCTGGTGTGGGCTCTGCTGTGGAGTCCCGGAATCTCCTCATGCGTTGAGACTTGCACGTCGTCTTGATCGCTCAACCGATAGGTAGGCCACTCAAAGATCGGGCGCCACCGCGTTACGCCGGACCCTCGAGGAGAGATGGGCTACGGGAGAGCACTCGCACCTGAAAGCATATCTAGCGCAGATGTTTCTTGCGATGTGCAACAAAACTTCCAAAGTGGTCAACTCCATCACGTGGGGGTCATCGCCCCCCTTAAACGCCCTTCGTGTTTCGTCGACTTCCAGAACACTAAAGACCTGGCCGTTTCCATGAAGCGTAGGGGTCCAACTTTTCTTTACCTTGTGCTCCTGTAAGCTCGCGAAAGCTCCAAGTCGTCGTCAGCCTGGTTGAGGACCCTCTTTCACCGTCTTGTACTTCTTTCAACTTTCAAACCCTATCCTTTGGTTTCCTCTTGCAATTCTCAATCCTCCAAGTAGGTAGGATTTGAATGTACATTCAGGCGTCGGTAATGCCGGCGGCTTGCTTTTCGCGTATCTTCTCCTCTCCCACTCGGATCTCTCCCAGTCAGAACCCTCCCAGTCATTGTCGGCCGTAGTTCAGCCGGCCAATGCTCGAAGCTGGTGTGCTGGCACTGGCATTGTAGCTGCTGCTGCCCCTGGAGCGCCTTGGATGAAAGAAGAGCTGAGTGAGAGTGCAGTGATCAGATGTGTGAGCTGCGTTTCCAAAAGATGCTTCATGCATAGATAAGGGATGGACTATCATGGAAGATGTAGGGATGCGGTCTTCGACAGAACTCCCAAGCCTCGACGGAAGAACAGCTGAGCTGCTATATGCTATCTTTCAGCTGTCATCCCTGATCAATATTTCAAGGTTCTCTCGGCTCAGCTCCTCATGAGGAGGTAGGCAGCTTATCTTGCTACCCTGATTGCAATATGCTTGCTCCTCCCAACACAAACCCCTTCCCCCTACCCCAAACCAACCAAAGCCTATCTTCTTTCCTCGTCCCCTCGTCGAGGTTTTCAACAAACTCCCTCGAGTAATATTCTTCTCATTTCTCATCTCGTATCACATCTTGTGGTCTCTATCAGGCGCTGCCAGCGACAAAGATATGTGCTTTGCAACAACTCCTTTCCACAATGATAATGCATTTGGGAGTCAAAAGCCAGGTGGCACAGGTATGCAGAAACCGGAATACATGATATCAACCGATCAATTCAAATAATCATCGAGGATTCGATAGTAACCTGATGTTTTAAAAGCGGGTTCCGATTCACTTTCAATTCCGGGTCCTATTACTCGAATACCAAGCCAAGTTTAAGAATCTTCAACCAAATTGGCTTATACCTTATATAACGTCATTCAAGTAGTCGAATAGCCTCAGTTATTGACACCCGCTATCTTAGCTGGATTGTAATGTGGAGGAATCACCTAAAAGATCACGAGATTGGCGGGGTAAAACTTACCTAGGTACTTCTCCACGCTCGGTCCTAGACCCTTCGTCCTAATGACGCCTGACAACCCCTTCTTAAACACATGGAAAGGCACCGCATTTTCATTCCCAGCAAAATCCATCAAAGTTCAGATAGGAAAGGAGAAATCATATAGCAAACGAATAATAAGGCTCTACGAAAGGTCTCTATCGCCAAGCAGTTCAAGTATCCTAGGCTTGAGTCATCGCCGACAAAGCGACCCCTCCTCCATGGCTTTATTAGCCTCGGAGGCAGGATCCTATAACGCGCAAGGCATATAAGATGAAAACCGCATTCATTTCTCTATTACTTTTCTCTCCTCCATTCAAGAAAGATCAACCTTGAGTCTCTAATCTACCTAGATACCTACCTACCTACCTAACACAAGCCACCCCGCAGTCCTCCCTCCTTCCACCATGGCCAGCCCCGCGGCCCCTTCCTCCCAACGCTTCACGATCCGCCCCGCGCATCTCAGCGACTACCAAGCCATCGGCGAGCTCGCCGCCACGACCTACTCGCACACGCCGCTCACGCAATTCCTCGCACCGTACCGCGTCGCGCACCCGCGCGCCTACACACGACGGTTCACGCAGCCCGCGCTCCTGCGCTTGCTCGACGCGCGCAGTCTCAGTTTCGTGGCTGTCGAAACGGCGCGGCCCGATGTCATCGTGGGCTATGTGCAGTGCAAGCGTCTAGGATCGGATGCCGCGGCGCAAGAGCTGATGCGGGAGCGGGAGAGCAACTTGGGGCGCAGGTGCTTGCGGTGGTTGGTGTGGCGCTGGTTTCGGCTACGGGATAGGTTGGTGGGGGGCAATAGGAGTGAGGATGGAGAGGCGGGATTGCTGTTTGAGGGCTGGAATAAGAGGGATGAGAGGAGGTATTGGGAGGGGTTTGGGGAGAGGAGAAATAGGTGGTATGTGCAGTCTTGTGTGGTAAGGAAAGAGTTTCAGAGGTTGGGCATTGGGAGGAGGTTGCTGGGGGAGGTGCTGAGGAGGGCCGAGAGGGAGAATGTCGTTGTGGGCCTGGAGTCGAGTGAGGAGGGCGAGGCTTTGGTAAGTTCATGCGTTTCTTGTTATAGGCGGATTCGTGAGTTATGGATTCTTCCTTACTCCAGAGATCGCTTGCCAGGAGTGATACTACCCACGGCGTGTAGATCATTTCCCATTGTCCATTTCGACTGCGCAGTTATTAATGCCCTCATTAGTACAGAAGTCTTGGATTTGAACTCCTGGGTAGGTTTGAGCAGGATCCTTATGCGGATTTCCTCGGTCGTGGAGGCGGGATATTCATGTGGACTCCTCCAGCGTGGAAAGCGAAGGCGCTGGAAGAGAAGAAATGAAAGACAAGTACACGGGTTCATACGAGTGTAATGAAGGATGTTATGTAGTATGTATCAAGCATATATACACATCCCCCATCTCTACCCCGTTCCTCTTTCCTTATCTCCATGAAGCACTCCATGAAGCATGTCCCATTTTCACATGCCTTGTGCCCGATATCCCGATCTCTGTATTTTGTCTTCGCGGGATCCCAAATTTGCCTTCGCCCTCCCCAAAACGCCATTTATTGCATTTCTCATTCTTCATGATACTCAATTCATCTCTCATTTTCGGACCTTCAAGAAATAATACAACACCAAAACAATTGCCACTATGAGGATGCTCACAGTGAGTGCGATGCCCGCGAAGAGAATCCGGCATCTCCGCTTCTCCTTGTGCTGCTGGGCTAGCCAGTCATCTCTATTTCTGCCAGTCAGCTACGACTGCAAACGCCCAGAAACCCAAGCTCCAAGTCCAGTCTCTTCCTAGCCTTGGGAAATGACAGAAACATACCCGTATTTCATTTCAACACTACTGGCAGCACTCTTCAGGCCGGTCTCTATCTCTGATATATGCACAGCAGTCGAGAACCTTTTCCAAAACGCTGGATCGCGGACCAGTCCGTAACCGGGCGGGGCTTGCGCGAGGTCTCTTGTGGAATGGACTTGCTGCAGCGGCGAGGGTCGCTGCACCTTTGTGCGGCGTGGAGGAGGCATGATGAGAGCCGGGTCGAGAATCGGAGATACAAAAGGAAAGTAAGTGCAAGGGCCGGAAGGAGAATTCAACAATGTTCACTCATGCGCGAGCGAACGATTCAGAGCCTCGAGGACACCTTATCCACAGATTCCGAGCGCAGGCGATTGAGCGGGAGATAATAATGGACTTCGCGCGCATAAACGAGTGGATGCGTCGACGAGACCAAGAAAGGAGTGTGAGGCCGCAGTGACGCAAGCTTTGGAAAGGTATAAAGCAAAACGAAGGTGGGGGAAAGTAAGGAACGGACGCGCAAACCTCTCTTCAAGATACCAGATGCCGGGAGATGGAGATATATATACCTACAACGTTGTACCGTGCTCCATATATGTGTACATATATAGAAAAGTACAAGATGCTGGGGAGGACTCTGGAGGATCAAAACGAAGGAGTCTTGGCTGGCCAGTAGAAAGCGCCAAACACTCGTGCGGTTCCAGAACAGCCAATCAGAGATGGGCATGCACGACTTATAAGGTTACAAGGCGGCGCCTTGCCGTCAAAGCTTTCCAGCCGAAATGAGATGGACAGGGACTTCAAGTTCTGGACCCCCACCGAACCAGTAGGGGAGATTGCATTGTGTACAAGATGTCCGTAAATGGTAGCCTGGTATTCCCTAAAGAGCAGTTAAGGTTAGCAAGGTATTTGTTACATACAACGATCATCGTGGGGCTCTCTTGGCTGCTTACCGTATGTACTGAAGTACTGCAACGTTGAAAAGGCTCTGGCTTTTGGCTCTTGCAGATGAGAACAAGTCCCTTGTGCAGAGGAGGGTCCAGAACCAGACGCAAGATAAGGTACCCAGTTCAGCTCTTGCCTTAGGCTTAAGGAGAGGCGGGACAAAGGCAACCTCCAGAAACAACCCCTGTATGTAAGCGATAACAGATTGATTGAACCTTGCACTACAGAGTTACAATCCTGCGAAGAGGTTGTGGCATTTGACAGTCTCGACAATAATCGGGGGGAACAAAGTATCAAAGGGCCCAGGTACGAAGTATATATATAACAAACAGTATTCTCGATTCGACTCTCCGTCCAATATGGGCAGCAACGAGGCTCTTCCCTTCTGGCAAGTCAACGTGCCCGAACCCCTCCGCACCCCAGAATGTCCCGAGTTCCTGGCAAACCTCAATGCCAAAGATCTCGGCATTATTAGCACCCCAGACTCCCAGTATCACGTCATGACCTGGCCCGAGGTCCAGCAGATAATCGCCGACAACCGTCTCGATCTCTTCCAGCGTGTCCCTTCCGAGCTCCGCCGCTACCTGGCCTACAATTGGAAGCTGAAGCAGGAGTATGGCAGCGTCATGGAGTTCGTGCTATCCAAAAGACTGGGCTGGAAGGTCCCCGTCCAGGCCGAAGGGAGGCCCTTTGAGAAGCCCGAGGACTTGAAGATCCTGTGGAACGATTGGCCGTACGGCATCGACGAGAAGATCGTGCACCTCGTCGTCTGGACCAAGTTCGAGCTCGAGGATGATCCGGCCACCGACGATCTGACCCCCCAGGCTAGAAAGGAAATTGATGATTTTGTGAATGAGACCTTTTGCAAGAGAGTAGGAAAGGAGAAGGTAAGGGTCACGTGATACATCCCTCTGCGGTACCTTATGCAACTGACGAGGGTAACTAGGTCATCTGGTTCAAGAATTGGAAGACCCTGAAGTCAATTCATGCCGTGGAGCATTTTCATGTCATGCTGTATGACGTTGATCCAGAGTTCGTGAAGGAGATCACCAATGGAGATATTCCGTTAAGCCAGAAGGTTTGACGAGGAAAGGGATCTCGAGAAGATGTGAGAGCCCCTTGAAGGGTCTGGCGTTTGGCTAGAAGATTTGCATAGCGTTCTCAGCGATTAGATAGAATTAGAGGCATGCCATAGATAAAAATCTAATACTACTACACTGGACTTGCTTCTAACCAAAAGTGATCTGTTCACCTTATCATTAGCAGATACAAGCTACGTATACAGATGGCTCCTCCAAACTCCAGCCCATATATCCTTTCGATAGGTAAAGCCCTCTGTACAACCCCGCAATGCTCAAAATCCAAACCAACTCTATGAAATCGCCAAACGCCACGCTTTTGAGTAAAGAGCTACAGCGTCCTCTCATGGTCTTCCGTTTTAGAATTCCATTGCTACTCCCAGCCCTTCTTCTTTGTCTCGCCTAATGCTGTCATCATGCTCTTCCCTCTCCTCCATCAGTCTTTGCTCTACCTCCTCCTTATATCCAGTGAGATCTGGAGGTATATGCATACTCTGGACGCTAGGGGCTGCATTCACGAATCGAAGCTGCTCTGTGACGTGTTGGACTATATCGTCGAGTTTCTTCGGAGTGTTCCTGTTCGGCCGTGGATCGCCAAGGATTTGCTCTAACGTAGGGAAGAGGGTCTCGTGACGGAAATGAGATCGGTAAGGAGTGTGCATTGGGATGATGGGATCGATTGTTTGGTCGCACCCTATTGCAATACTAGTTTCGTGTGCCCATGCTCGAGCGACGTTGCGAGGCGTATAGCCACCTCCGCCAACAAGCATCAAAGGTATCTTTAAAGATTTGCAGTATGCGACACAAGCTCCATGGCCCTGGACTTGTACATTGAAGCGGCCGAGACGGTCTCCAGCGAGGGAATCGGCACCGCATTGTAGAACGATCGCGTTGGGACGGAAGCGTTCGACACATTTTCCTACAAGGGTTTTGAACAGCCATATGTATTGTTCATCATTGATGCCGTCAGAAAGTGGAACGTTGAGGGCATGGTGAGCACCGGGATTGTTTTCATCGGGTGGTCCTGTTCTCTCAAGATCACCAGTGCCAGGAAAGAAACTTAATCCGTCGTATTTGTGAATCGAGAGAGTCATTACTCGATCGGTCGACCAGAATGCCTCTTCTACGCCATCTCCATGATGCACGTCAATGTCGACGTACAAGACTCGTGGATACTTTCGCAAGATCTGGAGTATTGCCAATACAATATCGTTCGCGTAACAGAACCCAGAGGCTTCAGCTTTTTTAGCATGGTGTAGCCCACCAGACCAATTGATAGCGATATCAGACTCGTTGTTACAGAGCTTCCGTGCTGCGTCGATGGATGCGCCAGAATACATTGAACAATAGTTGAACAGGCCTTCGAAAACCGGACAATCAGAGCCTCCAAGATTGTAGGGCATTGGCGTGTCATCATCAGGCATAGCGACCTTAGCAGTCTTGAGATACTCGAGATAGTCTTCAGTATGGAAGTCCCGCATCTCTTCCTCAGTTGCCTGCCTGGTGACAAAAGTATCCATCGCAGCATGCATTCCATATGACATGATGAGCCCTTTCGAGAGAGTGAGGCGCCAAGGCTTCATCGGATGAGAATTTCCAAAGTGATGCTTCTCAATCTCTGGATTGACGTGCCACGACACATTGTATCCTTTTGGGCGCACAATCCCATTCGCCAGAATTTCTTGCTTAATTTTTGCAAGAAAACTGGCGTTGTGGGGGTCTCCTTGTTGGGTCAGAGGGACCCCATACTCTTGTACGATGTTGCTGTTGGAGAGGACCATCTTGTTCCACCGATGGGACGAAGCGGTATGGGCCGTCTGGTTCTAGAGCCTGGAAATTCGGAGGGGATGAGGGGGTTGTTCAAGCTGAAATAGCCAGTTCTAACGCAGCAGAAGAAGAGTCAACCAAGGTCACGTCGAGGTCAAGAGATGCTAGACCATCTCGAGGGCAAAGACATCTCACCTTCATAACGAGATAATCGTTGTCCTCATGCGCGCCGCAGTATAGACCTCGTATTTTGTAGTCGCCGATGGGAAGCGCTTCGCTCTTGTTCTGTCTGGGCTTTGCGTATCGTGGGACGGAGTGGAGAAGGACAGATATTGGCGAAACAAAACAGGATGCCTCTACCTTTGTGGGCTCGACTCGAAGCACCTTGGTCGATGCGACGACTGTTTTTCGAGGCCTCGGCGCAGATCATCCAAGATCATCAAGGGCATGGCGGGCCTTACTCATCACGCTTCTCCGCCTGGATGTTCACGACTTAGCGCCACAAGGCTGAGGGAGGCTCCCTCGCTTTCGTCCCCGCCTTCGAATTTCCACTCTCCAAACTTTTCACCCTCACCGACGCGCAAGGAGCCAGGGGCCGAGACTCGCTATCCGAAAAGGCAAAAAAAAAAAGAGGAGCAAGCGCTGGATAACCTTTCTTTTGTTCCCCCCACAGGTGAGCTTACCTTAGGTGCGGAATTGCGACGTTTGTTTATGGGATCTTTGACTACCCTGTTGGCGCACTGTGCAAGGCAACGTCATTAACCACCATGCCTAGAGACGACCTCACCATCGATTTCGTCGGCAGGAAGATGCCTCTGGCTGAGCATCAAGACTGCGCCGCAGTCCTCGATGAATGGACAAATCGAACCGCGAACCTGCCTGCTGAAATTGCGTTCATGCAGGAGGAGATCGCGGAAAAGGACAGGCAGATGAACGAATGTCTTCAGATCATCACTAGAAACGACAACGCCATCCAGAAATGGATCAAAATCAATGGGAGCCACATTCAGAACCCCAAAGAAGAGATTCACCGCAAGGCAGTGATGGAGAATTACGATAAAGCCACGATTCTCCAGGAAGAGAAGGTCGCGTTAGCTCAGAAGGCCCAAGCTATCATCGACAAGCACACTCGATGGCTCGATGGACACATCAAGGCTTTGCAGGAACGAGGTGAATTCCCCGATGAACCAGATATTCCTTCGATATTGCGACCACAGCCACCAGACCGTACCGCCCGTGCCGAACCAAGTGCTGCTGTGATGCCTCTAGGCCAAGTCTCCAACTCCGCTACCATTGCGCACCAACGACACCCCAATCAACATCCTAGTCGTATGCTGCCGACGCAGACTCAGGCCGCTGCTAGTGCAACAACCTCCTCGGCTCCTGCGACACCTGCTGCCGCGATGATGCTCAACCGTCAAACCAGGGAATCGTCGTTAGGAGCAGTGGCAGCGGCGAACAAGCGGCAGAGATTAACAGGAGGATTAGGGAGTCTCCCAGCAAACTCAAGTGGACTTGCCCGTCACTCTTCGATGACTCCCGGTACTCCGAGGGCTGGTACACCCACTACTGCGCGAGCCGGAAGCGCACAACCACGAACGTCACAAAAGACGACTGCCCAGAAGAAGGTTGCTCCATATGGGAGCAGGCAGAGTGGTGCTCCACGGAAGAACAAGCCCGGCAAGTCAGGTCTCAGCAGATTGAAACGTACCGGCAACAAGAATTCTCCATCATCCACGAACGACAGTGAGCTTAGCGAAGCAGAGTCTGGATCTGGGGACGAAGAAGACGAGGTTACTACACCCCCACCGCCGGGAAGAGATGCAGAAGGAGATGAAGATATGGTCGACGTTGATGAAGATGAGGGAGGAGATGACAAGAAGTATTGCATATGCCAAAGTGTCAGCTATGGTGATATGGTGGCTTGCGATAATGAGCAATGTCCATATGAATGGTTTCATTGGACATGCGTTGGTCTGAAGAGCGAGCCAGTAGGGACCTGGATATGCCCCGTCTGTACCAAAAACAACAAAAAATAGTTATTGGTTGGCTCGCAGTTGGGAGGACGAATTTGACTGTTAGCATGGCGTTTGGGGGGATTTGGGCTGGATACTATCTGGAGGAGTTCTGTAATAAGGCAGGAAGCCTTTTGAATTTTGAGGAACGGCCAGCTTAGAAGCATGGCTCATGAGCATATGACTACGTCTGAATAGAAAAACAGACGACCTTTCACAACATAAGCACATACGATACGATGTTGATTAGATTCCGTGACCCCTCTATCCCGTGAAGGCGGTATTTATCGAATCCGGTAATTCTACCGGTTTTATCAGCCCACCGCCTTCACCCCACGAAACTTTTCCACGAGCCATACGTAAAGGAAAGCTCCCCTGAGAACCCCTCGTTGGCCCCTGAACAAACCGAAATACTTTTCCACAAGATGGCCACTCTCAAGACCTCCTGGCAACTCGCCGCCGCAGCAGGAGAGCCTCACACGACAATCCGAGTGCGAAATCTCCAAGCCGTCGTCGAGGTGGGACGAGATGCATGGGGACGGGCAGGCAAAGCGCAGCCCGTACTGATCTCAGCAACGCTCTCACTACGCGCCCCATTCGACGAAGCCTCCGCCGCGGATTCAGTCAATAACAAAAGCACGGTGCACTATGGGATTCTCAGCAAGGCGATCCTCGAAGCGGCCGAGTCCTTCCGGACTGAGAGTACCGGCCACACCACAGTCCGAGCACTGCTGAACCATATCTCGAGACATCTGACGGGGGAATGCATAACGATAGAGCCTGTGCCCCCGGCGGCAGCGAATCCGCATCATCCTGTCGTTGACCGATCGGTGATGACGTCTCTGAAGCTCGAGGTCCTGCTCCCTAAAGCATCGCTCATTGGATCTGGAGCTAGTCTTTCCGGGACGACTCTCTACGCGTCTTCCGGCGCTTGTAAAGCATATAGTATGAGTCTGAAGCTCCATGGTCTTAGGATCCCAACCCTCATCGGGGTTAATCCCAATGAACGCCTAGCGAAACAGATCGTGGTCGCGAATGTCGAGTTGGAGCCGTGGGCCAGCGACTCGCCTTCGTCTGATTCGTATAACGAGTTCGAGGAGATCGTCGTTAAGGTATGTTACATATAATATAATATACATGGATGGCATCCTCCACCGTTTTGCAAGATTAAGGCTAAAAGAAAGAAATCCATTCTATAGACGATCGAAGAGTCGTCATTCCAGACCCTGGAAGCCCTGGCTACGCATATCGCTCAACGTGTCATCAAGTACTTCCTACTCCCGAGAAGGAATACGTGGGATGGCGGCATGCATGAACGGATCAAGATATGTCTGGAGAAGCCGACGGCTGTCACTTTCGCAGATGCACCTGCGGTGGAGGTCCTCGTTGACTCGGATCCTAACGTTAATAGCTTCGTAGAGCGGTTACGGAATCGGGGTGTGTACAAGAGGACAGGACCTCCTTTCCCGCTACAAGGCAGGTTGGATGAGTGGATTAAAAACAATGATCCGGAGGATTGAGGACTTGCGTGAAGGGATGCACTTGTTTCAGGACAAAGATAAAGGTGGCTGGGAGGTCATCCCAACCAAGCCTACGAACCAGAGATCTGGTTCTACACATCGGCCTGTCGTGGTTGCTTCTCTTCCCCTCCAACATGAAATCTAGGGGGGCAATCCTGGAGTCGCAACACTGGTATTGCATAGCAGAACTGGATATTTTCTGCGGTATCTTGCACTGCTAGCAAGAATGACATGTCATTGCCATGTAGGGGACAGGAAAATAATATACTATGAACGTTCAGATCTTTTCGATCCGGAAACGTATTTACAGATAAATATATATACCTTATAGCCAACGACTCCGAATCAACTTTTTGCCGCCAGATCCAATTAGGATGAACTCCTTGCTAATGCCCAAACAAATATATCATCATTCTCATAATACTGGAAGACATCTCATCTTGTGTGCCATGTGTCCAGCTAGCTCGTCACAGCCTCTCGGGACTAAGTGCACCCGGCATTGGAGTTTCTCTAGCATATTCTGCCTCCTCCTCTAAGTCCTGCCTGCGCATCTTATACGCTCTGATCCCTACAAAGACGCAAAGCGCACAGCCAATCACGAACGCAGTCCCTAACAAGAGCAGATTAACCGGTACCGGGTCCCCTTTGAAGACCTTATGCAGTAATGCATCGAGACCGCTCTGGCTGAAGTTGAAGAGTCCCGCTAAGCAGATAATGGTTCCATATACGGTCCCGAAAGTTCGGAAGCCGAACACCTTGGCCGCGTAGTCGGAAACCGCGGTGTAGTAGAAGGGCCGGTAGAGTACAAAAAGGCTGACGTTCGCATACGCGGCCCACGTATAAGGGAGGCAGCCCAGAACACCAATGGTCGTTGCGATTGTGACGAGTGCAGTGAGTACGGTGGGCGTGCTCGTGTGATCCAGCACCACACCGATGAAAGGAATCGCAAGGATGCCGCCGAGGGGAAGGGCGATGTCGAAGAAGGTATTGATCTCAACCGCCTTATCGTACGAGTGTAGGAGATACTCGTATTGGGGCCGAATGGTTGCAACAAAGAAATTGATGCGCGTCATTTGAATGACGGTGAAGAGCGCGATAAGGATGAACCAAGGGGAGAGGATCTGTTGCCGGACGCTCTTGCCATGCATAGCACCCCACACGCCAGAGATCTTGTTCTTTTTGTTTTCCTTTTTGAGGTGCTTTGCTCCCGACTTGGACCCAATCAAATCCGTGATCTCTGAAACTACAGATTGCTGGCGTTGGCGGCGCTCGTCAATGAGCAGAGCGGTATTCTCATCCATCTGGTCGTCCAAGACATCGTCGGCTTCTTCAACTTGTTCCACTAGCTCAGCGACAGTTTTGTAGGATGCCTTGGGCATGAGGAATATTTGGACAGCAAGGATGAATGCTGGCACGACAAGATAGAGGAGGAAGAAGTATTTAGGCCAAAATGCGCCATTGCTCCACGCGTATATGAGTCGATAGATCAGAAAGACGGCAGATGAGGAATCGAAAGCTCCCGTGAGCAAGGCCAATATAAGACCTGAGTGTTTGGGAAAGGCGTTTGACAGATGGAAAGATGATATGTAGATGAATGGGCCTCCGAGAGCCAGGAAGAGGTATCCCAATACATAGCCGTCGAAGGGTAATTGCCATGCGAAAGCAAAGAGGAGAGATCCAACTGTCAGCAGGAAACTGCCAATAATTCCGCAGACCCGGGGGCCGAATTTGTCCAATATAGCCCCCACGGGCAGAGCAGCCACGTTTGTTCCAACAGCAGCAACCGTGAACATCAAATTCAGATGTATTTCCTGATCGTAGCAAGTCCGAACTCCTCTCTTCAGCTCATCCTCCGTGCAGAGGTTTCGGTATACATGTTCGCGGATGAGGACCGGCTTGAGTGCAGCATAGCCAAAAACGATTCCGGCTGCGAAGAGACAATAGATCACCGAAACGATGATTTGCACTGTTTCAAGATGTTAGTATCTTGTACAAGGGACGCAACGCGCATAAATTGCTAAGGAGACAAAACCCACATAATCTCCGTGCTTTAGGCACTTCAAAGGCTCCAACGGATGGGACGGTGTCCTGGACGATCGGGTGGTCCCACGAGTCCGGTAAGGGACTGAAGCTCAGCCTGCGAAGTCTTGGGACATTTTCGCCGGAAGGGGATCTCCCTCTCTCCGGGGATAGAGAACCGTAGGATGTAATTCGGGACAAGGACATGATGCCTAGATGTCCCTGATGGTTCCGAGTAAATGGGATGTTTCCGTGGTTGTCAGGCTTTAGGTAGTGGCCAAGCTTGAAGCTATCACGGCTATTGCGTCAGAATTGAGTCCTTGGACAGGCGTATAGATATGATGATCAATTGGCCGCACATGGAGGTATAATATATACAGTGGTGATATTAGGGAACATGGGAGGAGCAAAGAAAAAAAAAGAATTGACAGTCAGGCGCCTGGCCATTCCCCTCCTCCTACAGAGTAAAGCTTCATGTCGAGGAGGGGAGGGTCCGAGGCAGATGCACATGGCCGCGGCCGCTAACAGGGGGAAGCTTATCAGTTAGCGGGTCACTGGGAATTCGGAACACAAAAGATCTGATTTATCCTTGCTGCATCCATCGTATATTTGGCTTTTCTATCGCCAACGAGGACGGCAGACTTTTTTTTCTCTTTTTTTTTCTATTCTTTTCTTACCCCCCTCCCCTGCACTTTTCCCCATGCATGCATGCAGCAGGGAAAATAATACTGCATATAATTGCTTTTCGGTGAGCTCCGTCATTGAGGCTATTGCCAGAAGTGGCGGCGGGAATACTCCGTAGAATCGATAGTCTGCTGAGGAAAGAATTACCCTCAGTGAGATTTTCTGGACGCTACTCGTCCCTGGGTATCAAGTGGTATCTCTACTAAAAGGGCTCATGCGTGGTGCGTAACGTCATGAGAAGGAGGAAAATGCTACTTTACAAAACCAGAGGGGCAATCGACCCTTTTCCCATGGCTCAACTGCAATCTTCCGGCTAACCCCCGAGAAGAGAATGCGGCCTTTGATGATCAGAATCCTTCAAAGCCAGGCCCTGCTCCCCCAACCGAGTCCATAAGGTTGCCGAAGAACGCATCGTCACTGAAGTAAGTTCCGAAATCTGCAACTCCGAGCGTCATGCCCATTGCTTGCTCAAAACCATCGCCCATCGAGTATTCAAAATCCATGCCGAACGATGGATCGATGTTTGCTCCCATGTTCATGTTGCCGTACCCTGGTGTGACCGTTGAAGGCATTTGGTTCAGGGCCGGATCGTAGTTCTGGAATGATTGTGGTTGCTGCTGTGTCTGCTGCCAATCATTCGAGGAACCTGGGTAGGTGCTGACACTCCCAGTGCGAGGTTGCCCTCCTGAGTTTCCTGTTGCGACCTCGCTAAGTAACTGAAGGGGGGTATTGGCAGGGCCGTAGCTATGCTGTTGTCCTGGTCGCTGTTGAAGACTTGGATGGACTCCACTTTTGTTGCTGTCAGTTGGCATATCGGCGGGATGCTCCGCATCTGACTTCGACGTTGGAACAGTTGAGGCCGTGGATGACTCCGCTTGGTTAGTTGCTGGTGGCAGTTTACCTGCTTCTCTTTGGCGGTGAAACCATGTCTTCAACATGATTAGAACCATTAAGAACTTGGCTGCCGGTCTTGACTTGTCCTCAGCAGCAGATGCCCTGAAAATATTCACAAATCCGTCCAGATATTGCTCAACCTTCATGTCATCCTTGTTAATGATCTTACCAAGCTCGCTATTAGGAGTAGCAGCAGCGAAATACATTTTGATAAGGATGACAACCGCGTATGCAATTTGGACGAAATGTGCGACAGGTAGACATCGGATAGTCTCAACATCGAGCTTCAGAAATGTGTCAAATATGCCATCAATTGAGGCCAAGCAGACTGAAAGAGCACTGATATGTGCAGCAGTGAGGGAATCAGGCTCTTCAGTACGTAGATTGGCTTCAGTAAAAGGAGGCTTAAAGTCGTCAACGTTATGATCAACATGCATAGCAACTTCATGCATATAAAGGTTGATAACATGCTCTGTAATCTTTAGAGTCGCTACAACATTGTTAGTGAGATCTATATTCGTCTGAGTTGAAGATTGTCGAACTTACGAGATCGTACTTCTGGCGGTATTTGGCTACTCCATTTCTCGAGGTCTCTCTCAAACCCCTTCAGAGCATGTTGAACCTTTGGATCGGCAATACTGACGTTGGCAACAGGGTCATCCATCGAAAATTGTGTCCCAATTTCTTCCGCGATGTGTTGACTACGGACCCACTGACATAATATTTTATCAGTGGGAGCAGCATCAGGCGAATGTTCAAGAATATCAACAGAATCAGCCATGAACTGAGTCCAGCGAATCAAGTTCGGTCTGCGAAGCCCCATAGAGGCGTTACAGCACAGGAAATAACAGCCCAACCACGCTCGTCTAGCTTCAATACTCTCTGGATCAGGATATGGAGTTCGTCGCCATGGATGGTCTCTCCATAGCCCTGCATTCTTACTTTTTGTAGACTTTGACTTCTTCCCCATACCAATATCGATCGCCATAACAGCCGCAATATGAATGAGCTGATAGAATTTGATCTCCTCAAAGTGCTCTGGGGGCCAGTACCAGAGTGTGCTGATGTGCAAGGCTTGTATGAGCTCCAAGGTCTTCTCTCCATTGCAAATAATGCGGTCAGCATATATGCTCATGATTTCCTTTGTCAATACTCTCTGTATCTCAGGATAATTCATCGTAGAACTTGCACTGAGTATAGCCAGGAAGAGGGTAGGTTTCGACTTGCGAACTTCGGCGGCGGTTGTACCAGGAGGAAAGACAACAGCTGGCATATGAGGAGCCATTTTCTCAACATACCAGTTGAACATCTTAGTTGCCATATCTGCTGTGATCAATTCCCTGTCAATGACATCCGCGTACTCATGTGCTACGGTATGTTTCTGAGACGACTGCCCCGCTAAGGGTTCACACAAAGAGCCCCGCTGGGGCCCAGAACCACCGTCTGTCGATTTTCGGATCGCTCCTCCAGCGGATGGAGATCGAGACTGGGAGGCTGCGGAATACTCGCGAGTCTCCATGTGCTTTCTCTTTTGTCCTGCAACGACCATTGGCGGGACTGAAGGCTTTCTCATTTCATATTCTGGGGCTCTAGGGTAAGCAGCCCATTCGCTGGTCATTCGAGCCTCAGGGCGGCCCGCGAAAGGAGGCCCGTAACCACCGTTAGTGACCTGCTGGTAGGGATTTGACCGGCCTTGGATATTCATGTTTTCTTCCAAGCCATTCTCACTACTGTAGGGCGCAGAGCCAGGGACAGATTTCGTTGCTTGAAGACTGGCAGTCAGCGCGTCGATCTTCTTCTCCAGTTCTGCTACCCGGCTGTCTGTCTTCTTCTGTCTCTTGCGGCTAGGTACAGTGACCACACAGTTGCGATGCGCCTTCGCGCATCTCTTGCAAGGTCCATCTGCGTTGTTGGGGTCAGGTTCGCAACGCACTTTGAGTCCGCGACAAGCCTCGCAGGCGCGGGGTCGCTTTGGATCATTTGCGCCCCCATCGAGGCCATTGGCGCCATCATGATCTGTCACGTTGCCGGCAGATTGAGGGGTGTTGGGATAGATATTCTGATGAGACTGGTCCTCTTGAATTGGAGGATACTGCGGCGTGGCTTGCGATATTGTCGAGTTGGCGGGCTGTGGCGTTGAGAAAGTCGGGCGCTGGGAGAAGGGGACGGCGACAGTAGACGTCTCTCTCAGTCGAGGATCGATTTCATTAATGGACGAAGACATGGCCGATGCGTTGATAATCCGTCCTTAGGTACGTTCTGGTGTCGGCGACGGCGACTTGGAATCTCCATGCTATGTCGCGCGACTGAGCCTCGTCTGTCAAAAATAATGGCAGAGGATTGATTCACTCGAGGGCCAAGTACGGGGTTCACGCCATAATGAATAGCCGCTCACGCGGGCAAAGTCCTCGCTCCCTCGCCTTTACTCTTGACGTCCTCTTCCTACCTTATGCTTTCTCCACAAGAAAAATGCAAGGAGAAGGGCATCAAAGGGTGGAAAATTGTGACTGCTGGTGGTCGAGCTCTTTCATTGTCTGCATGGTACATCGCGACGCTATGGTCCGCCGTAATCTCGCTCTTGACATCCCCGATGGCCGTCGCTTCGAGACTCGAGGTCGGCTTGTCTCTGTAACAACCCCACGTGAGAACAGGGAGGGACTCGACGATACAGTAGCATCTAAGACAGTAGCACCATCAAGGTCATCTATATCAACGCCTAGGAGGCTTGGATCATTCACATTCACATCTATGCGGTTGACGGGGCGGTACGTAGAAAATCAATTAGGACAACCGAGGGGCTGGATTCGCACGTCTACAGTCTCAGCCGATCCTCCGATCTGATGTCCCTCAACAAGCAGAATCGAAAGCCGGAGGACGACCAATTTGACGACCTCTTGCACGTATGCTGGCCACATCAAGAATGCTCGAGCTGTCTGAAGCAAGGCCCATGCTCCTGGTGTCCAACAGTAAGCTGCGGTCCCGCACTATTCACATCCCAGCCGCCGACTGACACCACAGTCCTCCACTTGCGTTCCAAACATGTATAAAATCCATCTACTAGCCCCTATATCCAATGCCGATATCTGCCCCCTGTGGTCAGAGCGATGGGAACTCAGAGCTCGATGCCTTGGGTGCCATGTCTCGACTATCACGCTCCTCACCTGTATCGTCTCGGTCTGTTCAACGTTTCTGGTGATCGGACTTGTTGCAGTTGCAGTTAAAGCAGGAATAGAGGTTCAAAGGAGGTGGAACGCCCGTTCGGATGGTTGGTGGAAAGCATGGAAATTGTATCGAGGAGATTGGTGGAGTTGGAGATTTAGACTGGTGAACCTAAGGGAACAGGATGATTCGGGAGAGCAGCGCCCATTGTTAGGAGACGCATGAAATTCCAACCCTAGATACCCAGGTATATATATATATATATACCGTAGCATTTGGGTTCTGCTGAGGTCCATCATCGTGCCCTGGAATATGCCAGCCGTTCATCATCCTAATTTCCGGCAGGACGAGTGGCGCCCTACAGGCTTGTTCATAATCATGATCTTGCCAAGTATTGTAATCAGTCCCAGCATTATCCCAGCAATAACTCCAGAACCGGCACTGTAGACGAAACCCCGCTAATACATGTTTTTCAAACCTTCAGGTCCCCTGGCTGATAATAATTCAAGTGAGAAGGTCCAGAACAAACTTATGCCTTAGAATAGGCATAGTCTCGATATGTTGCTCAACCGGAGCTCACAGGGGGGATGATTGCAACCTCGTCACCTTCCTGGATTATGGTTTGGTCTCCAGCGCTTTCTCCGGTCACATCAACATACTCCAGATTTACTGTGACTAGACAGCTCTCCAATACCTTAGCTTTTATTCCAGGATATCGTTCCTCGAGTGTCTCGAATAACTTCGACAGCGGAAGAGGGGCCTGCAAGATCTCCGAATCCTTCGACGTATAGGAGCTTGCGGAGGCAAAATATAGGATGGTGAAATGCCCCGCGGATGCCTTTGAAGATATAGACATATTGTTAATGCTCCTGGATCTGATGTCGTTAGCTTCTAACGCACACACGAGTCGAATAACAGGAAGGTGGGATGTATTGAAGAGTCAGAGATCTTGGTGTAGTCAGCATTGGAAAGCTTTGTAGGCAATTCCATTCTGGTAATACATGCTATTTTTATTCATCATACAAACTATTGGTATAGAGGGGTTAACAGAAAATGAACTTACAAGCAAAGTGTCCAACGTGTGAGAAGGAGAACTTTGATGTTGCGCCTTTTGAATTCGTTTAAATAGGCATTATTTCGTTCTGCTTATATAAGCCATTAATGCAGCTATCACGTGCGGACGTGAAGACTGAACGAGGAAAAATGTCGCGCCGTGAAGATTCGCTTTATTAGTCCATTCTTCACTGGCAACTTGCGATCGAGCCGCTCCTGGCAAAGAGACCTTTAAGTATGCTGCGGTCGGCTCAATCCAGAAGAAAGGCCTCTCAACAATTCATATGCTGGAGATGTCTCTCCAAATTCCATTCCACCCCCCCTGAGAATACACGGCAAGCAACAGCTGCAAGACCTCGTCAGCCATGGTCTCCAAGGCTTAGAAATGGCACATTAGAGCCTCATCAGAGTTCAAAGAGACAGTTCAGTACTTATTTTGCGGTATGATTCTCTCTCAGGGATGGGTTTTGGCGTGCTAAATTCATTCATAGCGTTCTGCCATAGCAGAAACTCAGTCGATCGAACCTTTTGCAGACCAGCGCCCTCCCTTCCAAGATTCGGATCCAAAACCTGGCATCCGCCAGCGATTACGAAAATGGGAACTCGAAAATGCCTCTCTTTTACCTCCTTCTTTAGAGCTCAGTGATAGTCCTAAGCCTGGCGAGGTTCGCAATTCATTGACTCGACCGATGGATGGGGAGTTTAAGGCAGATCCTAACGTGGAGGATGTGAATGAAAATCTGCATACACAAGTATTCGATCGCGAAGAGCTGCTTGATGTCGGCGACAGCCGTGTTTTCCTTCGTCCTGGTGATCTTGTGGAGTTGCGGTAAGTCTTTCAGACCTACAGAATTTGTATTTTGGATGCTGATACGAGCGATTCAGGAGCTTAGGCGGTCAACATCAAGAGCTGGCTATATTCGTAAGAGAATTTGCAACTCAATCCCAGTTTTATACCATGTCTGGCAGGTGGCTGCACCGGCAGTCGAAGTCAGCACTTTTCTACGTTCCTGATTTCGTGAAGCGTGAAGAGCTGGACGAGCTACGGCCATATCTCCCAACCGCAGATGTCCCTCATTCAATGCAAGACATACTCCACAGCATGCCTCAGATAGTCCCTAGACATATCGGGCAACCGCTCATCCGTAAGATGCTCAACTTTTGGACTGCGTCAGATGCGGCATACCAATCTGCTGCGTACATACTAGACAATGCTCACAAATATGCGGCATATCCGGATCGATTCAGATACGCCGGGCTTGAGGAAATTGCTGATCTGTTGTTACCGAAATCTACCGCAAGGAAACAGGACGGACGGTTTCCATACCCCGTTTTATATGCTGTCCACCGATCCCTCCTTATTGACGGCTTAGGTTTCCGCCCACAGGTGAGAGGAACACTTCGGGCGGGCGGTCAATATGAAATCAGTTCAACAAAGGAGATCGGGACCATCGAATCAGTAAGAAATGTTGTTCGTGCGTATATTGAGGATGGGATGACTACCAAAGCGAATACTAGATATTCTCGACCAAGAGCACTCCAACGTTTCGTTACCAAAGCTCGGCGGCTCATTGACCTGAGCCGGAAGACACGAAAGTTCACTGCCCATGGCGCCATTGGGCCATCCTCGGTAAAGGCAAAAGGTGGAAAATTTGTGGTGTTGGGCCAGGAAGAAGAATTTGATTCGGCTGATGTGTCCATCATCAGATTTTTAGAGTCATGGGCGGCCTTGCGGTCTATCGGGGCTCATTCTTCGCTGAATGGCATAGGATCCATCATTCTGCGCGCGGTAGACAGGTACGAAGGAGTCGATCTAGACCAAGCAACAGCGTGGACTTTCCTGCAGGAAATTGGTGCCATTGCCCCTTGGCAAAATCGAGCAGCTTATGAGATGCGGGTGCCCGAAGTTGGACGGCATCTTCCTGCTGGACCTGCCTTGGGAAGCCAAGACTTCGTAGCAGATAGGCTGCAGGATATCCGGCACGACTGGGGAGATCTTCCTGTCTATTGTATCGATGACCCTAGTGCTCATGAAATAGATGATGGCATCTCGATAGAGGCAACCAATACTCCCGATGAATATTGGGTACACGTTCACACGGCAGACCCGGCTGCTCATATGGATCCGAAAGGCCGAGCAGCAAAATATGCTGAGACATTGATCGAGAATATCTATATGCCGGAGCGGGTTGTCAGCATGCTCGCATCAGACTTTGTTCAATCAACCCTCAGTCTTGCGCCAAATCGGCCCAGCTTGACTTTCAGTGCCAGGATGAATACAAGCGGCGATCTATTAGACTACAAAGTGACACCAGGCACAGTCCGCAATGTACAGTTCATTAGCCCTCGGGTTTTGAGGGAGGTTGTTGAGGGGTCTGTTCCAGCGAGCAAAGAAACAGTTCGCGTGGTCGGGTCGCATATGCCTCCTGTATCCGCTTCCAGACGTATGCTCGCGAGTCACGAAATTGCCGATTCCGACAAAGAGAAGCTTCGTCTTCTTCATGCCATTGGAGCTGCTCGGGCAGAACAAAGAAAAGCCAGAGGCGGGGTTACTTCCGGCCAAGCAGGCTTCTCTGTATCAGTATCATTCAATGGCCCACTCCCAGCCGGAAAACAAAGTGCGGGTCTTTGCCTCCGTTACTATGGAGATCCGACAATCCAAGTTTCCAGTGAAGATATGGACAATGCAGCGAAAGATCTCCCACAGGCTGGAAATTTCAGGACAGTGGAATCTTTCATGCTAATAGCTGGGGAAGTTGCGGCACGGTGGTGTAACGATCGAGGCATTCCTATTGTTTATCGCGTTACCCCTCGAAATCTCGACAAACCCAACCCTGCGGACTTTTTTGTCCAGAATGTCCTGCCAACGATGGATGAGCAAGGAAAGGTTGATCCTTCTCAGGAAATGGCTTACATTCAGTTGTTAGGTGCTGTTCAACCATCTACAACTCCCGGACCACACGCCACCATGGGCCTTGATATGTTCGCAAGATGCACAAGCCCGTTGCGTCGATATGGGGATTTGCTTCTGCACTGGCAGGTTGAGTCCGCTCTTCTAGAGGAGGCTCGATTGGGTCGGTCACTAGTTGGCAACACAAAAGACGACTTCTTACCATTCACACGAGCTCAGGTGGATGCACTCTTGCCTCGCCTGGATACTAGAGAGAGGGTCATAGCTTATGGTAAACGGGCATCAAATCGACACTGGCTCTGTCTGTTTCTCCTCCGCGCTTGGAAATTCAAAGAGGCTAAGATCCCCTCCAAGTTCCCATTCGTGGTCAGAGGTGTAGATCATGTAAATGGTAATATCCTTGGAGTAATGGGGACCTTCCTCGCCGGAGCGACGTGTGCAATGCCAACATGGGCTAGTCCTGCTGATTTCAGACCCGGAGACAAGCTCGAGGTAGAATTGGCAGACGTGAACGTCTACCAACAGCATATATTTGTCAAGGCTCTTCGACGCCTAGATTCTGCGGAGAGCGGGACTCTCTGATAGGGGGTCTCATCAAACGTTCCGATTACATGGATTGGATAATTCTCGGGACAACTCAGTTACCCCTCTTGTAACAATACTCTTGTATCAATATTATACATAATCCAATCCTTATATCCGGGAATCCTATTATCTATCAAGTTCCAGGTTTTGTCGAGAAGTGTCTCTTACATAAGATTACCGTATCGTCGTGTCTTATACAGGCATTTTGCAAGGGGGGGTGGCCGGGGCTGATTGAATGCAGCAATATTCCAACAAGTCACATTTTCCTCACCATCGTATTCAAGAGCACCGCTTCTAGTCATCTTCCAACATATTTCAGCGCCCCATAAATGGTTCCCTTCCCGTTTCGGGGCCAGGAATGCTACTAAATATGTGCGCAGCTCGGACAACCGAGACAACATGCCATGGCAGCAGAACTACATAAGAAGAAGAGTCGGGGCCTTCTCTGTCTTTGTTTGTTCTGAAAGAAAACGAGAATCTCTATCATCTATCTACGCACCCCCTGAGTGGTGTTTGTTCTGCATTGTTTTCTGTCCCCGTTCTTTCTTTCTTTCTTGAGGTGTTGTTATTCGCGAAGGCTGTGTTTATTCTCAACCACAACAACAGCGTACAGTATTATATTATAATAATCTGGAGAATACCTAGATAGGTATAGATATGAGGATGCGTGGACAGATGATTGTTTTCATACCCTGGACGCTGCTCCTAGGCTTCGGGGCTGCGATCACAATTATCCCGGTTTTGGAATCTACCTCCACGGTCGCTGCTGTGTCGGATAGCTTGTCGACGAGTGAGAGTTCGAGTCTTGAGGTGGCGTCGACGGCGGGATCTTCTGTTATTGCGGTTTCGGCGGGGACTTCTTCGTTCGGCTTCAGTACTGGGATCAGTACTACTGGTTCTACTTCCTCTACCTCCTCCTCGTCTTCGTCCTCGTCCTCGTCCTCCCTGTCCACTTCTACTTCCAACATCAGGTCAAGTAGGAGCACCAGCACCAGCACGAGCACCAGCACGAGCACCAGAACAAGCACCAGCACCAGCACGAGCACTAGTTCAACCCTATACTCAACCCCGACCCCAAGCATATTCATCAGTACCACCCCACCCACCAGCACCAACACCACCACACCATTATCGTCCCCAACCAGCCTCCGCGCCGCCCTAACTCCTCCGTCCTCCAATTCCTCAAGCTTCCTCCCCCCTTTCTCCACCAGCGCAGCCCTTCCCAGTCCCCCCACGACGATGATGGTCCCTACGCCTTTCCAGGCCGCTGGAACAGCGGGGTTCGTGACAGCTTCGGTGAGTGATAGATTTTTTTAGTTTTGTTTGGTCTGGAGAAGTGCGTGTGGACTGATGAGCGAACATAGGCGTCGATGGTGTCGATAGCGGTTGTGGGGGTGCTGGGGATGTTGATGGTTGCGTGAGGTGGACGTTAGGCGGTTTTGCTTCTGGGGGGGGGTTCAGGGGGAGATGGAGTCCTGTATAGAAGGGAGCAGGAGAGATACAGTGAGAGCTTTTTTCCAAAAGTCATTTCAATTCCAGTGCTTAGGATGGCCTGTGGGTTTTATCATCTAATATTATTCAGTAACCAGAGAAGAGGGATAGTAGATAGGAGCATAGTCTGGGGTGTTTTAATGGACTGGTTAATGACTTCGTCAGTGAGCGTTACTTGGAGTCCTTGAACTGAGCACTGGATAAGAAAGCATTGAAAGAGGTCGTCAAATCGGGGGAGCGTACCACAAGAAGCGACTTTGTAACTCACGTCCGGGACCTCTTGTTACCGGAATAGGGGGGCATCATCCTTTTCCAGCTCTGAGCCATGTGAGGGATATACACCTCGGGTCCTATACTGTAGCTGCTCGACCAGACAGATCTACGTACCACCGTAGATCAGATCCGATCCGATCTCTTCACCAAAGAAAAACATCTATCTCGGCTCCTCCGAGTCCTAGTCCAAGCCAGCATCGCATCCTCGGCTTGGCGATTCTCTCCATTGTCTGCTGGGGTTCCTTTGAACAAAGCATTGGCCACCAGCACGCCACAGCCCTTCTAGAACGTCAATAAGGGGGGTGCCTCGTCTAGATCTCGGCTGCGGTCTGGCCCGACCTGGATGGAGCTGAGACTTCGACTTCTTCAAGGCGTTCTCCCCCATCCTATCGTTTATTTTTGATTCCTCTTCCAAGATGTGTAGGGGGTCATTAGAGATGTAGTAAGTTCTCGTACTTTCTGGTATTTCTTCTTAGGGCTTTGGCTGCTGCAGATTGTATGTAAGTCGTAACGCAACGCAGCATGCACAATGCACAATGCACACACACACATAATACTCCGTATACTCTCGGAGGCCCTGAGTGATAACTGATAAGAAAGGGGATAATCGCCCGTCTCCGATCATCGGCCCCGCAAAGCCAGGTCGGCGGACGGACAAGATCGGATTCATAAGTGGGATGGGGGTTTCGTAACTTTCGTGGATTTGGGATAAGGTTGAGGACCCTTACATCTGGTGCAGAAACAGTCGGAGTTCTTCCCTGGCCAAGGGGGCATCACGTGATATGGGATGATGACCCGGGGTTTGGAGAAGGCGAGAGGAGGGGAGAGCGGATGAGGATCGAAGAAGATGATAGGTCCTATACGACGGCGGAGACTCGGCGACCAAGAAGGAGGTGTAGCTCCCCGGCTTCTCGAATGTGATGTGGAGGCTGCTCGAAACTGAGAGATGACGGGGAAAGGGAGCGTGCAGCCAGCCGACGCGGATATCCGCAAAAGGGGGGGGTCGTCTCTTTTCCTTTTCTTTGTCCAGTCTTTTTTTTGGTGATTCTTTTCCTGGAGAGCGAGGGGGCAGGTCACTACCATTTCTGTGAATTCTACGATTGGAGTGACTTACGAAGGATGTATACACGAGGTACCCTTTGTCTGCTGAAGCGACACGAGTGGTGTTTGTTCATGGCGAGAGAACATCCACGTGCGATGTCCATGTGTGCAGCCAATGCATGTAGTAATAAGGGATATTAATTCCAACTGCTTGCTGATTGCTGATCGCTGCACCAAGGACACAGTACTTGGCCCTTACAACGTGTACATTGGTTATATCGTATCATCTAGTAAATATGGTCATGTTGTATTTTGTGCCTAGTATGTATTTTATATCATATCTCAGGCAGGAAGGTGTTGTTGTCTGACTTGTGATGTACTGGAATGGAGGTAAAAGTGACAAACGTGGTTCACACCCACCAAGAACACCTGCACCCATAGCTATTACCTGCATCCATTCCTACTAGTTTATACTTCATCCCACCTCGGTACATGCCTCTTGTTTAATGCGATGCACCTCTACCTACGACTACCTTACATACCTTACCTACCTTACCTAGATATTCGTGAGGCTCCATCCTCGACATCCCAAGCCACAGCGACAGAGCACGGAAGCTGGCCTAGACGTGTTCGTGTACCAGGGCTCGGTGTATACAACTCTTACAAGGTGCAGCGTAGGACTGCCTCGAATCTCGATCATAGCTGGCTGGGCTGGACACGCTGGTCGTGATAATAATAACAACAGCGACAATATCCAGCACTGTACACCAGTGAGTAATAATAAGTCAAATCGCATTCTCTTGCCCTCCCCTTCCCTTCTCTTCCTAGTGCATCTGCAGATCCAAGGCGGCGAATAATAACAGGAGAACAGGCTAGATAGGTGGACACGCCGGGGATGCTATAGGCTCTAAGCTCTCGCGCTGTCGTAGAGTGGCGCTTTAGTCTGTGGCAGCCATCGCCCAGGCCGCAAACTGGAAGGTGAAGTGTGGGGGACGCGTACAATACGACGGAGGAGAGCCTAAGGAGGGAGGTCCTTAGGTCCTTTGGCAATAGCTGCAAAAAAGACTGTCTGGATGTCTGTCTTGTCGGTTGTCGGCTGTCTGGCGTCAGTATGTGAATAGTCTCGCTCACTTCTCTTCTCTTTTCCCTCTTTCTCCTTTCCTTCTTTTCCCTTCCCCTCTCCTGTCCCTGTCCTGTCCTCCTCTCCTCTCCCCCCCCCCTATCCCTGGTCCTTGGCCCTCCTCTAACTAACCGTCTCTTGCGCCAGTCGCCGCTCGTCGATCGCCGCTCGCTTCGCTCACCTGTCGCCTCTCTAGCCACGCCTGAACCCTTCCATACGGAACAGTATCACATCCCACGTTCTCTGCCCCACCACCAACTCCTAGAGCGCACAATAGAGTAATACTACCGAGCATACGACAATCTGGTCTGCGGAGTCTGGTATGGTTGCGCTACCCATACTATCTGAGCCTTTCCGCGGTCGCTGAAACCGCTTCCGCCCTCTTCTGCCTCTCCTCCCAGACCAACCCAAGCCGAACCATACCTTCAGCCTTCAACTTCGACGACGACGTCTACTTGGTACCGGAACAGCACGGGCTCAGGTGGTGCGCACATCAAATCCAGCTCGTTGGCCCAATCCCCGTGTGACATCTTGCATTGTTGCACCCCTCACCCGCGATCAGCGACCCTCCCCCCCAAATCCCTCATTCGCCCGAGCGTCACATAACCATTCAATATCCGCCTCGACAGTCGCGCGCGCACTTAGAACCCCTTACACGGCACATCGCATCACGACGCATCACAGCGCAACACTGCAAGCGCCTTCCAAGCCTTGTTCCATCTATGATATTGAGCTCTGCAGCGAGAGCAGCAGTCTGGCCATGCTCCCGAACCTTTTGAACCCGCCTACCGATGAATCGGCCGAGGCTTCGCATACAGACAATGGCGTCTCGCTCGCGATGGGATCGCATTGCCCAATGCCCCCTCCCTCCGTCTCCCATATCGCAGCAATGATCCAGACTGGCCAGGGTTATACTGTTGCGCCCCCTAGCAGCGACAGTATAGGGTTGGACAGTTCCGATGAGAGATCAGACCCCGACGATAGATTAGATCACCACCACCTTATCGACGATGAAGACCAAGATATGTCAGATATGTCGGATGGCGGTGCCGCTTTGACTGAAGATTCACCTCATGATGGAGACCCTTCAGACACAACACTATCGCATGCGGAACAGCTAAATGCTGAGATGGATATGCTGGACGCCGAGGTTATGGGCCAGGACAACCTGGATGACTTATTTCTGGATGCGCATTTCCATCATTCAATGATGGCCGGGGAACTTCCACTTTACTACCCCGATCCCGTTCATGGGCCTAACCCCCAATTTGCGCAACCCTCTGCCGACTTCGAGGATGATCTAGAATATGATGGATTCATCCCTCAAGAAGCAGACGCTACCAATATGCCGGCAGCCACGTCGGAAGAGTCTCTAGAATCAGAGCATCTTCAAGATGGAGAAGAGGGTACGGAACCCACAGATGGCCAAGGCGCGCAGCATGATGGTATCGCAGCCCACAGTATACTACCCCCTCCCTTTCCTACTCTGTCTTCTGCGGGTGTTGGGGAGCCTGTCAATTATATACAGAATGGTTTCATTTCGTTGGCGGAGATATCCGCTGCCACTCCACATGCGGTGGGTTTGGCTCTGGGGCCAAATAATGTGCCGCATGTCTGGGTCCACGGGGGATGGACACCTCCACCCGGGACAGAGGTCTTGATGCCAGACCAGAGCCACCAGGCCATTTCTCAATTCAACTATACAGACGTTATCACAGATGATGAGCTCGTATCTGAAGCTGACCCGATTGAAGTGGATGACCAGTTTAATCTCAGTTTAGTGGACTTCCTCTATACTTGGGGAAGGATCTCTTCACGGGAGGACGAAGCACACAGAAAGATGGGCAAGGGACCCTCCCTACCAGCAATCATTAGACAGAGGGATCTGAGAGAACTTCGGCCAACAGAGCGGAGGGATCTGAATGGAGAGAGGTGTGATATTCAAAGGATCAATTGGACGGAACTGGGAGTTTCCAGATCAGAGGCAACACAAATGCGTCGACGGACATACAAGAACTACACTAACCTACGGCTTCCCCTACAGTGGCATGTGAGTAGATCTGCTAGGACATTAGTTTGAGCCTCTCGCTGACCTTACCACTAGCCACGTTTGCATGGTGCTCGGTTGCCAGATAATGAGAACTACTTCAAGTTTCGACGAATGGATTTTGACCACGAAATTCATCTGTCACATTTCCAACTTCGAAACCTGATGGCTTGTGCTTCACGTGATCACATCTTCTATGCTGGCAAATCGAAAGTTCTGCAATACACCCCCACGAGAGGGTCGAACTCGACTGGTCCCGCTGCTACGGCTATGGATCTTACGGACCCTGTCGTTCAACCATACCATTCCTTCAGCGGCGGAATCCAGATCTCAACATTAACAGTTGCACACGACATGCTTGTTGCAGGTGGCTTCTGTGGAGAGTACGGCATGGTGAACCTCAGAGCTAGCCGGCATACCAAACACACCGAAGGTCTCATATCCGACCATCCCAACAGCATAACAAACCACGTTCAGGTCCACCTATCGCGCAGTTCCTCTTTGCCTCTCGCTGCCTTTTCATCCAATGACAACTCCGTACGAATCCTAGACATCAGCACCAACAAATTCATCGCCGAACACAAGTACGAGCACGCCATAAACTGCTCGACTATCTCTCCAGACCAGCGGCTGCGAGCTCTGGTCGGCGACGACCGAAAAGTTCTGATTTGCAACTCAGATACTGGCGAGATTCTCCAACAGTTGGAAGGCCACCGAGACTTTGGATTTGCGTGTGACTGGGCTGATGATGGTTGGACCGTCGCTACCGGAAACCAAGATATGCAGGTCAAGATTTGGGATGCGCGGAAGTGGACAACAAGCCAAGGGGTTGCTTCTCCTATCGCGACCATTGCAGCGGAGATGGCAGGTGTGAGGAAATTGAAATTCTCTCCTTGCGGTTCCGGCAAGAGGGTGCTGGTCGCAGCTGAACCGGCGGACTTCGTCAGTATCATCAATGCCGAGACGTTCTCGAGCAAGCAGACACTCAACTTCTTTGGTGAGATTGGGGGTGTAGACTTCACGAACGACGGGCAAGACCTCTTTATTGGGAACTGCGATAACATGAGGGGCGGCATCATGGAGTTCGAGAGATGTGATCACGCGAGCGAGGCGCTCTATGGACTCAGAGGGGGTGGAAAGCAGAGACATCGAGCCGAGGCTATGCAGAAAGCTTACGGATATGATTGGGATGCTTCGGACGAGGAGATTATAAGCCATCCGAAGTCTCGAGGGACGGCTATGCATCGCGCTCGGATGCCGGCAATGTTGGGAACCACGATGGCGCCTTTCTGAGTGGTGGAACTGTTCGTGACAGACCAGCATTTACACAACTTGGAGGGCTCTAAGGATGTGCACTCCCCCGACCTTTCAACCTCGACCTCATAACCAACTACCCTCCCATCCTTCGCCCACACCTCACCCCAACCCAGCCAGGCCTTTCCTTGCTCTCTCCATTTTACGATGATACCACAGCTCGAGGATCGACGAGCACGGCGTCCTGGCGTGTGGCTATGAATATACCGGGAATACCCTCTCCCCTCGCCTCCCCTCCCTTCCTTCCTTCATTGTACCTATTCAACCAATTCCTCCTTTTCTTCTTCTTCTTCTTCCTCCTTTCACGCAGGCATTTCTCAGGCGTTCATCATCTTCATCTTACGAACCATACATCATCGTTTTTTCATCATCATCATCGCGAGAGACCATCATCATCATCATCATCATCATCATCATCATCATCATCATTGCATTTGCATTTGCATGTGGAGGTCGGAAGTCGGAGGAGGGAGGGAGGGAGAATGAAATGAAAAGAAATGAAGTGCATGGAAGGAAGGAAGGAAGGAAGGAAAGGCCGAATGGATTGATTGATGGATAGGGCGAGGGCGCGCGGTTTATACGCATATTTATATCTTATCTTATCTTATCATAAGTTAGGAAATGGATTGGAAGGGAAGGGATTGGAATGGGATTGAGTCTGGATACTTTAACTTTGATTGCGCGGAGCGGAAGAAAGCAGCAGAAGAAGAGAAGCGCGCCTGGGGAGGATAGGTAGGTTATATAACTCACTCATGCGGAAGAAAGACAGGAAGGAAGTCCGAGGGAGCCAGTCGTGATAGTTAGGTTGGGTGGGTTATAGTACCTAGGGCTGCGGAGAGAAGAAAGGCGAAAACGAAGCAGAAGAGGAGAAGAGGGGAGGAGATAGATAATACTATAATGCAGGAAAGAAACATCCTCGCGCCATGCGTACTCTTCTGTTGGAATCTGGCAGTGAGAAAGTAAGGCTGGCAGTGAGAAAGTAAGGGATTGATGAATGAGGGACTGGTACAGTACGGTCAGTGCCGTGGATGGAAGAAGGGGGTGGGGAAGAGGGTGGGATGCGAACACGGACGAGAGGAGATGCATGCACCCCACATTGCAGACCCTATCAAAGCATTACATGGCACGACCCGAGACTCGGCCAGAGCAGCTTCACAGAGCAGACACACAGACGCAAGGGAGCATATGATCGACCAGAATAATAAACACTACAAGTTACAACTCAAAGAGGGCACAAAGGAAGCCAAATTCCACTAATCCAAGGTGCTCCACAACGCTTCTCCTCCACATTCCTCATAAGGTCCAAGACATCTTTAGTAATCAGACAAGAACTATTTCAGAACGTCCATAGCCCAAATCCCATTATCTTTTATCCATTCATCCAGAAAAAATTCCTTTCGGAGAGAAGACCTAATCAAATCCGTCGCGATGACTTCTCTTACAGTGTGAACAGCTGGATGGCACCCCAGCTCTGCTCGCAGTCGAATTGACCAGGGGCCTTCCACTCATCGTTGGAGTACGAGAACATGACGGACTTGCCTCCAGCGGCGGCAGTGATGCCCTTGATGGCGGTGGCTTGCTCAGAAGCGCCGGGGCATGCGATACCGTTGCAGATACCGCCGGAAGGCCATCCGGTCTCCAGGTTGATACCGTACTTGCCGGGGCACAGGGCGTCGACGAGCTTGAGCTGGCTGGCGACGAAGGAACCGGCGTGCTCAGCATCGATGGCGGGGTTGAAGAAGGGGTGGATGTTGCAGCCGACAACATCGACGACAGCGCAGAGAGTCTCGGTGTTCTCTTGCCAGATGTTAAGGGGCTCGGTAGTGGTGTAAGGTCCGTTGTATCCTGCGGCCTGGAACTTTGAGGCGGAGGAAGAGATGAAACCGGCGAGCTCGCTGGCGGTCGCGTAACCGGAGAGAACGGCCTCGTTACCAATGACAATCAGCTCGACGAGAGGCCACTGAGCCCAGGAGATGATCTGGGAGACTTGCTCTTCGGCGCCGGAGCAGCCAGTGTCGCTGATGAAGACACCAAGGATCATCTTGAGGCCGTGGGCCTTGCAGGCAGCTCCGATGTTCTCGAGACTGGAGCAGTCGGTGCTGTAGACGCGGACACTGGTGAACCCCTTGCTAGCGATGTCTGCGATATCAGAGTCGACGTCGCTGGCGCTCTTGCAGTTTCCGTTGTTGGCGTAGGGAGTGTAGGTGATGGCCCACTGGGGTCCGGCGGTTCCAAGCTGGCCGTTGTTGGATCCAGAGCTGGCAGGGGAGGAAGTCGCGACAGGAGCTGGGGACGAGGCAGATGGGGAAGAGGCGACAGGGGATGGGGCAGCCGGAGATGAGATAGCTGGAGATGAGATAGCCGGGGGCGCTGGAGCAGGCGAAGTTGAGAGAACAGGGGCCGGGCTCGGGGTCGGGGTGCTGAAGGGGCAGAAGAAGACGAAGCCGGTCTCGGTAACGGTGGTCACGACCTCAGGCTGGGTGTAGGTGCCGGCCGGGTACGAAGCTGGGGTTGGGTAGACCCAGACGGTGGACTCGGTGTAGGTGGTGGTCAAGGGAGCAATGGTGTATGTACCAGCCGATGGGCAGACGTAGGTGGTGGTCAGGATGGTGCTGGTGACCTCTCCGGCCGAGGTGGTGGTAGTCGCATATGGGCAGACAACGGTGGTCGCGGTCTCAACGACAGTCGTGACACCTCCAACGGTGTATGTTCCACTGGATGGGATAGCGGTCGAGGTGGCAGCGCAGACGGTCGTCTCCTCAGTGATGGTCAGGGTAGTCGCGGGAATGGTGTAGACACCCGTGGTCGAGCAAGTGGTCACGAAAGGAGTTGGGACGACTGGAGCAGGCGAGCTGCTAGGCGTGGCGTGCGTAGTGGGGAGAGGAGAAGGAGTCGACGAAGTGCTTGGCGTGGGCGTCGGGGTTGGGGTCGCGATCGTCGAGGAGTTGGACGAAAAGGTGACCGGTGGAGGGACGGGAGTCGTCGAGGTTGTCGGGACAGGCGACGGAGTGAAGACAGAGGAAGTGGACGGGGCAGGTGGGAAGTAGACTGAACAAAAGCAGTTCTGTCAGCACATCGCTCTTCTCGATTAAGAGCAAACCGCAGAAGCGGAGAGTAGGGGTCTTCTCAACGTACGGGTAGCCTCGCCAGTGGTGGTGTAGTAGACTGTCGTGCAGCCACAGGTTGCCTCTGGCGCCGAGTCGGACGACAACCATCTGGCGGCGTGGAAAGCAGCGTGGTCATGACGGCGAGCATGGTGGTTGTCAGCGGCGACGCCGGTAGCAATCGCCGCAGCGATCGCAAGAACTCCGGCCTTCATGGTGAAAGTTGGCTAATGCGCTCTCGAGTGTAGGACTGCGGGTTAATCGGTCGACGGACGGACTGTTGTTATCTTCTGATGTTGGTATGGAGGAGTAAACGAATGCCCGCTGAAAGAGTGAAGCGGTGGTTTGGGGGGGGAGGAGGGACAAGGAGGGACTGGGTGAGGAGGGCGAGGGGATCACGACGTCGACAACGAGAGGAGAAGAAGAGGAGAGGAGATGGAGGGAGAGACGAGATGAAGGGCGAAAGGGACGGGCGGGAAGCGAGGGAAGCGAGGGAAGCGAGAGAGCAAGCGGCGCTAGGGACAAAGGGGAAAGGCGTCCAGAAAAGGAGAGGCCATGGGGTCAGGATCACAGCAGCGAGGCCGAATGCAGGAACGCCGCGTGGATGGGGCGCATTTGCGGGGGAAGCCACAATTTCCTTCTCGTGTTGTGTGCCCGCTGCTGGGCCAATCAGAGCGGGCCAGCGTCAGCCACGGGGGGCGGTGGGAGGGAAGGAGCCAGGGGCAGGAGGAAGGGTCCGAAGAGGCAAGTGCCGCTCCGAGATGATGATTTGATCACCGGTCATCAGTCATCAGTCATCCGTCATCTCCAGACTAAACGCTTCTTCCCTCGGCCATTATTATGACAGCATAAACCGTCCTCCGTCCTCCTCGGCCCTAGATAAAATCGCTGCACAAGTCAACGGGGTCGATGCAGAAGGCAGAATCAATAGATGATAACGCCCAGGGCCCGCCCAGAAGGGAAAAGGCACCGTCCCGATGCGCACTTAGCCTATAAATATATATACCAGGTCGGGACTAGCCAGGGACCTGGATAGCTCTCGACCCCTCGGCATGCCCCTGCTCTAGTCCCGATGCCGTTAGGATCCAGACGCTAACTCGGACGGGCAGCTGTGGGTTCCCGCATCCTCGCTTGCTTCTAGTCAGGAACCAGCCCGCCCAGCTGGCCCAGACCCGTTGTCCATCTCACCGCGCCTCGAGGTACGAATCATGCACGAGAAACGTCCCCTCCAGAGCACTGACAACTTTTCATCTCAACCCTCAATCTCGCAGAACTTCCCCATCATCGAATCCGCATCCGCAGAGGTGGGAGGCGGGATTTTTTCGACGATGGGAGCTGAGAGATTGGATGGGGCGGATCCTCAGGAGTAAGATGAGGACCGCCCTGGTGATCCGTGATCTCCGTGCAGCGCGGGAAATTAAGAACGTGAAGAAGGGGGTGAACTTGTGAAGGCTCCCAAGATGCGGTGCCGGCGCCTGTGGTCTGCCCGAAGGCCCCGCTAGGCGGCATGCGGCATGGCGCCTGTGTTCCCACCGCCCACGGGATGCTAAACTTACCTTACCTTACTCGGGCCACTCCGTCAGGTACGCGCTACAATAAGGTAATGAACGGACATATCTTACCTACCTTACATGCACATGCATAAAACCCTCTGACATAAGATATCTGCATACCTACATAAGGTACATGCGCACAATCATTATTCTCAATTATCGCTGACGTCCTTCTATCAAAACTACCCTT